GATTAATGAATTAAGCCTTAACATCATGGAAGCTATTATTAATTTACTTCATTTAAGAATCTCTAAGTTTCAGGGCTGGAGATGACTAAGCAGAAACTTCTAAGTTCGATTCCTAGCACCCATATCAATGGCTTACAACTGCCTGTAACTCCAATTCCAGGGAATCTGACATCTACTTCTGGTCTCCACAGGTCCCCACACACGTGGCATAAATTTATCCAGACACATACATGTAAATAAATTATATATTTTATACAAAAGTATATTTGATATCTAGCTGGTTATTTTAATCAATGTAGTATCATGGTACAGACTTACATTAATATTTTTAAAAATTCTTAGACCAGTTTATTTAAAATCTATGTCACATTATTTTTCAGAGTTTCAAAAAGGATTACAAGTATCCCAAATCCCTAGACATTTTATCCAACATTGGCTGTGCTTTGTCTATTGCTGGTCTGGCTCTAACAATCTTATTCCAGATTCTCACCAGGTAAGAGGAATAAGGGGCTTTTTATAGGAGAAACTACCATCCTGATTGTAATTTACTGGGTATATTCACATCAAAATTTAGTTCCTCATGAGGATATACTTTTTTCTGAACTAGAAGGAAACAGTCAAAACACTCATTTTCAGACAGCATGATACCAGAGAGGCTGAGATATAGTCACAAGTAAATACATAATTATAAATAAGACAAAAGCTTGTCTTATGAGCCCACAGCCCACAGACCCTATAACTCTTAAATGTGGGAATGAAACACATCTGACAATCTGGATAGCAAAGGAAGAGAACAATGCTGAACAAAAAGGTCTTGAAAATACTTTTTTAAAACATGCAAAATTTTGAATTGTGGAATATATATTTATATATATGGTCCACTCATTATCCCCCTCCCAGTCCACCTTCTGACAGTTCCTCATCCCATTAATATCCCCACCTGATCTCTGTCTCCAAGAGGATGTCCCCACTACCTACTCCACCCATCCCATCCCATCCCACCAGACCTCCCCACTCTCTAGAGCCTCAAGTCTCTCAAGGGTTAGTTGCAACTTCTCTCACTGAGGCCAGACCAGGCAGTCCTCTGCTGTATATGTGTCAGGGCCTCATATCAGCTGGAGTATGCTGCCTGGTTGGTGGCTCAGTGTCTGAGAGATCTCAGGGGTCCAGGTTAGTTGAGTCTACTTCTCTTCCTATGGGGTTGCCCTCCTCCTCAGCTTCTTCTACCCATTTCCTAATTCAACCACAGGAGTCCCCAACTTCAGTCCATTGGTTGGGTGTAAGTATCTGTGTCTGTCTCAGTCAGCTTCTTATTGAGCCTCTTTCAGGACAGCCATGCGAGGCTCCTGTCTGTAAGCACACCATAGCATCAGTAATAGTGTCCGATCTTGGAGCCTCCCCTTGAGATGGATCCCAATTTAGGCCAATCACTGGACCTGTGGAACTTTTAACGTTTTGAGTTTCAGAGCTTTTTGTTTGTAAAACAAAACTTGACTTTAAAATTTGAGTAAGTACCTATAAACATCTTTTCACCTTATTTTTCTACCAAAGATCTTCTTGGGGTTTTATTGTTGTTACAGGCTGCAGGACAGTTGAAGAAGGTGGAGGGCCTTCTCTGGCCTCCTTCTCACTGTGATCGGGTTTGTCTTTCAATCCCTGGCTCCCCGAGGCTAAGCAGTATACTTGACCCACATAAAACTGTAACTATGGAATAAACTGATCTAGCAAATGTTCCAATCTGGTTCTCCTCTCTCACTCAAGTTGTATCAAGGTGAATTCATGATTCCTCTAGAATCATTTCTCCCTGCTAACTTCTTATCCAATTATATCTTAGATGTGTAGAATCAGATTTTAATTATAAAGACATTACTTGTAGTTCCATGTTGGTTTACTTAATAAAATCTATAGCAAAGCTGAAATAGAATATGAGATGTCCTTGTAAACCCCAACTATATATGTTAATTTTTAATATTTTATGTTTACTTTTACTTTTACCCTGAAATTCTGAAAGTAAATTATACATAATTCTATCATCTTTAAATTCGTCACCTGTGTGTCTCCAGAACCTAACATTCTATATTCTTCTATAAAGCATTGTGTTAGTATCCTCACTTGGGAAATGTAATCTAAGAAATTTAAAATTATACAATCTATAATCAAAGATTTCAATTCACTCGGTAATCTATTACAGCTGGGTACATTTTTCTAAATCCATTTACTACCATGATGCTTTAGTCACCTTTAGCCTTTAATAATTGCTTTTACTTTGTTGTTTGTTTTGGTCATTTATGACACTAAAGTCTTTGAAGTCTCCAGGTTAGTCACTTTGAAGACTGATCTTCAATGTAGGATTTGTTTGACATTCTCCTGATTGTTAGACTCAGGTTAAAGATTTTTAAAGTGAATACTAGGTGACCGAATCTTTCTCAGTGTGACACCACATGAAGCACATGGTAGTAGTCCTGCTGTTATTGGCTGTTAAGTTTCAGTGCTGGTTGCATGAGTAACTATGATATTTCTATATCATCATGACTCATTTCTCACTGTCTAAATAGTAGGTGATTCACACGGTGAATTTGAGAGTCTATGATATCCCTCTGTTGTCCAACAATCTCTCACACAGTGAATCTGGTGAGATCCACGGGCATCCTTATTAGAACATGATTGCATTGATGATTTCTACCCTGATTTCCTTCCTTGTTTCTTGGCTATGCACTAATAAAAAGCCACAACAAGCTCCTTATGCCCTTGTTCCATGTTTCCTTGGACTGTGTAAGCACTGTCTCGTTTAGATCACAACAAAATGACTGGGCCCATCTTTCTTTCCATCTCTCTGATCCATCTCTGAACTTGTAATTTCTCCAGAGTAGAATTACTTTTTCCTTTTTCCTTTACCTTTCACACTAAATGTCTTTTTAAAAATTGATTCATTAATATTTTTTGGTTAACTGCTTAACATTGCCAATCTCCATGCCAGAAACTAAACAGTAAACTATAAGCACAATAGTTTTCACCTTTGGAGAATTTACACTCTCAGGGAGTAAACAAGATACTATACAAGTATGTACAAGTGAGATATAATACAGTTATAGATTGCAACAAGAGTACTGGAGTAGAAGTATGTGCCATATAATGACTAGCTTGTCATGGGAAATTAAATGCCTTGCATACTTGTCCCTTCATTTGCATTCCCTCTAACACTATAGTTCAACCAATAATCATTCAGTTCACTATAGATAATTTGTAGTTACTGTCTAACTAGGCTCTTTGTCACATAAAATCTCACTGTTTCTATTTGTTATTAGATATTTTTTCTTTTGTTAGTATTTCCTACCCCAATTTGGCAATCTCATACACCACTAACATTTACAAAAATGTATAACTGAACAAAATAATATAGGCATTTTGTTGATATCTTAAATCTTGAATGAAATACATTTTTTCTTGGATAAATCTCTCCATGATAATAACATAGAGAATAAAGCAATATGCTATCAAAAGGTCCAGGTTATTTGATAATTTCTTGTTCTCCATATAGGTCATAATTTATGTTCAAAATTAGACAGAAGTTATAACTACTGTTACTTTTTCTTACATTTTAAAAATGTATTTAGGGAGGGAACATGCCACTGTGTATATGTGGAGGTCAGAAGACAGCATGTGAGAGTCATGTTCCCCTTCTACCAGTGGACCACACAGGTTGAGCAGCTTGATGGAAAACCTGTACCTGCTGAGCAGCCACACAAGTCCCTCATGATATTCTTGTACACAATTTCTTTGAAGACACACTGCAGTTTTTAATTATTAAATACCTCAAAAGATGTAAAAGGCTTGAATGATCAAGAAAATATCAACTAATATATCAAAAGGAAGAATTCTATCAGTGGAAAAATCCAAGGACCGAGAGAGGTTTTGGCAGAATAGTATGAAACCATGCAGGTCATAGAATGGGTAGGCTAAATCATTAATTTGTAGGATAAAAATAAAAAGGCACATCTAGAGATTAGAACTTTAAAAACCCAGGATAAATTCAGAAAAACAGCTATTGGGGAGATCTATACTCTAGAAATTCTAGAAGAAATTAGATAATGAGTATAGATCCTATAGCCTACATTAGAATATAGGACTGCTATTTGCTATTGGAAAGGACACAAGAATATAACTTCTTTAAATAATAAATAAAATAGTATGTACATGGTAGAGAGAATAGCACACCTTGCATTTGAGATCAATGTCATTAAAGCACATCTTTCGTCTTTTGCCAGTCTGTAGATTGTGTGTGTGTGTATATATATATATACATATATATATATATATATATATATATATATATATATGTATATATATATATATGTATATATATATTGGCCAGTGCATAGAACACATACATACATGGACCACAGTATGCATACCCTCAATATTACACACCTTTTCCATGCCACACATCACGTCACATACATGCAGACACACAGGCACACACACCTGATCAACATGATCACACTGCCTTCTAAAAGTTGCTAGTATACATTGCCAGTCTGTAGATAAAACCAGGACAGCAAAAACTGAGCAAAGACATTAAGTTCATAAGAACTGGGAGCGGGGCACAGAGGAGCAACTTTGAAGAGCATTTGGTTCTGCATCTAGAAATGACATCTCTAAATGCAGGAACAGTCTTTGAGCATATTTCGTGTTGAAGAGCAACTCAGAACATCTCCAACATTTAGCAATCAACAAGAATTTCTAAAGTATAACCCTGGGACTCTCATCATTCAGAGGTACCATGTGGAAAGAGAATTCCAAGCTGACTTACAGAAAAGAAATATGATTACGTTCTAACATATCAAAAAGGTAGTAATCATCTGCCCACTAAGAAAAACAGCATCAGTAGTAACGTAAAACACTGCCTAGTGTTACAGGTTTGTGGAAGGTTTACTCTTTAAAATATAAGCAAACTCAGTTTTTAAAAAATATATCATCATTACATTTTTAACTTTTAAAATTATATTTGGCATTAACTTAAAATTCACAAATAATTTTTTTACATTAAGATTTACTTTTTTAAATCAAATCATAATTTTTACTTATTCACACAGGGGTTATAAACACAAAAAGGCAGGATGTGGGGAAGGGGATGACACCGGAGCGTGGGTGTTCAGGGGGAGTACAGATATCTTTCAGAACAGGGTATCAGCTGGGTGAAGGTTCAGGGAACATTATATTTGGTATTAACTTAAAATTCACAACTAATTTTTAAAAATAAATATTGGCTACAAACAGAGTTTTCTTTACATTCAAACATGAGTTCATCTATTAATGTGAAATTTTCTGTTTTCAGGCAGAAATGCCATGTAGATGTTCTTCTGCACATAGCCTTTGTGTATATCTGCACCTGTCTGAGCTCAATGATGTAAACCAATGTATTATCCCTCATGAGTTGGGGGCTTTCTGGGGCTGGGCTGTCCTTGCTGAGCTTTTTCAGGAGATGGCATCAGACAGTAGCTGAAATGAGTCCTCTGAAGGTCCCTCTAGAGCAGTGGTTCTCAACCTTCCTAATGCCACAACCCTCTATACAGTCCCTCATATTGCTGATGTTGTTGATTTGTTGATGTTGTTGATGATGATGGTGTTGTTGATGATGATGTTGTTGATGTTGTTGATATTGTTATTGTTGCTATTAATATTGTTGATGATGTTGTGTAAGGGTTCATAATTTGCCAAAGAAGGATAACCAGGACTCAAATAGTATGCAAAAGCAAAGAGCATTTTAATCTGCAGAAGTCCAGCATACTGGGGTCTCCCATTACCAAGATAGAGATACCCCAGTGAGCTCACAAACCTGATTTAAAGCACATTAGGGGAATTCTGGGGAGGGGTAGGTGACCTCTATCTTCATAGTTTGCTCTATCTCTAGGAACATTCCAGAACCATTGCTGGGGAGTGGGGTGGGGGGCTGGAAACTGTTGCTGGGGAAGTCTGGAAACTGCTGCTGACCTATTGTCCTTCTCTCAGGGTAGGTGGAGGAGCAGCTTCTGATGGCAGGACAGTTTCTGACTGGCTGCCTGAAACCGGGGGGGGGGGGGGGTGTTGTTTTGTATTTTGTATTTGTATTTGTTTGTTTGTTTGTTTGTTTGTTTCAGTAACTGACTTGCCTGGGCTTGACTGGACTTGCCCAGTTCTTGGAAACAGAGATTTAGGCCTGGTCTCCTGAACTGCCGATTTGAAGCCTGTCATGGCATCAGCCTAGCCGGTCTCAGTTGATGATGTTGTTGCAGTTTCTGTGGTTTCACTTGGTTCTTCATATTTATTTCATTTTTTTAACTTTTCATTTTTAGGAAAATCAGGAAAACCTCAGTAACCTGGGTGTTGGTCAGTTTGTGTACATCAATGTTGATTTTTAACCTTCTCTTTGTGTTTGGAATTGAAAACTCCAATAAGAACCTAAAGGCAAGTGATAGTAACATCGATACTAACCCTGAAAATAATGAAATACCAGAAAGTGACACCATTGAAACCCCAAATCCCTCATGCACAGCCATTGCTGCCTTGCTCCACTATTTTCTGTTGGTGACATTCGCCTGGAATGGACTCAGTGCGACACAGCTCTACTTCCTTCTGATAAGGACCATGAAGCCACTCCCTCGGCACTTCATCGTCATTATCTCATTAGTTGGATGGGGTAAGTGTTTGCATCAACACTTAATTAGGAATTTCACTTTGTTACAATTGTCTAATGTCAACAAACACCCACTGGAGGGCTAACAATTCAGGGTAGGGAAAAGAAAATAAGAGTAATCACTAAGAACTGTTTCTGTCTAGTAGCTTACTCTCCAGTTAGGGACCAACACAGGTATACGGAACATATTATAAGTTAAATTAAGGAGTTTAATTTTTAAAATATCCCTTTATTAGTTTATCCTAGATTTGGAACATATCAATTAATTTCCTAGCTACCTTTTTATTAATTATTTTCTTTATTTACATCCCTCCCATCCCAAATGTTGCCCTCCCTCCCAGTGTCTCCATCACAGAGTTCTTGCCCTCATCCCTCCTCCCCTTTGCCTCTGAGAAGGTGCCATCCAGGTATCCCTCCACCCTGGGGCATCAAATCTCTACAGGATTAGGTGCATCCTCTCCCACTGAGGCCAGACACAGTAGCAATCCCATTAAAATCAGGAACAAGAAAAGGCTGCTCACTCTCTTACTATCTATTAAATACAGTACTTAAAATTCTAGCTAGAACAATAAGACAACAGAAGGAGATCAAGGGGCTACAAATTGGAAAGGAAGAAAGTCAAGGTATTTACGGATGATATGATAATATATATAAGCAACTCCCAAAATTCTACCAGAGAATTTCTATAGCTGATAAACAACTTCAGCAAAGCAGCCAGATATAAAATTAACTCAAAGAAATCAGTATCCCTCCTTTATACAAATGGTAAATGGGTTGAGAAATAAATTAAGGAAATGATACCCTTCACAATAGCCACAAATAATATAAACTATATTGGTGTAACTCTAACCATGCATGTGATAGATCTGTATGACAAGAACTTCAAGTCCCTGAAGAAAGAAATCAAAAAAAGACCTCAGAAGATGGAAAGATCTCCCATGCTGATGAATTGGTAGGACTGATATAGTGAAAATGGTCACCTCACCAAAAACAATCTCCTTCAAAATTCCAGCACAATTCTTTACAGACATGGAAAGAGCAATTCTCAACTTCATATAAAAAAAAAAAAAAACAATTCTGACCAATAGAAGAACTTCTAAAGGAATCATCATCCCTGACCTCAAGCTGTACTACAGAGCAATAGTGATTTAAAAAAAAAACTGCATTGTATTAATACAGAGTCAAATAGCTTGATCAATGGAATAGAATTAAAGACCCGGAAATAAACCCACACACATACAGACACTTGATTTTTGACAAAGAAGCCAAAACCATCAGTGGAAAAAAAGAAAGGTGCTGGTCTAACTGGTAGTCTGCATGTAGAAGAATACAAAGAATTCCATATTTATCACCCTGCACAAAGCTCAAGTCCAAGTGGATCAAGGATCTCAACATAAAACTAGAAACTCTGAATCTAATAGAAGAAAATGTGGGGAATAGCCTTGGACACATTGGCACAGAAGAAAATCTAGCTACTTTAACAGTGCTTCAAGAAAAGTAATCAGAATGATTTGTTATAAAAAAAAATTCTTGAACATTTTGTTGTGTCCCAGGAAAGACAAAGGGAAGAATTGTTTCAGTGCTAACTCAAATTTAAATTGTTCAAGTAAAAAATAAATTGGGACATTTGGTGATGAACATTGTTATTGGAAAATTAAAAAATGAGAAATCAGATAGGGTTGGTATTTAGAGAACGCTAACTCTAGACAGGAACAGAAAATTTCTACTATTATTCTATTGCTGGCCATGGGTCAGTATTTTGTCCAAAGAGGAAAAAGAATCCATCTAAAGAGGTCAGATGTATAATTTACTCAAAGTCTTTTATAATTAATTTCAATCTTAGATAAAGTATTAACCTCTTGCCTCTCTATCATTTAGGAGTTCCAGCAATAATAGTAGGCATCACAATTGGGATTATTTATGCCCTGAGTGGAAACAAGTCATACTGGGAGTTAGACTATCGGCAAGAGGAAATGTAAGTTTTAGCTCTTAAACTTCTTATGTATTTATTCATTGATATTGGCTCCAAGTGTCCAACTTTCACTTTATAGTTTTTGTTATGGTTATCTTAAGTTCTCAAAAAATAAATCATATTTTAGATAAAGTGACACAGAAATTTCCTATGATATTTCCCGAAATGGAATTATCCACCGTTTGACCAGATGAATCTGAAATTTCTCATATTAAAACTACATTCTTTTGGTTAGTCAAAAAAATCATACAGCATAATAGTTATTTATGGTCCTTAGTAATCCTGTGTCTTAGTTTCCTCATCGAGAGTGTGGAGAGCAGATATAGTAATTTTGCTTAAGGTAGTTATGCAGGGGTGTCAATCAATCCTGAAAACATTTAACTCACTAAACACTCGCCATGTCTCACTCAGATGAACTCATCTTGTTAAACATGATTATCATAACTGTTTCATGGTAATGGATCATGTACCACAAATTCTTGCTTGGTCACAAGCATGGACAATTAACTGTTCATATTGGATGCTCCTGACTGTACAGTGTTTGGTTATTATGTGTGAAGATGAGAAGAAGGTTGAGCTAAGCTGAACTTGGGCTTCATACTTTACTTGTATTTCTCCCACCAGACGGCATCTGTCCTGTAGTTTATTCTTCCTTCTCTTGTATTACCCTGCCATCTGTATCCCCAAATCCCACATTAACTCTTAAACTCACTTGAAACATCATATCATCATAATGGCACTTGAACATCCTAGAGAAGGCTATGGTGTCAACTCACCTGATTATTCAAGCTGTAGGCCTGACTGCCTGGCTGGATTTCACATCCTAGGCTTTTTGTTTCATTAAGTTTCGATATCACTTTGAGTTTTAAACCTTGAATTTCATAGTTAGAAATAAGAGATGCAGATATCTCACGGGAGAGGTCATTTATTCTCGTCACATCATTAAATTTCTTGCCATTAATTTTCTATTCATTTCTAACCCAGGCATAGAGCTTTCATGAGAGAGAAACGAATTTTCTCAAGTTTAGTCACACTGAACTATCACTAATTTATTGTGAGCCCTTTCCTGAGAACAGTATTAGACACTGAGGACAGCACCAGGCCACTGATAATTACAGACTGGAGGAAAGGAGATGCTGTGTGATCATCATGTCACTCTACTATCTTCTGCCATTTACTCTTGCCATCAAAGGTCACATTTCTTCATCTGTTGAGAAAGAGGAGGAATGACTGTGTTTCCCCTGAGCTATCCTTCCACTGGTATGTCCATGATGCCCCAGGCTCTGATTCTCTGCCTGCAGTTTCATTTATCTGGTCCCTCATCCAGTTCTCTGACCTGTTGTTTTCTCCACATGACCCTAGTTAAGGAGCAAATACAGGCCAGGCCACACTCCTTTTAATGCACTACCTCAGTTCTCTACACTGTCATCAGATAGGCTGTATCACACACTCTGATAGGGGCAGGGTTGGTGTTAACCATGGGAACGTATAGTATACTGGTGATGAGTTTTTCCAGTGTATGCCATAGAGGTTAAGCTGGGTCTTTCCATATTCCATGGCAAAATAATCAAACCCTTTAGCCCATCTGGTCTATATAGGATGCTCAGTAGACTCCATGTCTTTATATTTTTATCAACTACCATTCTGTGACCCTCTTTTTTTTTTCTAGAAATTCTACCCCATAATTCTATCCCATATAGAAATTAGCCTTACTAGGACCCAGCCTCCTCCTCCTCCTCAGTAGTCTACATTTCAAGATATGAACCATTGGATTCAGAATAACATGCATAAAAGATTCGGTGAGAATAAAGTACCACAATCCCTCTTGAACTAAAGCAACAGATAGAGGAAGAGTGTGGTCCTGATGTACATAATTTCCCAATAGAAGCTGATATCTAAGAATATGTCCTTATAGGTCTTCCCATCCTTGAACTACTAGTGATGCTTACAAACAAACATTTGGATCACTGCACACACTCAGCAAATAATGGTTCTTATTATTTGTACCTTTCAGCATGTGCAAGGTACAATTACACCATAACAGCTATCCTCTAACAACAGATGAAAGTCAAGGGATTCTACACATTCTTAAGATAAACTTTATACACGCTGGTCATCTTATTTGGAGATGGGCCCACTCTCTCTGTTAAAGGCAGACCACCCATCTACGTTTACAATCTTTCTCTTTCATATCCTCTCTCAAGAAAAATAAGAAATAAGTATAAAACCAAAATAAACAAGAAATGTACATACAAACAAACCTCCCCAAAACTGAAAATCAAAGCAAACAAGCAAAAGGCCAATAAGCAAAAAAAAAAAAAAAAAAAAAAAAAAACCAAAACAATTCAAAACCAAACAAAAAGTCCTCAAGAATATCACTGAATACGTTATGTGTTGACCAGCTCCTGGACATGGGGCCTGACCCTGGAGTGTGGTTGATATATCCTCTGAGACTCCATTGGAGAAAACTCATTTTGTGGCAACATGCATGAAACCTGCACAGTCTGAAGTTAGATGAAGTCTGGTAATTTTTTAATGCTTAATTTTTTTAAATCTACATAATAAGTGTCTGTGTGTATATGCTAGACAGTAGTTTGGATACCATGGCATGATCATATGTGTAATTACAGTTAGAAACTAGAAGAATGTTTGATTCCCTAGAGCTAAAGTTACATGAGGTTGTAAGCTGCATAGCGTGGTTGCTGAGAACCAAACCCTGGACCTCTGTTAAAGCCAGCAGTCAACTCCTGGGTCGCCTTTCCAGTCCTTGCTTTGTTTTTGTTTGTTTTTTATTTTTTGTTGTTTTGTTTTGGTAAATGGTATGCTGTTCTGTCAGCTGACATTTCTTGCCTTTCCTTTGAAAATTACTCAGGACAATGACATCAGTCACCCTGACTCCTCCACTCAACAGTTAAACAATCATTAAATTATTTCTCCTTACTCTGTTCCAAGTAGGATCCCCTAGCCTTGAACTTGTAAAGCAACAAGTTCAAGAACTTGAACTCCTAGTCTTCTTGCCTCTGCCTCCCAAGTGCTGAGTGTGCAAGTGTGTGCCATTATCCTGGTCTTTCTCCTTACTTTTAAAGGATCTTTACCCTGACTGTTTCTTAACACCTCTCCTATTGCATGTCTCTTACAATACAATAAACTCCTATGTAGTTTCCTCCTTTTGCTCAAGTCCTGCTCTCATCACTGCCTCTGGGGTAAGACTTTTTAAACCTAAAGTAGATCATTTTATGTTTCTCTGCTTCATCTAGAATGCCAGCAATTGCTCACAGAGCTCAGAGTGGTTCGCATCAATCCATACACCTCATGCATTTACTCATTCTGAGCCACACTAGCCTCTTTTTCTTTTGATTGTTTGAATATTCACTCAATGCTTCTTTTTTTTAAATAATTAATTAATTACATTCCATCCCAGCACTTGGGAGGCAGAGGCAGGCAGATTTCTGAGTTCGAGGCCAGCCTGGTCTACAGAGTGAGTTCCAGGACCGCCAGGGGCTACACAGAGAAACTCGTCATGAAAAAACAAAAAAAAAATAAAATAAAATAAAAGTTAATTACATTCCAAATACTGCCCCCGCTTCCAGTCCCTCCCCCCCTTATAGAGTTCCTCTACCCACTTCTCCTCCGAGAGGGTAGGGCCCCCTGTGTATCACCCCACCCTGGCATATGAAGTCTCTACAGGATTAGGCTCATCCTTTCCCACTGAAGCCAAACAAGGCAGCCATGAAGACTGAGCTGCACGTCTTTTACATATGTGCTTCTGGTGTTTGTCCATGTGTGCTCTTTGGTTGGTGGTTCAGCCTCTGAGAGCCCTGAGGGTCCAGGTTAGTTTATTATGTTGATCTTACTGTGGAGTTCCAATCCCCTTCATGGCCTTCAATCTTTCGCCCAACTCTTCCATAAGAGTTCTCAACTTCCATCCAATGTTTGGCTGTGGGTATCTGCATCTGTTTCAATCAGCTGCTTGATAGAACCTCTCACAGGACAGTTATATTAGGCTCCTGTCTGCAAACATAACAGAGTATCATTAACAGTGTCAAGGATTGGTGCTTGTTCATGGGATGGGTTTCAAGTTGGGCTGGTTATTGGTTGGCCATTCCTTCAGTCTCTGTTCCAGCTTTGTCTCTGCATTTCTTTTAGATAGGACAAATTTTGGGTAGAAAGTTTTGTGAGTGCGTTGGCATCCTTATCCCTCCACTAGGCATCCTGCCTGGCTACAGAAGGTGGCCTCTTCAGATTCCACGTGCCAACTGTTAGACATCTTGGCTAAGGTTACCAGAATTGTCACCTCAGGGCATTTGAACATAATGCAATCTCTGTTTAGAACACCCTTTCCCCCGCCCCTTACCAAGATCTTTGTTCCAATATTGTTTTTCTGTGAGACTTTGACTCACTCTATTAAACTGAAATCCTCCCCTCCCTTCATATGCATATATATGTGTATATATATATATACACATATATATGCATATATAGTAATTTCTAGACTTTCATTGCCCACATTATTTTTTTAACCCCATGCTTGAAATATATGTATCCATATATTCCAGCACCTGAAATATAATCACTTATTTTTTGTTTTATCTGTATCTCTAAACTAGATTAACTAATATGGAGTTTTTTCTCTACTGATAAATTTTTTGGTGTCTAAAATACCATCTGGCACATAACATGTTCTCTCTAAATGTCTTTCAAATGAATAAATAAATAATTTCAATAATTCTATGAGGTTGTTACACCATTTTCAACTTGATTGAGAATTGAAAAATGCAAACACACACACAAACTTCTTTCACCAAATCAAAAATATCAACAGACAACCTACAAGATGAAAAGCACAATGGAGTTAAACAACCTTTGAAAGCTCTATTTAGTTATTAGCCTTTTGGAGTGTCTATTGAGGGGCTGGTGAGGCATTTCAGCTGAAAAATGTTTACCATGTAAGCTTGAGGTCCCAAGTTCAGGTCCCAAGCACCCAGGTAAAGTGGCAGATGTGGGGCACATACTTGTAATTACCATGTCTGAGAAATTCAGGCAGATCCCTAGTGCTCCTTTGTCAGCCTTGCTGATTCAGCCAGCTTCCAGCCAAGGAATAGACCCTATCTCAGAAAAGCACTCATGGTTATCCTCTGGCCTCCATAGGCATGTACCTATATACATGAATGAACATTCACACACATACACATACACATACACACACACACACACACACACACACACACACATACACCCCAATGACTATTAATATAGAATATTAAAGTAATAGAGTAAAAATGCTAAATTGATTAATGAAGTTTTTTTTTTTATTCTCCAATGATCTCTAAGATATGCTGAGAGTTCTAGAAGCATTTATTGAATGGTGTCATCTGTTTAGAAAAATGAAAGGAACATGTATATTTGCTAATGTTTTTATGTAATGTTTTATTATATAACTCTCTAAGGATACATCAGAAACACTGGTGAAATTTGGAGCTGGAAGTATTGTCCTTCTACAGCCATTTGTACCTTTTATATTACCAGCTAGGATAAGATACATATCCAAAAGTAGAATACAAGTAAGAGATCACCCAAAGTTAGGCAACTCATAAATGACAGGAAGTAACATCTGAATCCAAGACTGTTGTAGGCATAGGAGTACATGTATTAGTACTTTTCTGTTGCTGTGGTAGAATATCCTTACAACAAGCAGCTTAGGGAAGCAAGTTTTACTTTGGCTGAAGGTTGCATGGAGGAGCAGTCTAACCTGCCTGAGACGTCACAACAGTGGCAGCATGAGGCTACTCTGAAAGTCACAAAGCAGAGCTTTGGCATTCATCTGAACACAGGAAGTAGAGAGGGGGCAGGGAGTAGAACCTTGAAGAATGAAGTATAGCCTATATAATATAAAGAATGAAGTGTAAAACCTTAAAGCCCACCTCTAGTGTACTCCTTCTTGCAAGTCTCTGCCTTCAAAAGATTCTATAATCTTCCCAAACAGTGCCACCAACTAAGAACCAAGTGGTCAATGCCTCAGCCTCTGGGAGACATTTGTCATTCAAATCACAACAGGGTATAACTCAGTAGTAGAACTATTAACTAGCAATACCCTAAGTCCTGTGTTAGAGGATATTTGATCACACTGTGAACCCCAAGATTGTGTTATTTACTGGGAAAACCTGTTTTTAGTTGTGGTATGGATCAGCCTAAGCACACACCGTTAATCCAAGAGCTTTCCTCATCAATACTGTAAACAGGATTAAAAGAAGGCCATAGGTCAAGAAGAAGGTCAAGCAACCAGTTGACAGGAAGGGAACATAGGATTATTAAGAAAAAAAACATAGAGAATAAGGTTAGTTAGGGAGATGGATAGAGAGATACACAGGAAGTAGAGAGAGGGACATTTGGTTTGAAGGGAGTTTATTGAGACAGCTGGAAAGAGGGGCATTGCTTCTGGGACATCGGCTGAGTAGAAAGGTGAGCTGGTTGCTTTCTCTGCCTCTGAGCTAGCAGGCTTTCACCCCAGCATCTGACTCCTGAGTCTTCACTGGCAAAATCAAACGATTGAGATTTTGTTAAAAAAAATAAAACAAATATAATTCTGGGTTTCTTCTTCCCACAGTGAAAACAATAAAACACTAGTAAATAGTTCAGGTCTATCTGACTCAAAGCATATTTACATTCTGCTGGCCCACAATGACTCAAGAAAATTTTGGCAGAGCCAACTTTTCTAATGGGCTGAGTTACTGAAAGTAACCTTGGATGTGTAAGATGCCAAGGGATATTCTTAGCAAAGAATTCAGTTCCATGAATACCATCATGGTAATAGCAAAAGGAATTAATATTTGTTCTTTTCTTAGTTTGCTGAAATATTTTTTCCCACAGCTGCTGGCTGGCCATTCCCAAGAACAATGATTTTGCAAGAAGTCCACTTTTGTGGTCGTTCATCGTGCCCATAACCATTATCCTCATCAGCAACATTGCTCTATTTATCACAATCACAGTCAAAGTGTTGTGGAAGACCAACCAGAACCTGACAAGGTGAGACGCTCCAGGAGTGGGAAGCTGCCAGCAAGGACTAATGCATATGTACCCCAGCAGCTCAGCACACCTCAGACCCCTGCAGGAGTTTTCAACATTTGTACAAGACTCGGGCATGTGATATTCAGGAGAGAGTTCCCAATGAACTTTGTCTGAGAAGCTGGATATTCTCCCCTTCTCTTCTAACCTCAGTAGTCCAGTGCTGTGCCCAACATTATATAACACACTTCTGTGACACACTGGCCCAAGCAAAAATTAAACCACACAGTTTCAAGAAAAATTATTTTCTCTTCAAAAGCCCTCTCCCCCAAATTCAGGAAACAAAATTAGAATACTTAGTTACAAGGAGTGGGGAGGGTACTGGATCTAGATTTTCAATTTGAAACTTGCTACCTGCAGTGTTTGGATTACAAGGTAGCTTCAAACCTTCTAAAATGTATTCCTAGTATATAATATTTTGAGATTTCCCTTACAAATGAATTCTCTCTTGTAAAATATGAAACATTTAGAGACACTGAGACCACATTCCTTGGCTTACCAGATCCCACCGTGTGTCTTCTGAATGTGACTTTTTTTTGGCCCCACTAGGTGGTCTTATTGCTATCTCTGCTATTCAACAAAAGCTTTAGGCTGAATAAAGATCAGAAACCCCTAAACATATACATGCCGCAACCTCCTGCCCACAGTTTACAGCATAGATGGGGCAGAACATAGTACAGATGAAGCTATAAGCTCAGACTGAATTCTGCAAGCCTGTCCATTCCACACATCCTTTTCATACAGGCATCTGTATATTACACTCAGTCCACAAGTGGATCTTCCTTGTGTGGACAGATAAATGAAAACCACCATTTTTGATAAGAATACAGTCTTAAGTATGTGCTTTACAAATCAAAGTATCATATTTCATACATGGTTATATAAAGGCTATATGGGAAAAATATCCTCCTTGCTAAGCATTGAAACAAACATGCACTTTAGTAATATTGGAGGGAAACACTTTGCTGGAGGGTTCTTAGCCTTGTCGTATATTAGATTATATTTCTTATCTATAAAACATCATAATTTTGGGTCAGAGAGAACAATCAAATTTGTATTTCTCAATTTTGACTGATAAGCCTATAGTTTTTAAATTGGCTTAATAACAATTCAAAGGATACATAATTTGTTTTAGCTAATCCTCTTTCATGTGCTAGCTAGATACAAACCAAATCACCCAAACACTTAAGACTTACAGTGTGACAAGTTATTATTTGCCATAGGATTGCACGATGCCTTGGTAGTAGTATAGGCTAAGCATGTTCAAGTGTTGACAGGTGAGCTATGATGAATCCATTCCATACGTAGTGGCTGGTAGTTAACTGATTGTTGGTGTTCTTGAGTGGCAGCTTTTGAGTTGGGGAAGCATATTTATGCTCTGTGTAGCTTTTTATTAAATCTTCTATTACCTCAGCTCATAACTTCACAATATATTGCTTTTATAAAATAATATAACGGGCTCACATTTTGGTGTATACAGAGCTAAAAATAAGCATGACTAAGTCATAAAGAAGTGGGAAAATTATGACCAGTAAGAAGAGCTTGAGAATAGGTTCCAATTTGCCTGAATAATGAAAGCATGAGGATTTTATTCAGGGAGCCTAAACATATTTACATGGTGGATGTGTCAACTCATAAGGAGACACAACTTAGAATCATAACTTAACAGATAGTGGACACATGTTTTGGGCATAGTTAGCTTGACCCATGTCTCAAAGTTTTTGTTGAATAGCAGAGATAACAATAAGACCACCTAGTGGGGCCAAAAAAAATCACATTCAGAAGACACACAGGGTGGGACCTGGTAAGCCAAGGAATGTGAACCCATGTCTCAAAGCACACATGTAAAAATTAAAATGGTCAGAAATACCTCTGAACATGTCCATTTTGCAGTACAAAGTTTTTACTGAAAATGAAGGAAAAGGTATTTTTAAGAGTATTCTAATATTGGAGTCTGGTCCTGAAGAGGCCTGGCTCACTCAGTTACTAACACTACCAGGTTTTCAAGAGCAGGAAGAGAAGGCAAACTCCATGAGCCATTGCTTTCTAGTTTCTTGCGTGCTCTCCTGACCATAGGAAGTCACATAGTCAAGACCAGATTCTGGGGGTACAGACTTCCATAAGAGAGAGGATAAGTTGGCTTCTAAATCTTATTTTTATATCACCTCAAATCATAAGAAGTTCCCAAGTATCCTAGCCTCCCTATGGAATTCTTGACTAGTTGATCTCTTAGTAATAGCAAAATTTCCATTAAGAAAAAATATCGATTTCTCATGAAATTTCCTACATAGTATGAAAGGAATGATTTGCCTGTGATTTGATGGGAATGTTGGGGGTCACTTAAAATAGACAGTGCAATCACAATTTCTTCAGAGGGCCCTAAGGTATGGCACAACATTAAGTAAGCAAAGTATATAGACAATTGAACATGCAAGCTATGAGTAGTGATGACTCGAGTAAGCCAAACCCTAATACGCCATATTTTCTTTCTCACTTTCTCATGTAGCACAAAAAAGGTTTCATCCCTAAAGAAGGTTCTCAGCACATTGTCTATTGCAGTTGTTTTTGGAGTTACCTGGATCTTTGCATATGCTATGCTAATTAATAACGATGACATCAGGATTGTTTTCAGCTACATATTTTGTCTTCTCAACACCACTCAGGTATGGTATAGATAGTCAGAAAGAAGCATGTGTCGCCTTGGACCAGTGTTTGCTTCCCGTAAAACTCCCTGAGGACCATTGTTTAGTAACCTTTAGGGGGATCTATTTTAAATAGACTTCATGAGAGGAACATAAGCTTTCTGTGTCCCTTTCTGGCCTGGAGGTATCAGAGTAAGATCTTTATAGGTTTGGCATATAATCCCTCTTCTCTGGTTAAATCCTATCTCATCAGGCAAAACACTTCCTTTCTTTTCTCCCATGCACTGAGTGTGCTTTGGTTGGTGTGGCCAATGGTCATTACTTCTTAAAACTGTGAACTCTGTGGGTTTGTTGAACTTTTCTTTCATTTCTTTTCTTAGTGTGTGAAGATTTGATTTAGGTCCTTCATTTTAATCTATCTTTTCTGTGAAATTTTAATTACATTTACTATTATTTTAGTATATTTTAATTTAATGTATGCCATGGAACAGATAACCATGTCAGAAGTCAGAGGACAAATTGCAAAAGTCAGTTTTCTCCTTCCACCATGTGGGTCCTGTGCATAGAGCTTAGATCCTGAACCTTGGTGGCAGGTACCTTACCCTCTATGAAGTCTCATAGGCCCAGAAGCAAAATACTCACTTTGGGAAAAAACAAACTGCTTATTCTATAGTTACTAGCTGCACTGCCTGGTTTTGTTTGTCAACGTGACACAAGCTGGAGTTATCACAGAGAAAGGAGGCTCCCTTAAGGAAATGCCTCCATGAGATCCAGCTGTAACTCATTTTCTCAATTAGTGATCAAGCATAAGAAGGCCCAAGGTGGATGGTGCCATTCCTGGGCTGGTAGTTCTGGGTTCTATAAGAAAGCAAGCTGAGCAAGCCAGTAGGTAACATTATGGCCTCTGCATCACCTCCTGCTTCCTACCTTGCTTGAGTTCCAGTCCTGACTTACTGTGGTGATAAACAGCAATATGGATGTGTAAGCTGAATAAACCCTTTCCTCCACAACTTGTTTCTTGGTCATGATTGTGCAGGAATAGAAACCCTGACTAAAACACTGGGTCTGAAGTTTTAAAATACCACTAAAGCTGAAGACTCCTAGCTCGAATGGGGATTCTCTGTCCTTACTAGTATTTTCATCTGGTTCTTTCAACTTTTTAGTAAAGTGCTAAAATTTTCCATCAAGGATTGACTCTGTTTGGTCCCTTGTTGCATTTTGCCAGTTTGTGCTTCCTGTATTTTGAGTGAAGACTAAACAAGCATTCATCCTCATGATATAGATTTATGGTTATTATATTTTCTAGATGAATTGGCCCTTTCATAACTTGTATTAAGATGTCTTTTTATTTCTGATAGTGTCTTTTGTCATAAGGTATACTTTATCTATTACCTAGTCTTGTTATATGATTGGTTATATGATCACATGTGTGTGCATGCATGAATGTATGTATGTGTGCATGTGTCTGCATTTGCTATGAACCTCCGTACCTTTAAAGTCTATAGCATGTAGCCACCAAATACATAGGCCTCACTTTTTTTTGTCTATTGTAAGAGTCTCTATCACTTTTTCAGAAGGTGAAGATCATTTGGATCTAACGTACTCATTGATGTAACTCATTGATGTAGGTTGTTATTTTACGATTTGTCTTCTATGATCGTTTGTGGGTTTTGTTGTTGTTGTTGTTTGTTTTTTTGGAGGGAGAAATATTCTTTGCAAGTAAAGAGAACAGTTCTCTATGCAATAAGATTTTTCTCTGGATATGATATAGTAACTACCATAAAACAAAACCATTTATAATCCTTTCCTTGCACACTCACGGACTGTTAAACGTGAATTGTTGTAGCATGACACTTATATGTATAACAACATGCAACTCTAAGGAAAAACAAACAACCACACAGTTATTCATAATTCCTTGATTTAGTGTATTATCTCCCTGCTGCCCTATTCACTTCTGATCCATTTTCCATTATTCCTTAGTATCATTTTTCTTTCTGTCCCCTCTCTGTCTCACCTTATTTCTTTCTCCTTCCTTCTCTACCCTTTCCCTCTCTATATCCTTCTCTACCCCTCTCTGACTCTCTTCTTCTCTCTATCCCTTCCCCCCTCTGACTCTTTTCCTCTCTTCCTCTCTTCAGTCAGACTTTATTTCTTCAGGAGAAGAACGGCACATTACTGATTGAAGGTGCTGTGAGCAGTGGAGAGTGTTATGCTGATGAACTGTTTTGTGTAGCTCGTGGGTGTGCAGCATCCTATAGCAAAACTCTGTTTCTTCAGGGGAAATGACCATAAGTTTAGAACTAAAGTCAGCAAATGGTAAAAGTTTCAGCTTTCTGTGTTTTGTTGGTTTTGTGTCAACATACAAGTGTAGGGTGTAGTTTTACGATGTACCTGCCTTTACTCTAAGGAGATGACTGTGCTACCAGCCTCCACCCAGCTTCCCTTGAATCCTTGAACAAAACACGGTATTTTAGTTAGGGTTTTACTGCTGTGAACATTTCCTTATAGGCAACTCTTATAAGGACAACATTTAATTGGGGCTGGCTTACAGGTTCAGAGGTTCAGTCCATTTTCATCAAGACAGGAGCATGGCAGCATCCAGGCAGGCATGGTGCAGGCAGAGCAGAGCTGAGAGTTCTACATCTTCATCTGAAGGCTGCTAGCGGAAGACTGACCAATCATTTGTTTTTAATTCCCCTACTACCCACTTCTTCCCCACTTTTGAGTATAATAGATTATCATTATGACTCCATTTTAATTCACATTCCAGTAATCAATACCACTTTGCATTTGGGGATAAGTTCCTGCGTGTAGTATACATTTGTAACTTCTTTTGTAAGGAACTTCAGATTGATGTAACACCCAGTAAAATGAAGGGTGTCATAACAATAGACTCTGGCTGCTACCCCTCTCCGCTGTAACAATAGACTCTGGCTGCTACCCCTCTCTGCTGTGCTGCTGCTTTGTATGTCCTACATGTACATACAGAATAAACCCCACAGATAAATGTTATTTTCTCCATAAAAAGACATCTACATCGAAAGAAATTCATAGGGAAAACTTTATATTTGGCCATGTGTCAACCATTTCCAGGACCCTTCCTCCCTTCCTTTCTGAAGATCCAAATGTCACATGGCATCATTTCCCTTGAGCCCAAAGTCATTCTTTAGTGTTTCTTGTAATTTATGGCTTCGGTGGCTAAGTATTTCCTTTTAACTTTTATCTGTTTTGTTCTTATTTTATCTTATTTTGTTCTTGAAGGATTTTTTGTATTAGATGTGGAACTCTGGGTTGAGTGAGGTCCCCCTCCCCCCACTTGGCGTTTTAGAGAAGTAATTTCACACTCTGCTACATTTCCTAATGAGATGTCTTCAGCCATTCATACTGATCTACTGCACACAAATGGGTTATTTTCCTCTGCTCACATCAGGGTTTTCTCCTAGCTTTAACATTCAGGGTTATATCTACAGCATACACAGCTATGACTTTCTTTGCATGTATTTTTCTTAGGATGGCTGAACTATTAGAATCTTTTATGGTTTTCACCATTAGTTTTTCCTCCTCTTCTCTCCTCTTCCTTCTGAGAATGCCTTGATGTTAGGCCATTTGATTTTGCCCTGCAGATCACAGAGAGCTGTTCATCCTGTTCATTCTTCTTGTTAGTCATCACACTGCTGGATGTTAGGTACTTATTCAAGATTGTTCAACCCCTAAATTCAATCCCTAGGACCCCCATGGTGTTCAGAACTGACTCCTACAAGTGACCCTCTGGCATTCACTCAAACAGTGTGGTGAGTGTGCACCCACATCTTTGCACACAACAAACAAGCAAACAAAATTTGTTTAAAACCTAAAAGAGACAAACATGTTTGTTCTTAATTCTATCATATTCTGTCACATGCATCTACCATCGCCTCCTTATTTTTAATATCATGTCTCATCAGTAGCATTACCTTGTACATATTATTTTTTGTAATTATTTTAAATATTTTGTTATATTTTTAGTCTACTGATTACAATCCTTGTTTATTAATGATTACTATAAGGATTACTATAACTTTCATTTTTTGGAGTGAAACAGCATCTACTGGTACCCTGCCCCTTTCACCCCCTAATCCCGGTCCTTTAAAAGCAATATGTGTGAGCAAAATTTTTTTTGCAATGCTGGGAATCTGACCCAGAGCCTCTTACTTGTTATGCAAACACAATTACTGCTGAGTTATACTCTGAGAGAAAGAATACTATTAGCATTGTACAATTGTTTATTGCCTCCCAATTTTATTGGCACAATTTAAAATTTACTATGTAGTTGACATTGTCAACAATATTTTCCTTGAAAATATTAATTACTTAAATTACATTTCATATTTGTATTAACTAAATTTTATTATATAGAACACTCCATTTAAAACGTTTCCAAGGTACCTTATTGGATTGTCCTATTGCCTTGACTACTTGTTTTAATTAATGGCTCATCAGTGATACTATTTTTTTTGAGTAACCACTTCAGTAGACTGTGAAAAAACATTAGTGAAAAATTTCCTGGCTGATAATTAACCTTTCGATGCACTACATGAACTGCAATTTTTTTGACACTAATTACCGACAAAAAGTCTGAGGTGCTGCAAAATTAATTAACTTTCCTCATTGTTATTCAACACCCTTTAAGCAATAAATTTTGGATTCATTTTAGACTATTTGAAGTTGAAAAATATTAGAGTTCCCAAATACCCGCCACCAAACTTTAGGACTAATAATAACATCTTTTGAATTTTCTTAAAAATTATGAGTATGCATCAAGTGTATACCTGGTGTTCATGCAGGTTAGAAGAGGTAATGGAGTTATACATGGTTATGATGTGGGTCTTGGGATTCAAACCCAGATCCTCTGGAAAGGCAGTGAACACTGTTAACTGCTGAGAACATTTCTAGTCGAAAAATAATATCTTCTATAGCCACAGTGCATAACTAAACCCAGGAAAAACAGTACAGTTTTCATATATTCTTTGACCAGTGTTTTCCAGTGGCAATATCTTCTATAATATAGTACACTGTCAAAATTAAGGAATGCACATTGACACAATTATTAGCCAGGCTACAAATAGTATTTGATAGTTTATCTTCATTAAATAATAAAAATGAAGGATTATGAAAGGTTTCTTAGAAACTATAATATACTGGGTGTAGTACATTTCTGTTATAGTTACAATTCAGAGATAACATCATATATTGGATAAAGAAGAAAGATTGAAACAAAAAAAATGTAGTAATTCAGCTCCAAGCTCTACTGATAGTAGGTAGGTAATGTTGAGCAAAATGTTTAATTCATCTGAATTTCAGTTTGCATATCCATCAGTTGGGGATGGATGGTAGGCTTAGTTTCTAGGGTTGATGTAAGAACAGAAAGGATTCAAGGATGCTGGGCGAATGAGAAGTGTGTGAAGCCTTTTGAACTTTGGTAAGGGTCAGCTTAAAGGCATGCAGAGACTACTGCCCAGCTTTTTGTGGCTTATCTCTATATGTGTAAAGAACAGGGAATCAGTGAGTAGCAGGGTCTCAAATTTATGTTAAGAAATTGAGTATATAAAATTCCAGCTATGTTACAAAATCTCCGGGAAATGGAATCACAGAATGTTGGAAGTAGAAGAAAAAAAGGGTAAGCACCCCCCCTCCCGAAACTCTTCCAACTTTATAAACTGAAGATTGTAAAGATTAGAGAGCAGACTTGCACAGCAGTAATGTCAAGCAGGGCATGGATATGTCTTCTAAATATGCATTACGGGCAGCATCGTTTATATCTGAAGGGCATGCACATGCACAGCAGCTGCAAGCTCCTGTTGTGGAGCAGCTATGCTGCCTCACAGTCGGAGGGTGAAATAAAATCTCCCCCTTTGGTACTGAGGAAGTCTGTATTGTAATATTGCCTAGTATTAAACCTTAATTTTTTTTTCAGGGATTGCAAATATTCATTCTCTACACTGTTCGAACAAAAGTATTTCAGGATGAAGCTTCCAAAGTATTGAAGTCACTGTCATCATCCTTTGACAGATCGAAGACAATGCCTTCAATAACCCCACTGAAACTGCGTGTAAGGATGTACAATATGCTGAGGTCCATCCCAGCCCTAAATGAACGATTTAGGCTACTGGAGCCATCTGCAGCGACTGAGGAAACATCATTGTCTTGAAAGTGACCAAGCAAAATCAAGTGTCTAAGAAAACTGTTACCTATGATGGTCTTTTTTGTCCAACTCATAAGAATTGTATCTGTTTATGTTTTCTCTAATTCTCCTACAATACCTTCCTGAATACATGTTAGAACTTGCTGTTTATTACCAGAGGGAGAATGGATTTGGTAGCTTTTTGTGGTTTTCACCAGATTATAATGTGAGTCAAGTGAAGAATCACACATATTATAAGTTGACCATTGTTATTACGTTTGCATGACACACTTTGGCAATTATGCAGAATTCACAACAAATTCTTTTACAATGAGGAAAAATATTACCTTCTACAACAACATGGCTCCTGATAAGTACAGGGAGTTGCTTGCATACATTAAACTTTTGCCAATGAAGAGTTTGGCAGCCAGTCTCCCCTTTAGGAAAAGGTGTTTTGTTTGCTTAAAAAGGTGTTTTCTGACTAGAATAATCAACTCTGTAAGAAATGGATAGAAAGCTGGATTAATAGACTTCTAAATCTCTAGTTATTTACAGCACATGCATGCATGTGCATGCACACACACATACCTTTTAATATCTATATATTATTGATGATGGATGAGATTCAAAATGAAAATATACTCATAATTACATGTATGGCTTTTAGAAGCTCTAGATGATCATAGACTCCAAACCCTTGAAGTATAAATGGCTTCCACTGGAGCAGCTTCTCATCATCCCCTAAAGACTGCATTCTTTAACTTTTTTATCATGGTTAATAGCTGCATGTATCGTGTGCACACAGTGCGTGTCGAAGCCAGGCAAGAGAAGTCAGATCTTCTGGGGCTGGAATTGTAGTTGCAAGTAGACATTCTGGAGCTAGGAACTGAACCTAGGTCCTCTGGAAGTGCTCTTAAATACAAATCCTTCTCACCATTATGCAAAGAATGTGCATTCTCACAGAAATGGTTGCAAAGAAGTACAGAAGAAACACAATTCTGAGAGGCCATGCTCTAAGTGGTATTACAGTACTATACCCAGATATGGGCTGGACAAAGAGAAAAATAGTAAGATTCGATTGACTCAAAATTTGATCACATGAGGGAAAAAAAAAACCCTTAAGTAAAGCCCTGAAAATGTGAAGGAGAAAACAAACAAACAAACAAACAAACAAAAAACACAAAACTATAGTCAGCCAGAGGAAGATGTGATTTCTGTTTCCCTTGGTGGCTAAAGTTGTTTCCTTTTTCTGTTTTGTTGTTTTTGGTTTTTTTGTTTTGTTTTGTTTTGTTTTCTGTATCTTCGGAGTATACCAAGTAAAATTCCATTAAATGTTCCTTTAAACATGCAAGGTCCACATGCAGCTGTGGAGATTAATTCACATGAAACCCTGACATCTGACCAGGAGAAGATCATTCCTTTGGTTTGAACCTTTACTCTGGGTGCTAGTCAGCAGTCTCACCTGGTGATACGAATCTTAACTCAAATTTAGGTTAAAGGTTAAAAGGAATGTACTGGTTTAATTAATGTAAAGTCCAAGGGCCAAGCTGGCTTCAGATAATGTTTCTATGTTCCATTGTGTCTGAGACTATACAAGGTTTTGTTTATGATCCCGACTTATGTATTAGCAATGGCTATTTTAAACTTTCAAGTGCCCTGGCTTGAGACATGAAATAAATGCATGGTAACATTAACTCCAGGCCAAACTAGAACACTGAATAGTGATAATGTTGTCAGAATTCGATCCTCCTTTCCTGTCTGTGTTTCTTTATCCTTGTTCTGAAATATGGCTATTAATTGGCACTCCCAACCCAAAGCCTTAAGATTTAACAAGAAGAGGGATTTCATTCCTCTTGGCAAACCACATGCCAAATCCTATTGGGCTTTAATTCTACTTACTGTTCCAGCAGAAGCAGAGGTGTTTAAAATAGAGGAACTCTAAGACTGACAATTTATTTTATGGTACTTAAAAAGCAAGGACAAAATGAGATCCACTGTAGACAGCCACAGAGAAGCAAGAGATCTTTTGAGCCAGAGATATGAACAAAACACAAAGGTAAAGGTATGAGAAGAAGCTGAAAACACCACTTCTCGGTGGTGTGGACTTGAGTCAGCCAGCTTTCGCTAGAAAATAGGCAGAAAAGACCCTTGGTTTCGACTACCTCCTACCCAACAGGTTCTCAGCAAGTTTCACATTGCAAATCAGCAAAAAGCCAAGAGACAGGAGTCTATAGAGCACACAGGTAGCCCTCTGCAACAGAGTACAGTGGTCAGGGAGAGACAAGGAGAGAGGACAATTGGGTCCAGAGCTGGTATGTTCTACCCAGGACATATGCATTGTGTTAAACAATGTTGGGGTAGCCTGGGTCAAATAACTATTGTAAAAGAGAGATAAGGGATGATTTATTTGACTGATTATTAAGGACTGTGAAGAATGACAATTATATCACAGAAGGGATGCTGAAAGCAAAATTTAGAGGGCTACTACATTTGACAAAATAAATATCTGCTGAGAAATGAGCCCATCTAAGACTGGTCACTCATTTTCCTTGTCCGAACTGTCTTTGAGTGGGATCATCCATAGGGAGAACAGGATAAGGGTAAATATAGGACTATAACACGTAGCTTAAAAAACAAAACAACATGTAATAAGGAAGACTCAGAATTGGTTTTTCATGGTGTTGTAGATGAGCAGGTCCTACTTTCCAGGTTTTTTGGTTACCTTTGTGATAAGAGTTCTCGATCACTTTTTTTTCTTCTTTTCCTGCAGTGTCAAGAGAAACAAATCTTCTGACCTTTGGGTTTTCTTGCCTGCATCTTAACTGACAGTTGAAAGTTCACAATTCAACTGCCAGTCCCTTGCTCTTTCTCTTAGGTTTCCATCTTCAAGTTTATCTTGCTTCTTTGGTTTTTTTTCCCCCCCTGTCCTGTTAGTAACAAATTGTAATCACTCTTAAGCTCATTGCTTCATTGAGAAGAACCCGACATACTTTGTAAACAGTTGAGAAACTGGTATCAAAAGTAGCAGCTGCTTGTCCATCAGCTTGTCAACTACTGAGACTCTTTCCGGAGAACCTCACGAATGTGATCAAACAGCTTTCAGTTCCTGTCTCCAAAGATGAGCTCTAACCTGATGAAGTTGGAGGTAGCTGGGTTACAGTCAACTGATACAATAGTGTCCATTTGAAAAGGCATTCATGAGCACATGAACTGTAAAATTAAACATGCCCCCCAACACCCCAGACAAACTGATTAACCAATGAGCAAAAGACCTAAATAGACATTTCCCAAAGATGTCAGAGTAGCTAATATGTGAAAATACTGATTAGATAATAATAAAACCACAGTAAAAAAAATATAACTGTATACTTGTTAAAATGGCTATTCTGAAAAGCATTGGCAGGGATGTGGAGAGAGAGTCTGTATACAATGTTGGGAGGAGTGTAAATTAGTGTGGCCATGATTGAAAATGGTATGGATATCGCTCAAGAAATTAAAAATAGGAATATCATAAAATCTAATGACTCCTCTATTTGGTATATGGCCCAAGGAAATGAAATCAGAACCCATCTAGATATCTCTGCTCCCATGTTTGTGTGGTGTTATTCATGACAGTGAAGCTAATGAATCAAGCCGCTTAACTCTTGGTTTTGGATGATTGAGTAAGGTAGTTTTGGCATATATGGATGCTTTTTACCTTTTGAGTTTGCATCCAGGTAACTCATTGTAAATTAAAAATACCATAATAAAATGCATTTAATATGCCTAATGTAACAAGTAGTATTGGTTAGCCTACACAAACATGTTTAGAGCACTGACAGTTGGAGAAAATCATCCAGCAGAGAGCTGGTTTTATAATAAGGTGCAGGTTATTGAATGCCATGTGATATACTAGACAGTCTCATTCATTGGATGTTATGATTGTGCAGCTGATTGGGAGCGGTGGCTTATGGCTGAAGCCCGGCATTTTGAAATTCTCATACCACATATCACTCACCTAGGAAAAGATCAAATTTCAAATTGGAAGTATCATTCTACTAGATTCATATTGCTTTTGCACCATCACAAACAGAAACCTAGGTTGAATCATCACAAACTGAAAGTTTATGTATTGTTTATACAGAGATACTCAGGCTTAGGAAGGAAAGGAAGGCATCACCACTTGTAGCAGCGTGGATGACTCCAAAGAACCCCGCTGCAGAAATACTGTCTATAATTGCAGGTCTATGTGGATTCTAAAATACAGTTGCACACAGGGTGAGAGTAGAATTCTACCACCAAATATTAGGTGGTAGAGGGAAGGGTGGCTTGTTTGCTGGAAACTTCCAGCGTCAGACTGGGTAAGTTCTAGAACTCCACTGGACAGCAGCAGTGTCACTGTAGCTGATAGTAGTGTACTTTATTCATGACAATGCAGAGGGCACATTGCAGAGTGGTTCCCCAAATGCCCAGTGTATGTGGTTTTGCACATTCATGGCTGTGAGGAGATAGCTATATTAGCATGATCGTGGTAGTTCTCAATATCATATTGTATACCTGAGATACGCAATTTGTACTTTATACTTTGTGAAAGCTTGTGAATACTCTTTGCAAATATTTTTATAAAAGCAAAATCTATAATGTTTTAAATCATTACCTACTTTCCTATATTACCTAGAGTCCTTGTCTTAACTTTAACAGTCAGAGTGTATTATAACTTTACTTACCAATATACACTTATGTAGTAATCATCATCATCATCATTATCATCATAATTGCATTGAAGTCCATTGAAATTCTCTTCTACTTAAGAAGAAGAATTTTGTTTCTTCACGTAAAAAGAAAACATTTTATCTGGTTTTGGCTATTGTGAATCAAACTCTTATTTTTATACAAGTTCTTGGGCTAACCTTTTATTTTCTCTTAAAATACAGCTTGGAGGTGTTGGGTCACAGAGTAATTGTAATTTGTTTTAAACTTTTATTTTAAAACACTTTATTAAATCAATAAGTTTTCTAAGGAGACTGAATCATTTTACAGTGGCAACAGCAATATGTAGCAGTTTAGTGCTAATTTTTAAGGTTCTGATTTGTTAATTACTCCAAAGGCTACGGATTATTCCAAAGTTATAATTCATTTGTGACCCATTGGTGATGTTTCTGAGTACCAGCTGTTAAATGGCGATGTGGAGTGTACGTGTGTGAGCAGTAGAGGCAGGTAGGGCAGGGTGATATGATCCAATGCTGCTATCTCTTACACGCTGTTCCCAGGGGCCTCTGGTACAGTTCCTATCTGTATTGTTTCTCCAGTGAAACTTTGCTACATGTATCTTATGATTTGTTGGACTTTGAACTTTGTTTCCCATGAAACCACGGTATAATAACAGACTTTCTGGACCTTGGTCATAATAAGTGAAGATGAAACCCCCCACTCCCAACCACCCAGTACTCACTGGGCAGCGACAGAGAAGGGATGTGTTCTAGACTGGGAGTTCAGATCACAGTTACAAGTTATGTGATTTGAGATAAGATCAGAAGACATTGTAAAGGAATAAGCAAAACAAGGAAAGCTCTGCATTTCCTGCCACCACTAAAATTCGTGACTTTGAATGTAAGCTGAAATCATTAACAAAATAGTACCCATGTACTCCCCGAAAACAAACGACAATACTAAAGTCCCCTCTGAGCACTGCTACAAAATCCACAATCTCTTCTCTCCAGATTAATCTGGTAATGAGATCTCTGTGTTTCTAGATCTAGATTTTTTTTAAAGTATATTCAAATTATACCTATAGTCTTATATGCTTTTTACACAGATGGTATAGGGAACTGTATCCATATCTAAGACCACTTATAGATATAGTGTAATAGAAAAGATTATAAGGGAACACAGCAAAAGAGCAAATCATAAAGGAAGAAGTCTGAATGAGATCAGAGCACACGTCTAAGTTTTCTTCCTAGACACACTTTATTTCTTCCAGCAACAAGTCCCAAAACCATGTGAGCAGTCTACCAGAAGTAACTTGTAAGCGATAGCAGTGTTAGATTATACTACTCCACTTTGCTAAATTTTTGTTGTTGTTAAAAGAGATTATTGGATCCACTGGTTGCTGTGTATTGAAATTTCTGGCACCCAGATTGCAAGCAAGTGTGCTCAGCGTTAAATACATTTATTCAAACACTTTAGACACAATACATGGCTCTTAATAAAGAACAGTGGAAGCATTGTTGAATTCTGGTTGCTCAGACACTAGTCAGGGACCAATCTGTAAGCAGTCTTTTCTGGGGATGGCCATCTTCTGCTACTATGGTAACTCTTTTAGTCATGCCAGGATAACTTTTTGAAATGTTTTTTTTTGTGTGTGTGTGTGTGCACTTGAAATATTTTTGAGGTTTAACTTATATACATGTTTCTTTTCATTGCTTTACAGTTTTTCTCTTGAAAATAAAACATTAATGAGTATGTATGTTCTCACGTGCAAGGGTTCCCTGGTACACTCCTTTTGTGTACTTAAATTTAGGAAGAGTGGCAGAGATATAATTTGCTCCTTTCGGGAATTTTACCTCTATGCATATAAGTGTGGCTTTGATAACTCCAAGCCATATGGAACATAGAAGAACACTGTTACCTGACAGCAGCACTCTGAATATGTACTATTTGGTTTTAATTGAGAAGCACTGAGAACAGTTCCTAGAGAAAATTGGGAAATCTTTTATTCTATCAGCAGCCCACTGCTTCTCAATCTCTGAAAGCAACTGCTGAAAAGCCCTTATATGCAACTATGAAAAACAATTCACAGTGGCAAAACACTTTTAAGCACCACTACATACTTTGGGGTTCAGTCTGAGCATAAGCACATCCAAAGCAAAAAGTAAAATGAATTTAAGCGAGTGTAGGGTATGGTCAAACCTTTATCCTACAAAAGCCTTCCTGAATCCTTGTTTTTACTATCCAAGCTTGTCTTTTTCACTTGTAGGTGTGCCCTCTAAACTCTGCGGCCTTCCTAAACGTTTGGGTACAGCCTAGCACGGGAACTGACTCATCAGCATTCCTATGGCAAAACGTAGGCGCCCAATAGTGAAAGAAAGAATGAATGAAGGTGTAGAAAGAAGGCGGGAAAGGGGTTCGTTTTTCGGAGATGTGACTGACTAGCTGACTATGAGGGCCACAAATCAACAAGAACCAAACCTTTTTGGACAGATGCCCACTTGCACCCGGCTCTCAAAGCAAGCCCAGCCCTGCAGACTACGCCCCGCCCACCGAAGAGAAGACAGAAATACTCGCTGTCCGGAAAACCGGAAGTTCTGGTAATGCCCCGCGCATGCGTGTCCTCCTCGGCTCGCACTTCCTACACTAGGTCATCCAGTGAGGAAGCCGGGCCGCTCACCCGACGCAGCAAGGTCTTCGGCCGTCCCGCCCCTCACTCCGCTGCGCATGCGTCCTGGCTGGCTTGTTCGCCTTGAGGCGGGGCGCCAGGACTGGTTTTTTTTTTTTCCTTTTTGCTCCCGCCCCTGCGCTTCCCACCTGCCACGTACGGGCCCGCGGCTCTCGCTAGGCTTGTTGGGTGTGTGCGATTGGCCAGGTCGGCGCAGCCTGCAGCTCGGCGAGGCTCGGCGGACGGCGGCCGAGCGGACGGAGTCGGAAGCCTCCCTGTGATAAAGGACCCCGTGGCCTCGCGGCGGCCCGGTCAGCTGAGGCGGCGACCTCGGCAAGCGGGTACGGTGCCGGAGTGCCGCGCGCCGCCCCTCTCTGAGGAGATCGGGGGGAACCCGAGAGGCCCGGAGGGCTTCTGGAACCTCCCAGCGCCGGGCGGGAGGGTGGGGCCGGGGACCGTGGGAAGGGGCTGTGAGTGAGGGCGCGGGGCGAGAGCAGGCCATCGACTCGGCGGCCCTGCGTGGGGGAAGGGCGGCCGAGAGGGGGAGGGGAGGCACCGGCCTAGTCTGGCGGGCGTTTGACCCCGCTGGTACCCCATTCCTATTCCCTCCGGCCCCATAGAGTAGAGGGAGCCTGGGGGGCGGACGTACCTCTTACGCGAGGTAAAGAAAAGGATTGAGGAACCCTGGGGCGTTTGCTTGGCGCCTCACCCTCCAGAGCTGCTTGGAAGGTAGAGAGGGAGTGAATCATTGAAGGCAGAGAAAGAGGCCTTGAGGAGGCCCGAAGCGTTTGCCTGATCCCCCGGGAGTGGATCGTGGACCCGGAGTTAAGAAGTAGATTGAGGTCACAAAAAGGAACCTCATTCGGTCGTTCGTACACTCTAGTGCTTAGTGTCCTCCTGAGGCCCTACCCGGTTTTACTGATTACAGTTCCCAGCTCTTGTAAGTCGGTGTCTCTAGGCACCGTAGCAAGAATTGTAGATAACTTAATCTCAAAGATTATACAAATTTAGCTGTTAACTCTCCCTTCGAATGTGAAGAAAGTGCACCGTGGAGAAGAACTTGAGCTCAAATTGCTGCCAGTGTAAATGGTTACCATTCTTGCCATATACGCTGCATGTCATACAGATTTTGAGACCACTTAGTTTTAGGATGATCAAGGCTCTTAAAAAAGACAGAAAGAAAATGGAAAAGGAAAAGGAGCCAGTTGGTGATGTACACTCAGGAGTCAGAGGCAGGTGGATTTCTTAGTTCGAGGCCAGCCTGGTCTAGAGTGAATTGCAGGACAGCCAAGGCTACCCAGAGAAACCCCGTCTTGGGGAGGTGGGGGACAAGAAAAGAAAGAAGAAAGAAAGAAACTGCTTAGAGGGTGCGTACTTTAGAAGGTTCTGAAAGAGACCTACTCTCAGGTTAAGCAACAGGTGCCTGAGCTTGACTGTAGGATTTACCTCCTAGTGTATGGGACAAGCTTTATGTCCTTAGACACATCAGTTTATCCCCGTTACCATTTAATTCTAGGTTGAGTCACTTCTGGACTTAGGAAGTAGTAGGACAGCAACAAGATAAATCAGAAAATGCATAGTGATCTCACCAGCAGTTCTAGGAACTATGTCATGTTAGTTTCTACCCTGTTAGAGAAAGGCAGGATCAGAGTTGACAACTATGTGGATGAGGTTTTCTCTTGGGACAGGAAATAACTGTGGTGCCAGACATCACTACGCAAATGGACAACTTTTAGCTAAGATTACAGGGAGGAAACTAGAAGTGAATCTGGGCCACCCATGGCAGATGTTAGGATATATAATGTTAGCTTTTAGGTCAGTTGAAGCTGAGTGCCTCCATCCCATCAGAGGGCGAATTACCAAGTACATTTATTTGTACTGGAACTTTGTCTTACTTGGGAGTGTATCTTGATATGAGATGTCCCTTTTGGCCAGGTAAAGAAGGCACTATGAGATGGGTCAGGAACTGACAGTGTTCCAGTTTTCTAAGCACTGGTCCTTAATCTATATTGCTGGCTTATATGGCCTATAGGTAGAAGGCAGTAAATGCAGATTTATTGTAAGATCTTCATTCCTGTCAGGCTATCAATGAAAGCATGAGATATATACCATCTTTCTAAACTATTGTGATTGAGAGCCTGGGATATAGTAGATGTTATGTAAATATTTTCTAAAGTTAGAGAACAAATTGGGCCAACAATCAAAGAGTTGGTTTTATAGAGGTGTCAGGTCATCACAGTCTTTATGAGAAGTCCATTGTGAGAGTGATCAAACAAACTAAAAAACCAACTATGCTTCTTACATTAAGATAACTATGGCATCCAGACTGTGGAACAAAGTTGACTTTGTTCTGCTTTGACCTTGTAGTAGTCTGTTTAGGTTTCATTTCATTAAAGAGTTACTGATAAAAGTATAATTTTCCCCGAGTATGGTGAAGGGCTGTCTTCATTTGAGGGCTAGTTATATGCAAAGACTAGAGCATTTGTGTGAGGAATATTTGGAGATTTATATTTAATAATCATGACATAAGCTAGGATTCATTGAAAACTATCCAAGTTGAATAGTTTGGTGATTTGGTGAAGGATTTTCCACATTTAAGGGGCAGGGGCGATTATGGAGGTTCAGTAAGTTTTAGAGAAGGAAACAGAAAGCTGGCAGTAGTGAAAGTTCAAGATTGAAACCAAATTGGCCTGTAGGAGGTTTAGGACAGCTTAAATGGCCCTCATTGGTCATTTACTTGGAACAGGTAAAAAGAGTTGATGGTAGGAACATTCTGTGTTGTTAGATAAACATGGTCAGGAATTACTTGGCCCTGCAGAAAACAAATATTAACCCATTATTTGATCCTAAGTATGCACTTTTACAGTAGTAATTTGAATTACTAAAGTCCTTAGAGTTCAGAATTTAAGATTATAAATACATAGGACAATCATATTGAATAACCTGAAATGAATAAGAGGAAAATAAAACTCAAGATGGGAAAATTCTTAGCAAACTAGTATCAAATAACTACTTCTATCATTTAAAAAAATTTTTTTTAGTGCAATACTAGGTATTTATCGAACCCAAAGCCTTATGCATGCTAAGCAAGCACTGTACCACTGGTCAATGTCCTTTTTTAGAATCTGGTAGCCTGGACTGATCTTGAACTTGTTTTGTAGCTGAGGCTGGCCTGATCTCCTGATCTTGCCCATCCAATACTTAGTTCTCTTCTTTTTAAAATAAAGACTGCATGGCTGGGGAGATGGCTCAGCTATTAGCAGCCCCAGTATTACTTTTGAAGAGGACCTGAGTTCAGTTTTCATATCAGAGGTCTCACAACTGCCCATTGCTCCAGCTCCTGGTGATGCAACTCCTTGGCCTCCTGGCACACCTGCACACAGAAATAAAATAAATCTTAAAAAAATAAAGAAGAGAGTGCAGTCTAATCATACACACCCATTTTGATTGGAGGTAAATGTGTGTTGACCAGTTAATGGAGTTGTGTTGCTTGATCATGGATAGTTATTTGAAAGCCCAGGAGTTTCCAAAATAGAAAATTAGAAAAAGTACTCTTGAGATCTTATTTAGGAAAAAAATAGTAGAAAAATTTCATGTTCATACATGCCTCCTCTCCCAGGTTAACTTTAGAGTTACAAGTTAACAATTTTGTAGCCATTGTTCATTTGAATAACTTTGTACAAGGCCTCTTCTACAATCTAGAAAGATAACAAACAAAACTGGAACTTCCTATAGTGGAGAGGACAGTTAAAAAAAATCACATAGTGTTTAGGGCTTTGAAGAAAAATAAAGCAGGGCAAGAAGACAGTGATGAGGAAAACCTCTAGAAGATAATTAGCACTCTGGTCCCAGTGAGGGGTGTGAAAGACTTCAGGGCAAAGGACATAGTAAACACAAAACCTTCAGTTGGGAGGTGATCTTAAACTGGTGTAGTAGATGTGAGGAAGGCAAAGAAGTAGAAAATGCCAGAGGTTAGGTCATTTTTACATGTTTCTATGGGAACTCATTGGAAGGTTCTAAGCATTAGATTTTATTTAAGAACAAACTCTGGTTTGTTGAAGATTCAGTGAAAGTGGATGGAGGTAAATAAGGAGATCATTTGAGACATTTTGTAATAAATCGGACAAAGTGGTGAATTGGATTAAATTGATGGTACTGAAGATACCAAGTTGGATGGACTACCAAAATACTTTCAAGATGGTGGTAACAACCAGTTTTGCTGCCACTCTAGATGTAAGGTGTGAGAAAAGGGAAGCAGCAAGGCCTTCGTGAAGAAAGAGTTGCCACTAACAGATGTGAAAACCTTAGGAGAGGCAACTTCGGGGTAGAAGTCAGGAATTTATTTTTAGACAGATGGTATTGGTATTGTCAGTTAAGTAGTTGAGTATATAAAGAATATAATACATAATAATAGAAATTACGTTAGTAGTAAAATGCTTCCAGACTATTTATGTGTCAATGAGAGGCACTTTTTTAAGGAGCACAATTTCTTAACATTCTAATAGTTCGGCTTTTATCAGTTTTTTTCCCCTAGAGTTGTATATAGAGAGAGCATCCTGGAGTCCACAATGAACGGACAGTTGGACCTAAGTGGGAAACTGATTATCAAAGCTCAACTTGGGGAAGATATCCGACGAATTCCCATTCATAATGAAGACATTACTTATGATGAATTAGTGCTAATGATGCAGCGAGTATTCAGAGGAAAACTTCTGAGTAATGATGAAGTTACAATAAAGTATAAGGATGAAGGTAAGACTTTTTAAGGTCTTAAGTACTGTACTTGTTCTTTCACCCATTTTTCCCCCCAATGGACTAATACTCCATTCCCCCAACCATTTTATTTTAATTACTATTTGTATAGTTCATACAATTCCTTTGTATGTTAAAAATGTAATTTAGTAGTAGAAGGGAGTGTCTGACATTTTCGCATGTATGTTCAGAAAGGGATTCTCATACTACTTATATTGGATGGAAAAAGGATTTCTTTACGATTTGTGGTAGTTTGAATATGCTTGGCTCAGGGAGTGGCACTATAACGAGATGTGGCCTTGTTGGAATAGGTGTGTCACTGTGGGCGTGGGCTTAAGACCCACACCCCAGCTGTCTGGAAGTCAGCTCCTCCTGCACCATGCCTGCTTAGATGCTGCCATGTTCCTGCCTTGATGATAATGGAATGAACCTCTGAACCTGTAACCCAGCCCTAATTAAATGCTGGCCTTATAAGAATTGCCTTGGTTGTGGTGTCTGTTCACAGCAGTAAAACCCTAAGACACCAACCAAATACAGGAAAGCTGGCTTAAACAAAGGCAGATGTCTCCCTGTATCTTTTTATTCTTTTTCTCCTCTTCCTTTGGCAGGTTCTATGTAGTCCCAGACTGACATGGAACTTGAGGTTAACTACACCTGGCCCAGATGTCTTTCTTTATTGCAGGAGTTATTGGTATTCATTATGCTGATATGCATTGTCAATTTATTATATTCAGTGCTCTGGGGCTCATTTGACCACAACTATTTTTTACAGAGATATATTTTGCTTAACAAACATTTCATCAAACATAGTAGAATTATAGTTGCATTTCCTAATTTTATTACTAACAACTGCTTTTCTCTGAGGACTGGCTTTAAATCATGATGGTTGTTATTATTATGGAAAGCTTACATTCTCAGTGGTTCAACGTGCAAGAAAATCAAGAAATGTTATCAAGCATCCTGTGGCTTACCCTGAGCATTAACATCTAGCATTCAGATGAATACTTTGAAGAGATTTTACTTGGCTAGGGTTTGAAATGTTGGTTATCTGTACATATAGCATTGGTCAGAGCCTGGTCATGTGGCTTTACTGAGCTGCAGGTGGAAATTGTTCATCCCTTGGCACCTATTTTGGACAACTTACAACTGGTGATCAGCTAAGTTGATCATCTACCAATGTGTGTAAATTCTCCTTTTCTGTTGACATATGATCTGAAATTAGCCAAACTAATTTTTGAGAGTCACTACTCATACTCTTCCTACTTCTTGAGCAACCTCATCTGTTTATAAATACATAGTTTTAACTCTGTACTGTTCAGATGTATTCCTTAGTTAAGTCAATTTCTTCTTATGCTTTAGTCCTTTTTTACTGTTCAGACTTCATCCCCTTCCCAGTCTGCCTCCCAACCGCTCTCCATCCCATACTTCGCCTTCACCCCACCTTCCAGGTCACCTGTCTCCTAGAGGATGTCCCACTCCCACCCCCACCCCTACCCCTCCAGGCCTCCCCACTCCCTGGGGCCTCAAGTCTCTGGAGGGTTAGGTGCATCACTGAGTCCACACCAGGCAGTCCTCTGCTGTATATGTGTCTGGGGTCTTATTCCAGGTAGTGTATGCTGCCTGGTTGGTAGCTCAGAGTCTGAGAGATCTCAGGGTTCTGGGTTAGTTGAGACTGCTGATCTTCCTATGGGGCTGCCCTCCTCCTCAGCTTCTTCCAGCCTTTCCCCAATTCCGCCACTGGGGTCCCTGGCTTCTGTCTGTCAGTTGGGTACTAGTATCTGCATCTGACTCTATCAGCTGCTAACGGTTGGGCCTGTCAGGGTAGCCATGGTAGGCTCTTGTCTGTCACAAGCACAGCACAGCATCAGTAACAGTGTCAGGACCCTGGACCACCCCTTGAGCTGGATCCCAATTTGACCCTGTCACTGGACCTCCTTTCTCTCCTGCTCTTCTCCATTTTTGTCCTTGCAGTTCCTCAGAGAGGAACTGGGTCAGAGCTTTTGACTGTGGGATGGCAACCCCATCCCTTCACTTGATCTCCTGTCCCTCACTGGAGGTAGAATCTACAAGTATCCCCACCCCTACTGTAGAACACTTCATCCAAGGTCTCTCCCTTTGAGTCCTGAGAGTCTCTCACCTCTCAGATACATTCTAGAGGGTCTCCCCTCCACCCCCACCTCCTACTTTCAGAGGTTGCCTGTTTCCATTCTTTCTACTGGCCCTCAGGGTTTCAGTCCTGTTCTCCCATCCTCTACTCCTGCCCCTAATACCTAATCATGCTCCTTTTTTTTCCTCCTCTTTCTCACTCAGGTGCCCACCCTCTCTCCCCCTCCTGTGATTGCTTTCTTCTCCTTCCCAAGTGGGATTGAAGCAGCCTCACTTGAGTCCTTCAGGTTGTTTACCTTCTTGAATCCTGTGGGTTGTGTCCTGGGCATTCTGTACTTTTTTGGCTAATATCCACTTATTAGTGAGTACATACCGTGCATGTCCTTTTGGGTCTGAGTCACCTCACTCAGGCTGATATTTTCTAGTTTCATCCATTTACCTGTAAAACTCATGATTGTATCTCTTTATATTTCTTTCCTCCATCCATCCATCCATCTATCCACTCCTATCTATCCATCCATCATCCTCCCACTCACCTACCTTCCTTCCTTCCTTCCTTTCCTTCCCTCTGTCATCCATCCATCCACTCACACTTCTTTCTATCCATCCATCATCCTCCTAGTCACCCACCTACCTTTCTTTCTTCTTTCCTTTCTTTCCTCTATCCATCCATCTGTCCATCCATCCATCCATCCATCCATCTTTACTGGGCTGGGGACCAGATCTTCTAGGCAGGCACTTTACCACTGAACCACAACTCAAAATTTTAAAAATAATTTTAACTCGAGACACACTATTCTTGCTTCACACTTAGCACATCTCAAAACTGACCTTATAACTGGCATTCTCTTGTCTCCCTTTCATGTAGGGGAAGTGTCAGCAAACTGTGAAGGGTCAGAAAATAATTACTGTAGCTTTGCATCTCACAGAAGATCTCTATCATACTACTGTCATTTTTGACGACTTTAAAATGTAAAAGACATAGTTCATTATTCTGCAAAACCAAGAGAGATTCTGTTGGGTGTGGTTTGTGGCTCCTACTTTAAGGTATCTTCCTTATTGAAATCTGTCCTCCATATATAGTTACCACATTGTATTTTCTTCCTTTCTTCCTCTCTCCTTCCCTGTTTTTCCTTCCCTCTCTCCTTTTTTTGTGGTATTTTTTAAAAAATTGTCTAATTTGTTCAGGTTGTTGTTTCATAGTCTGTTGGCAACTATACAAGATGGCAACTTAGTTAATGTTCCAACAGTGATACTCATTCTGTGTTTTAGTTAAAAGGTTTCCATTGCTGTGAAGAGACACCATGACCACAGCAACTCTTAAAAAGGAAAACATTTAATTGGGGCTTGCTTACAGTTCAGAGGTTTAGTCCATTATCACCACGGTAGGACTATGCACATGGTGGCATACAGGCAGACATGGTCCTGTAGAAGGAGCTGAAAGTTCTACATCTTGATCTGCAGGCAGCAGGAGGAGAATGTTCTATACTGGGCATAGCTTGATCATATGAGACCTCAAAGCTTGCCCACATGGTGACACACTTCTTTCACTAAGGCCACACCTAATAGTGCCACTCCCTATGGACCAAGCATTCAAACATGGTGGGGATGGGCATATCTGTTCAAACTATCACATTTTGTTACTGTTATGGGATTCAAGAAAAGAAAAAAGACTAAGACTGATTACAAAACGTTTCACTATTTTTGCATCAGTATGTTACTTTCTTTAAAATGTGTTTATGAGCAGAATCCCTGAGAATTGAGCATTATTAAGCATATACATATGTATACGTGTATGGGTCTACTTATAAAATTCTAAAAACAGTTACAAAGTACCTAGTTATGCCTGGCTTTTGACATGTTTATTTGTTTAAAATAACATGTCTTAACAAGCTTTAAAATTGGTTTATTCTCACCCAGTTTTGTGAGACATAGTTAGCTGCCTCTTGTGACTGGTTCCCCCTAACCCCATATCACCCCATATCATTCCTTAGCTTTGTGCATGTGTTTGAAACATTCAGTTGATACTTTAATTACAATATTTTTATTCTTAGGATTCTAAGGGATCTCAGTCTTCAGCATGCATTATTTTTATATATATTTACATAAGAACATGTATTAACTGGAAAAAATTTAGGGTTTCATTTTCAGCATGGTCAGTGATCTAAAGTGGTTTACTATAACCACTTATAGCAGTCCTATAAACCCTTTTGCAGCTCTATGTTACTAATTTATGTAACTCTCCCTCAATTTGTGTTAGTGTATTTTATTAAAAATAAGGATTTGAACTATGGGAATCCTTGTTTTCATGCTTGATACATTTATTTAAACGTTATACAATGGAAAGATTTTTCAGTCTAATATAGTAATTTGTGATATTATTACAGCTCTTAGGACTAAAAGTTAATGTGTATGATACATTTTCAATACAGGGTTTCTCTGTGCAACCCTAGCTATCCTCATCTCTGTAGACCAGGCTATCTTCAACTCAGAGAATCACTTGCCTCTGCCTCTGCCCTCCTGCTAGGATTAAAGCCGTGTACTAAGACTATGCCCTGCTTAACTTTGACTACATTTTCTCATGAATATATGATAAATATTTATAAGAATAGTAGATAAAGTTGATTTAGTATTTCTAAAAAAAATCTTTGCTGATACTTGATTCTTATGGGAGATTCTAATTCTGCTCTGTAATTTACATTTTTTGTATAACTTAGTTTATTATTGATGGGAATCTGAATTTATTTTTCTTTTGAATTTCAGATGGAGATCTTATAACAATTTTTGATAGTTCTGACCTTTCCTTTGCAATTCAGTGTAGTAGAATACTGAAACTGACATTATTTGGTGAGTGGCAAACTTTAAAATAAATTTTATTTTTTTAGATCCAAATGCTTATTAGATACGAATTTTTTATAATAAATTGTTTTTATTTGCCTTAGCTTTTTCTTTTTAATGGCTCAGAGTTACATAATACTTTAAAGTATTTGCATTCAGGTGAGACTTTGGATTACTTGAAATTTTATGTATTAGTAGAAGTTTAATTCAGGCAGAATTAAAGATTTTGTTTTTGAGATGAGATGTAACTTAGGAATCTCTAGTAAGAGTACTATAGTATTAATTTTTAATGCCAGAATTTTGACTTTGTTAGGTTATTAATGTTTGGGAAGATTAATATGTTAAGTTCTATAATTGTATTGTTACCCCAAATAGTAATGCCTTATATGTCAGATTTAGAACAGGGTTCAAACTACCTCTGAGGTCTCTAAGAACTTATAATTATCCTCCTCTATATTATGTTTTCATTTATTTATTTATTTATTTATTTATTTATTTATTTTATTAGAGGTTAGCATATAAGTCTGCTACTTTGGGTATTATTTTTTGGGGAGTAAAAAGCTGGCAGTGATGGGTCTTGGATATAGTTCCAGGCTAGCCAGGGCTTCACTTGAGACCCTATCTCTTGGGAGCGGGATAAAAAAGGAAGTAGGAAATTTGGCATCCGCTGTGTATCTTGTTTGATTTTTTTTTTTTAACTTTTTAAAGGTATGTATTTTAATGCTTTTAAATTCCAACATTGTAAAAATACTATTAGAGCATAGGGAGATGGTAGCCCAGTTGGTAAGGTTGCTGCAGTACATACAGCCTGAGTTCTGATCCGTAAACACTCATGGGAAAAGCTGGGCATGGGAACATGTCTAACTCCAGCTCTGAAGTAGAAAGAAATGGGCAGATCCAGGGCCTTGCTGACCAGCTGATCCAGCCATCTGGTGCAGAGTGGGTTCAGTAAGAGTCCTAAGTAAGGTTAAAAGCCATAAAAGAAAACACTCAGCATCAACCTTTGGCCGCCGTGGGAGCAGTCACTAGCACACATACTCCACACACATAAACAAGTTAAAATATGTGGATGAAAGTAAAACTACTTTTGATTCTGCTGTTTATTTTTACTTAATGTGTGTTATTTAATGTCAGATTTATTCTAGTCTCATCTCCTAAGTTTAAACAAATTAATCCTTCTGTTTTAGTTAATGGCCAGCCAAGACCCCTTGAATCAAGTCAGGTGAAATATCTTCGTCGAGAACTGATAGAACTTCGAAATAAAGTGAATCGCTTATTGGACAGCTTAGAGCCACCTGGAGAACCAGGACCTTCCACCAGTATTCCTGAAAACGGTAAACTGAGTTTATTTTATTTTATCCTAATGAATTCTTTTATCATTTTTGTGGAGAGAGAGGATTGTTTATTTTATAGGAATAAGATGGCATTCTTAATATCTTTATTATCCTTGCTTCTGCTTTTGTACATGTCAGCATTCCCACAACTGTTTGTCAAAATTACTGTAAACCTGCATTAAAATGCTTGGATTGAATCACAGACCTGTGGGAGGACAGGGCCTGGAATCCCATATTTAAAGTACTCTCTAGGACTGGGGAAGTAACCCAGTGGTAGAGTGCTTGCCTGACATATGCAGTACTCTGTATTCAGTCCCCAGTACTGAATGATAATAAATAAACGTGCAGGTGAGTGCATAAGGAGTACTTTTGTGATGATTCCTTTAGTTTGTCTCAGCCCATACAGTAGGCCAGTTTTCAAACACTTTTGATTCATGAATTGTTATTAGTGCGATAATTAATGAATCTTAGGAATTGATTTTCTATAGTAAAAACTAAGTTTCAAATGCAAAATATTTTTAGATTGGTACTTTAAAATAGCATATTAAAGTTTATTTTAAACACAATTTTTAATATGCATAAGAAAACTTTTTTGCATTTACTGGTGACACGTACTATTTATAAATAGTAAAGATAATGTAAGGTTTATTGACATATTGGAAGCTGATAGAGTTTAGGTACCAAAATGTATATTAAAATATGGACTGAAATTAAAAGCATATTTCATAGGTTAAAAGTATATGTGAAATTAAAAGCATATTTCATAGGTTGAAAGTATATGTTTGTGTGTGTGTGTATATGTGTTTAAAAACCAACTATTCAACTTTTGTTTAATATAAACTATTTCATGTAAAAATGATTTTATAAATGGCTGCTCGTAATTTTCAAACGTTTAAAACTATACAAGTTTTAAATGTTTAAAATACAAACTGGCAACTTTTTAAAGAATGAAGCTAGCTACATGTAAGGACCATGAGAATTTCTGTGGAAAAATGTCATGTGTAACTTCTTGAAAGCCTTAGACTCAGATATTATATTTTTTGCTCCTGCACAATTTTGAAAGTTGGCATTTCTTTATTTTTTTCTTCCTCCCCATTTCCTTCATTCCTCTGTGCTTGTTTGTGTCCTCAGTCTCTTTCTTTGTGTATCAGACTCAGGGTGTTTATGTGCTACTGAATTGTAGACACCTTACTTTTAAAAACATAGTTAGGTTTTAATTTATTTCATGTCTTTTCTCTTTACCATTTGGAATTAACATTGATGGTAAATGCTAAATAGATATTTGCTGATGAATTAGTAATTTTAGTCTTACCTCTATTTCAGATTATGGTAAAACTTACTGAGATACTTTATGATCTTAGATACTTTTAAGATGAAGACTTATTTATATGTTACAGATTACAGCAGTTTGTTTATTCTGAATTTTGCCCTTGTTTGTTTTTGTGTACACTTGCATATGGGTGGCTGTACATACAAGTGTAGCATGTGTGAGCATGTGCATTTAGAGGTCGGAAGACACCCTTCATTCTTCATGTGCCTTCCACCTATTGCTTTATGACAGGGTCTCTAAATGGCCTGGAACTTCTCCAAGTAGGCTAGTTTAGCTTTGTTTCTGCCTCCCATCTTGCTATTGCTGGAACTACAGGATGGTATTACCTAGCCAGCTTTTTATGTGAATTCTGGAGGTTAAAAACTCAGGTCCTGGGGCACGTTCATTATTTTATTCCTTTCTGCCCTTTGACGCTGCCGAGGAAGCATCGCTGAAGGCTCTCATCACCCTGCCGACACGTCTAAGTCAGAGTCTCCCAAGGAGCCGGGACAGCTGCGGAAGCTCTTCATCGGAGGCCTGAGCTGCGAAACCACCGATGAGAGTCTGAGGAGCCATTTTGAGCAATGGGGAACACTAACCGACTGTGTGGTAATGAAAGATCCAAACACCAAGAGATCCAGGGGCTTTGGGTTTGTCACCTACGCCACTGTGGAGGAAGTGGATGCTGCCATGAATGCAAGACCACACAAGGTGGATGGAAGAGTCGTGGAACCTAAGAGAGCTGTGTCAAAAGAAGATTCTCAGAGACCTGGTGCCCACTTAACTGTGAAAAAGATCTTTGTTGGTGGTATTAAAGAAGACACTGAAGAACATCACCTACGAGATTATTTTGAGCAGTATGGGAAAATCGAAGTTATAGCAGTTATGACTGACAGAGACAGTGGGAAAAAGAGAGGCTTTGCTTTCGTCACCTTTGATGACCATGACTCTGTAGATAAGATTGTTATTCAGAAATACCATACTGTGAATGGCCACAACTGTGAAGTAAGAAAGGCTCTGTCAAAGCAAGAGATGGCTAGTGCTTCATCCAGCCCAAAAGGTCCAAGTGGTTCCGGAAACTTTGGTGGTGGTCGTGGAGGCAGTTTTGGTGGCAGCCATGATGGTGGTGAATATGGTGGCAGTGGGGATGGCTATAATGGATTTGGCAATGACGGAAGCAGTTTTGGAGGTGGTCGAAGCTACAATGATTTTGGCAATTACAACAATCAGTCTTCAAATTTTGGACCGATGAAGGGAGGAAACTTTGGCAGCAGGAGCTCTGGCCCTTATGGTGGCGGAGGCCAGTGCTTTACTAAACCACGAAACCAAGGTGGCTATGGCGGTTCCAGCAGCAGCAGTAGCTATGGCAGTGGCAGGAGATTCTAATTACAGCCAAGAAATAAAGCTTAGCAGGAGAGGCGAGCCAGAGAAGTGACAGGGAAGCTACAGGTTACAACAGATTTGTGAACTCAGCCAAGCACAGTGGTAGCAGGGCCTAGCTGCTACAAAGAAGACATGTTTTAGACAATACTTATGTGTGGGAGCAAAAACTAAAGGATTTTATTTGTGACTAATTGTATAACAGGTTATTTTAGTTTTTGTTCTGTGGAAAGTGTAAAGCATTCCAACAAAAGGTTTTACTGTAGACCTTTTCGTCTATGCTGTTGATTGCTTAAATGTAATAGTCTGGTCATGACACTGAATAAATGTATCTTTTTTTTTTTAAAGAAAAAAAAAATTCAGATCCTCTTGAATACAAAGCAAGTCATGACCGTGATGTCTTTTCAAGCAATAAAACAAGTGACTAAGACATAAGGACGTAGTACAAATGCATCTTATCAAAGTAGACCTAACACTAATAAATCCAAGTTCACTTTTAAGAATGACTTTAAGTCAGGATCATACCTGTTTATACTTTATCACCTTGTATATTATTTTGAAGCAAATTCCAAATACATTTTTTCTACAAGTTTTTAATAACAAGTAGTACATATTTAAGATAAGAGCAGAGTTATGTTATTTTACATAGGAATTTTGGCTGTCTTGGTTTGTTAATAGAGGTCTAGACAAAACATAAGAGTTGAGATCCTAAAGTTAGTTAAGATTTATATTGTTTTACAAAATAAAACACTCGTTATTATAACTGCTTCTTGGGCATCTTACATGACTGTGTAGGTCATTGGGGTATGGGCTGGATAAATAGCTCAGTTGATAAAGTCCTTGCTATAGGGTCTGTGTTTAGTTCCTAGAACCCATGTGAAAAATGCCTGGTGTGGTGGTATGTGTTTGTAATCCCAGCACTGTAGAGATGGAAGTACGCAGTGACCTGGGGCTATCAGTGGTCAGCCAGTGATAGACCATATAGCTTGCTTGGTGAGCTCCAGGCCTTTGAGAGACCCTCTCAGTAAGCATATTGGACAGCTTTTGAGAAGTGTCACTGGAGATTGTCTTCTGATCTCTATATGCACACAGGTGAACACACACAGACATATACACACTGAATGAGTTAGGGTTAGTGCTGTGATGAAACACCATGACCAAAAGCAACTGAGGAGGAAAAGAGTTATGAAAAGATTTCCATATCCTGAATCATAGTCCACTGATAGAATCCAAGGCAGGAACTCAAACTAGGCAAGAATGTGGAAGCAAGAGCTGATGTAAATGGTTTGGGGGACTGCTGCTCACTAGTTTACTGCTTATGGCTTGCCCAGGACCAGCAGCCTAGGGGTGGACTCACCCACACAAACTACTAATAAAGAAAATGCCTTAGAGGCTGGCCTACAGCCTGATCTGTAGGGAGGCAGTTTCTCAATTGAGGTTTCTCTCTCAGATGACTGTAGCTTGTGTCAAGTTAACACAAAAACTAGCCAGCTCAGGGCTCCATAAAAGTAACATGTAAAATGATTGTGTTTGTTAAGGAAATTTTTAGTAATAATAATAAATAATAATAATAATAATGTTTTACTTTCTCGTACTTGAGATAGTCTTGCTATCTATCTTGTTCTAGCTGGCCTAGAACTCTTGATCCTCTTGTTGTAGCCTCTTGATTGCTGGGATTATTGACACTCAGTTTAATCCAGTAATTCTAAAAGGGGCAGTGGTAAGAGACAATAATTCTTTTGGAAAAACTGTTCTCTTTTACTCATTTTCCCTGAAGCATATACAGTCTATATTCACAAAGTCCTGACAGTATTTATATACATGTATATTTTCTTATCTTTTTTTATGTCCTTTTGGGTATAGATAAAATAAACCTGTTTACTCCTTTATTGTAGATACTGTGGACGGTAGAGAAGAAAAGCCTGCTGCTTCTGATTCTTCTGGGAAACAGTCTACTCAGGTTATGGCAGCAAGTATGTCAGCTTTTGATCCTCTGAAAAACCAAGATGAAATCAACAAAAATGTCATGTCAGCATTTGGATTAACAGATGACCAGGTTTCAGGTAAGTCAGTTCCTTTTTCCCTTTCATCTTTTATCTCTCCCCTCCTCCCTTTTTTTTTTTTTTTTTGGTTTTTGGAGACAGGGTTTCTCTGTGTAGCCCTGGCTGTCCTGGAACTCACGCTGTAGACCAGGCTGTCCTCGAACTCAGAGATCCACCTGCCTCTGCCTCCCAAGTGCTGGGATTAAAGGCTTTTTGCACCACCACCGCCCAGCTATCTCTCCCTTTTTTGAATATGGTGAAATATTATGTCTTAAGGGTTTAGCCAATTATTTTTTTTACATACTTAAGTTTCTATAAAACAGGAAAATTCATGATTTTAGAACCCCCAAGGAAATTTGTTTGGCCTTTAGCACACTTTTCTACCTTAAAAGAACCACTGTTTTCTTCAGATAAATTTTATTAAAAGAAATATTTTCAGATTTTTTTTAGGCAGAACTTTTTATCAAAAAATAAAAAAAAGTTCAGATTTTTTTTTGTAAATTGCATTGTGATACATCTTGCTATTTCTTCTAATCTTAGGAAATTGAAAATTAAACAGATTTCTGATTAATTGCTTTTATATGAATACATTTTTAGCTATAAAGCAGTACTTTAAATTTTTTAAATTTTTTATCTCTTATTTTTTGCTTATCATTTTGTCACCATTGTACCTGTTTTTCTTGGTGGGGACAGGGGAGACCCTAATCACACACATGTTGTTGCAGAGTGCTTCATGTTTTTATTGGCTGCTTTCCAGAATTACAATATCTGCTTTATTTTCTCGTTTCTACCTGTCTTGCAGGTTTTCATTGTAAAGTAAGCATTTTCATTAGTGTATCGTGCTGATTTGTAATTTTTAATGTTTTGTTTTTTTCTAAGAGCTTTGTTATTGCCCTTCCAACAGGTTCTTAGTCTTTATGGACTTAAATTACTTAAATTACCAGGGGAGAGTAGTTGGTATCTCTGGGTTGTTTGTTTGTTTTTTTGGTTTTTTTTTTGTTTTGTTTTGATTTTGTTTTTATTTTCAGCAGTAGATGCTGCCTCCTCCTCCTCTGTCTCCTCTTTCCTCCTTCCTTCCTTTTTTTTTTTTTTTTTCTGAGACCCCTTGGATTTATTCCCATTCCATAAACAGATAAATAGCTAAGAATTTGGGCAGGGTTTATAATTATTTTTGTCCAAGTAATTAGGCCTTCAATGACAGGGAGTTTCATCCTCCATTTTCAGCTCCTTGTCTAACCATGAAATTGCTAATATGATGGTTTTCTACTATTGGAGCTACAAACAAGTCTTGAAATTCTTAGTTCACTATATTTCTACAGGGGTAAACTCCCTTTTGGTTTCTCTGAGATTTGATTTACTAGTAGTTATTTTAGATAATTATTTTCTTCTACTTTGTTCAAGTTTTTGCTACTTGGGGAAGGGTTTACCTGCACCATTTACTTTGCAAATTTTAGCAATTTAAAATAGAGAAATTATTTGGTTTATTTATTTTGATTTTCTTGGAAACTTGTGTGGGATTATTTACTGAAGAGAATTGTTAGATTTTGAGAAGACATTTGAATATATTACCTTTTCATGTAGATATGTATACTTAGTTGTCATCTCATAGATGACAACCAGAGTATTTTTTTTTAATTTTTCAGATGTGATATGATTAAGCAAGGAAATAGCTACCACAGTAATGTAGAAGTGAAGAGAATGAAGTTTTAGAAAAACAGAAAAAACAACAGTAATAAGCTACATATAAGAGAGAAAAGAAGAGCCAAGCACTGAGTATTTTTAGGATTAATAGTACAGTATCTTCTCTAGGGGAAGTGTGTGTGTGTGTGTACAATAAAGTTGTAAACCAGTCAGCTGTATCTAACCTGGTGATCAGCATTCCTGTTACCATAAGCTAGCATAGATTATTCATTAGACCTTGACTATTAGTGGACAAGCCATATGCCTAAAGTGATGGTATGTCAGCTTTGTCTTGCAGTGACAAAATGCTTGAGAAAACTTAAGGTAGTGGTCTCAACCTGTGGGTTTTGGCCCTTTTAGAGGTTGCATATCAGAGATCTTGCATATCAGATATTTACATTATGATTCCTAACTAGCAAAATTACAGTTATGAAGTAGCAATGAAATAATTTTATGGCTGAGGGTCACCACAGCATGAGGAACTTTATTTAAGGATCATAGCATTAGAAAGGTTGAGAATCACTGACTTAAGGGAAAGGGATGTATATTGGGTCATGGTCTCAGAAATCTCAGTTCATGATCCATTGGCTCCATTAGTTTGGGCCTGAAACGAAGCAAACACATAAAGTGCTGAGCGTGTATAAGAGAAAGCTGTTTACTCTGTAGTGATCAGAAAGCAAATGAACAAGGAAGTGAACGAGGCTACTGACAAGATGCGTTCTTAAAGTGCATGCTCTCCAGAACCCCCTCCTCTTTTTTTCCTTTCACCTTCTGGTAGCCCACCAACTGTCAGTTCATCGGTGGGATAACCCAGTTATGATGTTCAAGCATTTGTTTCAAACATGTCTCAAACGTTCATCAGCTTTAGTACTGGGGCTTTGGTGACATTTTAGATTTAAACCATGATAAGTTCTGAGGACATGCCGCTGGAATAGCTAGAGACGAGTTTCAAGGAAAGCCTGCTAGTAATAGTGGTTAAATCAAGCTTTCTAAGTGGTAATTGCCTTTAGAAGACTTTACTGTAAGCTTTGTTTAACTCATAACCCTTCCAAGTAACTTTGATGTCAGAATTGGTGTGCCTTTTACATAATTGAAGAGGCTATGGCCCAGAAAGAGATTCAGTAGCGTGCCCAAAGTCAGCAGCCACTATTAGCTCTGGCAATACAACCTAAGTAATTTAGCTCCAAAACTCTTCATGTCATCCTTTTGTGTTTCTAAAGTAACTTGAAACAGTAAGTCATGTATTATCTTCAGAATCCGTTTTTTGTCACAGTATTAGAAGTATACAGAAAGTCTAGATTCTTTGTACTTGCTTCTGTGTTTTTCTTATCCTGACAGTTTGATTTGACTACAGGTGTTAACTAGAGTCCTAGGCCTATCAGAAAAGAACAAGAGTATGGTCAAAGTTTTCATAGTCTTAAGGAAAATGGAGCCTGTGTAGACATTTATACAAAGTAGAAATCACTGTGGCTTATTTAGAAAGTAAGCCGTAGATAAATTCACTAGGGAATAAAGTATTTATAAGTTAGAGGTTTATTAGAATTATAACTAGGTTTTAAAGAAGGCCATGTAAGTATGTGACTGTTGCAGATAGTCATAGAGAGAGTGCATTAATTATGATAAGTGAAGTAGAAGCCAAAACATGATTAGATATCCTAAGAAATCCTGAAGTGAATCATTTTAACTAAAAGAAGAACATGTGAGAAGACTAGTGAGAAATGTTTGGATCTCTGAACATAACCAGGGAGATTAAATTGAGTTTACAGACAGTAGAGACCTGCTTAAGAAAGCAGCACAGTTTTTGGTTGACTGTAGATAGGAGTTTTGATTTTGACATGGGGAGGTTAGGACTCAGGAATTTAGCATTTTACACATTGTAGGGAAGGATTTCCAATTTTGACTTTGGATCCTAAAGACGAGCAAATGTTAAAATATGGAGCACATAAACTTAGTGTGTTGTCAGTGACATGGTTGTTTCATGGTGATTTTATTTTTATTGTCATAACCTAAACTTTAAATTGTGCTTGTTAAGGAAAGACCTTGGACAGAGTAATTAACTGACTTTTTGTAACCATCCAGGACCACCCAGTGCTCCTACAGAAGACCGTTCCGGAACTCCTGACAGCATTGCTTCTTCCTCCTCAGCAGCACACCCAGCAGCAGTTCAGCCACAGCAGCCTCCCTATACAGGAGCTCAGACACAAGCAGGTCAGATTGAAGGTAAAATAGTGTTCAGAGCCATGTGTGGGAAGGGACATGTGCAGAAGTATTTATTGAGGCATCATTGGTAATGGCAGTCCATTTACATAGATACTCTTACTGTCTACACAGATGTAAAATAGTCTTATTTACTGACATGGTGTTTAGTATCATGGAACCAAATAATATACTGGATATGTTTCTGATTATTGAAAAGAAGAAAAGGGGGGATGAAAAATGTTTTAAGTTAATACAAACACAAAATGAAAGATTGAGGAAAAATTACTTTATAACCTTCCTTCCAAACACATTTTCTGTCACTAAAAACATTTTATATAGAGATGATGAAGCATACTTTTAGGTAAATAATGTAGATTTGGGTCAGTACATTTGAAGCTATTTTTTTTCCTCTTCAAATTATGTGTCCTTGGTAAGTAATTTAGTCTCCAAGTTTTGATATTTTTTCCCTGATTAAAAAAATGTGAAAATTGAACTGAATCAGTAGTTTTAAAAAAATGCCTCATTAATCCTGAGTGAAATTAAAAGCTCAGTATTTAAAAGGGTTAGTATGCTTGAAGGATCTCAGATCAGCAAATGAGGAGCCTCATTGAAACACACAAACTACATCAGAGGGCAACCCTTGACATAGCTTTTTTTTTTCCTGTTAACTGATCATACATGTTAGGACCTTTAAAACAGTGAACATCAAATGGTGCTCTACCAGCTTGTACCAAAGTGTTGGCGATAATCATAATCATAGTAATTAAGTCCATAGTAATTAAGCAGCATTTACATGAAAACAAAACCAGACTACAGCTGTAGGCTAAAATGAGCTGTGACTAGACTCTTCTTGTCCTGTGGTGATACTTTCCGTGCTTGCTCACTGAATTAGTATGAGTCACTGGGGACTAGCAGGTGGTGTCTTATGTTAGGGTATGTGTTCTTATGTTAAGTCGTTTCTCCACCAACTTTAGTCAGTCTTATTCTGCATCAAAAATACAAGAGCTAGAGCTAAAACAAACTAGAACTGATGCGGATACTGGTTCAAATGGGAGACCGAAGCAGAATAGAGTTTGTAACAGAGATTGTAACAGCCATGTCAGGTGAACAAAAAGCCATTGTAGCGCTGATGTAGGTTATTATTTAGAAGGAGAATTGTACAAAATAAGGTCAGTGGCAGGAATGAGATAGAGTGTCTGCTTAGCAAAATGTCACTTGTCTTCTGAGGGCTTTTTTTAATTGCCAAATTATCAAATCTGTTAAGAATAGTTTATATAGTGAAAATGGTTTCCACCTGTGGTCTTTAGCAACCATATGCTCCTTTGCAGCAGCTTCACATTAGTGCTACTGATGCATTGGCTTTGGGTGGTATTAATTATACATGCCTTGCTACAGATGTTTCTTAACTTACATTTATGAATATTTAGCCAAGTATGTCTATATAAATATGTAAGCATTGATTTAGAAAGAGGTTGGTGGGTCTTGCTATTATTATTATTAATTATCATTATCATCATTATATTTTGTATATTAGAAATGTGACAGTGATTTGAAACATTTTAAACGCCATACATTATGTCCCAGTTCAGACTAGTTCAGTGCCTCAGTTGTGTTGGATGTAAAGATAGAGCTGAAGATAGTAATGTAGGGTAAGCTATTTTAGTGAATACTTCTTGATATATAATATATACATTGTAGACACTGCCAATTATTTATATCAGCTTCTGATTATATTTTGAGCAGAGTGATCAACAATGTATGACTTAATTGTTTAACAGAAATCTCTTACAAAATTAGTAATTATGTAATTAATTTTATTTGAAATAAAATTTAAGAATTTCAAGTTATTGATTGAATACCATAAATACCATATTTTCCCCCAAAGTATGTTCAAGTATCTTCTTCGGTTGGAAGGCCTCAGACTCAAGAATAGCTCAGTGGTCAGGCATATACCTAGCTTATGTGAGGTCTTAGGTTTAATTTTGAAAACTGAAAAAAACTAGAGGCACGCCAGTCTCTGTATGTATGTATGATTTCAACTCAGTCTGTTCCAACTAGCCAGGGCTTCATACTGAGTCTCAAAAATAGGTAAATAATAATATAAAAACTGTCTCGAGAAATGTGCTATTCGATAACTTTGGCCTTGTGTAAACAGCATAGAGCAGTCGTTCTCAACTTTCCTAATGCTGTGACCTTTAATACAGTTCCTTGTGTTGTGGTGACCCAAACCATAACATTCTTATTGTTTCTACTTTATAACTATAAATTTCACTGTATGAATTATAATGTAAATATCTGTGTTTTCTGATTGTCTTTTGGGGGTTACAACCCACAGCTTGAAAACCACTGTCATAGAGCATGTTTACATAAGCTAAGGTGGCTGCAACATTACTAGGTTATTATACAGTGAGTGACCAGGTTGAAAGTCGTTAAATAAAATAAAAAAGACAATGTTACTCTAAAGTCAGTGCCTCTCTTCCTCTGTATAATTTGATAGTTGCTAAAAATTAAATAACTTGTAATGAGAAAAGTGCTATGAATCATCAGAGAGGTATTGCTAATGTATGAGGACACGTGTTTGTCCCTTTTCTCTGATTACTTACCTGATGGCATATAGCGTGGACAATGTACTTTATAGAATTCATAAACTGGTAGCCACGAGAGTTACATCCTTAAAAATATTTGCTGCTAGCTAACATATTTGGCAGTTTATCTGTAGTAGAGCAAGTAATCACCTTTAAGTTATTCATTCTTCTCTTCATAGACATTTAAATAATAACAAAAATTATAATTACTATTCAATGTGCTTACATATTAAATTGGGAGGGAATATAAAGGTATCCTAAAAGTATTTCTCTGCCAAGTTAAACTTTTCTCTTTTGTCTGTATTTTCTTTTGTAGGTCAGATGTACCAACAGTACCAGCAGCAGGCTGGCTACAGTGCACAGCAGCCTCAGGCCCCTCCTCAGCAGTATGGTATTCAGTATTCAGGTGAGGAGGTGTTGAAAGAGAGTTAATTTCAAGTTCTTCCTCTTAAGTACTTGGTTTATAATATTTACACTGTCATAAGTGTTAAGTACTTATTAGGGCAAGCAATACTTACTTATATATAAAAGTGATATGTTTTATCAAATCAGCGTTTTCTCTTTTTAGTGAGCAAATACACCATAATTATAGAGATGATTCTGCAGTAATCTATAGTATAAAAAATGTTTAACTACATTTTACAGTAACAATCTAACCTCTTAGATGACTTCAAATTGAGAAAAAAAATTGTAAGATTTTCTTTTATCTGTATCACTCATAATTCTAGAGTACTCTTAGTATTTGTAGGTATATTGACAATTTCCCCACACATGTAGAAGCAAACTTAATAAAAACTATAAGTTGTTTTATTTAAGCCTGTTGAAAATATGCTAGAATACCAAAAATACAACATACAAATTAAATTACAGTTGAATTCAGGCAACTAAGAGTATTTAGGTGTTTTAACTGTGCTGAGGTGAAGTGGCTTAGTTGTTGTCTGATCCAGGGGATTTCAACACATAGCAAGTCTGCATCACCTGGGCTTTTTGTAGCTGGTCCCATTCCCATACATGGAGTATTTTGTTTTAGTTTTGCCATCTATATTATCTACATTATGAAGATTATCTATATTTAATATGATAAATTTCTTTTGTTTAGCTGTGGTTATAATTTAGGTACTTTTACTAGTTACATCAGTGTCTCTCTACCATGTATAGTCAAAGTTTAAAATAACTTCTATAAATTGGATCTTAGCAAAATTCTATTTTGGGGAGTTTTGTGTTACTAACTAGAGTATAAGAGTATAGATCAGCAGATTACAGATACATAGCCATAGATGGATAGCTATAGACTGTAGCAGATACAGCTACAGTGTAAGTCTGCTATTGCCTGGTTTTGTAAAGGCAGCTTTATTATACACTTGCACCCTACATGTTTCTCAGTTGTCCTTGTTGCTGTTGCACTTTTTGGCACTATATTGACAGAGTAGAGTGAGTAGTTGGAACGGTGAGAGAAGCAGTGTGGCCCACAACACCTAAAATATTTACTATCTGACCCTTTAAAAGAGGCTGAACTTTTCATCTTTTATTGGTCCAGACAGTTGCTGATTGCTGACAGAGACTACAAAATTTTGTCAGTACTTAAGTTTGGTATATTTTTATACATACAGTAATTTTTTGGGGATTGTTTTTGCTGTAGAGTGATTTTATGTTATAGTTGTTAGATCTAATTGTAAAAAAAACAAATGGAGTGAATTTAAAGGGAGTGTTATCCTTTTAAGTAAAAAAAAAAGTATATGGTACAAATTATATAACATATAGAAACAATAGGCTGTGGGATCTGAAGAGATAAGTGTCATTGTCTAATCTAGGAAATGCTCTCAACTCTCATAGATTCTTCCCCTGGGCCCTATCCCTATTGACTGGTTCATTATGATTAATGGCCCAGTAGACTGCTACTGAAATGGTATTGTTACCACTTACTGCTGTTTCCTTTCCTGAGCAGTAATTAAGACTCTAGTTGCTTCCCAGATCAATTTTAAAAAGTTTAGATTTCAGTTGTAGGATGATATAAGGTATTCCCCTTTATATTGAAAACTTTTTTACAGTAAAAATTTATACTTGAAAGTTTTTGTCGGGGCTGACGAGTTGACTCAGAAGTTGAAAGCACTTACTGTCTTCAGAGTAACTGAGGTCAGATTTTAGCATCAGTGGTGATGGCAGCTCACAGCCATCAGACATGTCCATGCCCTCCCTCTTCTGGCTTCCATGGGTAGGTACATACATACACACAATTTTAAGTTTAGCATACAAGAGAGGACAAATTACGTGACATCCAGGATCTTATAAATTTATTTTAATTCAGTATTCAGGTACTACCATGTGTAAATTGCTTTAGCAAGCTGATACCTAAGCTTTCTCTGGGAAGTTTTAGTCAGGGTTTTCACTGAGTAATATTTAGTGCTTTTCAAATTGCCTCTGTATTTCTGATCCTGCTAGTTCTGTTTCCTTGACTTCAAGAGCTATGGAAATAGAGAACTAGTTACTCTGCATGGAGACTTGCTAGTGGTGCTGGTTGGTAGTGATATTGACCAATCTCTGATACTTTTGGTTTGCCAGTTTTCCCTCTGACCTTTTCCAGTTTTGTTCATAAAGGTTTCTTTCATAAGTAAATTTTGAGCCCAGGTTCAAGGTGAGTTCAGAATATACTCAAATTCATTCAATCCTTTTTTTTTTCTTCTAAATGCAGGGTTGTACATATTTTATTAATTGTCTTATGTATCTGGTATTTAATGCTGACAGGATTCCAGTCAATGGAGAGGTTTCATTGCAAGTAGCTGCAGGTGTGTTTCCTAGTAGAGATAAAAGTTTTCAGTGAAGCGGATTTTATTTTTAATTCTATTCTAGTAAATTATGAATATAGATGTTGATTGTGGGCGATATGATATGTTTTTTTGTTTATTATGCCATACTAAGTCAAAATTTGAGTTTTTAAGGCAAACGTATCAGGTACCAAATATAAAGGATTTAAGAACTATAAACATGGTAGTCATTATTCCTAGATATTATAGTAAATAAACTTTAAAACACTTAATTTATATGAAAAGAGTGTTTGTAGCACTGTTTCACTTATAAAGCACTTGTCTGAAATGTGATTTCATGTGGTACTGTTAAGTAGGACTTCCCTTTAAACCAAATTAATGACTACTTTGCTTTTATGATTTTCATCTTCCTAGAAAGTATAATCATTTCACCTATTTGAGCATTCATTCTAGAAATTTTGTTGAAATGGGAATTAGCTCAAGGGTTATTAGTTTCAAGGCAGTTGTAATGAGAAGAAATGTTTATGGTGATTTGAATTTTAGGTTATAGAATTTAAAAATTATCTAGAAAAATTTTGTAACTCCTTGGTTTTGAGATGTTTTCTGCTGAACTCACTACATAATTATGAATATGTCTATTAATTTTTTAATCATTTTTGGTCCATAGCAGTAAGACTAAACTCTGGAAAACTTTCACCAAAAATCCCAAAACATTTGTTATTTATTTTGCTTTTTCCAGCTAGTTATAGCCAGCAGACTGGACCCCAACAACCTCAGCAGTTCCAGGGATATGGCCAGCAACCAACTTCCCAGGCACCGGCTCCTGCCTTTTCTGGCCAGCCACAACAACTGCCTGCTCAACCACCACAGCAGTACCAGGCGAGCACTTACCCTCCACAGACTTATACTGCCCAAACATCTCAACCTGCTAACTATACTGTTCCCCCTGGTTCTCAGCCTGGAATGGCTCCAAGCCAACCTGGTGCTTACCAACCAAGACCAGGTTTTACACCATCTCCTGCAAGTACCATGACCCCTCCTTCCAGTGGGGCTAACCCTTATGCTCGTAACCGTCCTCCTTTTGGTCAGGGCTATACCCAGCCTGGACCTGGTTATCGATAAGGAGGTTAAGCTACACTAATGATGGCTAGTTGCCTCCCAAAAGACTATACAATACTATTTTGTTTCAATTTGTATTGTATTGAAGTTTAAAAATTTAAAAAGCAGAGCATTTTTTTATGATATCATTGTTCCTGTTAATTGAAAATATAATTTACTGGAATACAAACACAAAAAGACCAAAATGAATATTGTTTCCTTCCCTGCTTAAAATTGTAGCCGCTTCCTAATTATTTTGGAACACTACTCTTACATGTGTGTAAAATGATTGGCTTTCTAGTTTCCCAGAGTATAAGCTAGGCTAAGGTATAGCTATCACACTTGGCTATTTACTATTAACATGATGTACTAAAAATAGAGCCCTTTGAGAAGATGACTAGACATTATGTATAAAATGTAACATTGATAGGCTAATAAAGGTGATTGAATCCAATTGTGGTCTTGTAGCTTAATTATTAAGACATAAGGAAAATAGTCATTTTACAGAATTAATGAAATGGATTTCCATTCATATAACAAGTTTGGTTGACTTAGAGTATAAACACAGTAGGGTTTCAATAGCTTTAGTTTTTTGATTTTCCTTATGTATTTATCCAGGTGTATTTACATATTGGCAAACTATTCAGAACATTTTTAAAAACCTACATCTTTTTATTGCAGTGTCTATACTTGCTTGAAAATACAAGATGTAGCATTGATAAAACTGAAGCATGTTGAAAGATACATACAGAGAGAAGTCTTTTTGGGGCAAGCAGTAATTTTCTTGGTTCCCTCCCATGCATAAAAGAAAACAATGGTTTTTTTTTTCCCCATGAAATGAGTCAGTTTTGTTACAGCTTAAGTAAAGTGTCACAAAAAACATTCTGTGATACATTCATTCATGGCCTAAACATATAAATATATAATATATCCTATAAAACAATAGCATCTCACCATGCATTATCTTTTCATGCTGACTTCACATTCAGTCTGTACATACAGCTTGAATAGAACCATAGAGCCATTTAAAAAACTGCTTAAAAAGAAGAGCTTGAGAAAGTATTTGTAGACATAATAGTATGGGTACAGAAAAAAAGGACATTTATCATTTGACACGTATCAGATTGTCAGTTGTTTCTGGCTCAAATAAAATTGTACAGATTCAGGCTTTTTGCAATAATTTGCTGGTAACTTATGGAAATAATAATATGAATATATAACTATTTAAACTTAACATCTGTTCATCAGATTCTAAAAATGGAAGTTTACATTAACGTAAGTATTTGAACTTTCTGTCACATGTATATGCTGAAGATTATTTGATCCAATAAGTTAAACCAAGAAGAGATTTATGGAATTAATTCACCAACAACACGTACACATCAATAAAGTAAATACTTTTTATAAAGATTATTAAAGATTTTTGACAATTTTGTTATAAAAGTATCTGAAAACATTACAACAGTGTGATAAATAATATACAAATGATCTCTTAGAATATGAATAGGGAGCCAGCTTCCCTGAATGTTATTCTATTCATGTTAATATCCTGCTTTTAAAATGACTGTGTAAAACCTGATAAATAGCCTCAGTCATCTTTCCTAATAATAAACATCTAGTACTGCTGTCAGTTAGATTGCAAACTTACACATAGTAAACAAAAATAGCTTTGAATCGGTGTGACAAATACCATTATTTCCAATTTTTTTGTTGTTGTTGTTATTGTTTCTTTTTGCGATAATGAACCAGAAGTACTTTGGAAGTAATTTTGTTGCATCTACCATTTTCCAGGTATTGTGGTCCCACATTCATACCACTGAACATAATTGATTTGGGTATGACCACCTATTTCTCCAAACTGGACAGGTTCCTGACGAACAGCTCTGAAATAGCCTAAGAGGAAAAATAGTTCAGTTTAATAGAGCTTTCATATTTTTACCCTCATTATTCACAGATGTGAGGCTGTTCAGTGCCTAAAGATTATTTTGAGTGAAGTAAAGTAATTTAGAAAACCAATAACTATAGTGGATCTGATATTTATCCAGTAATACAATGGCCTTAGTACTTGAGTCTTGACATTTTTCTTAGCAAGCCAGTACTATATATCGAAGTAGTTTCAGTAGTCCATTATATCGAAGTATCTTGTAAGACATCTTTTAAAAGGCTTGGGATTTTTGTGTCCGTGAACAAACTGAAAACCTCCTCGAATAATGAGAAGTATTTAAAAGAATCTCCTGGGTTCTCTTCAGTTATCTGGACAATTTACTCCATTTTGCTCTGCTTAGGCAAGGATTTCATTTCCAATAATCATTACACAGCCTGCTGTTAATATGTACTTAGAAAGTTACTGAGTATATTTGTTTCTCAGATTTATTTTGATTGCTTTATATAGATTAAAAATTTTCTCTTGTCAGTTTTAACAGAGCAGAAAGGATGATTAGGTGTGTTGCATATGACTTCAGCCACAAGGGACAGCTGTGAGTGGGACAAAACTTTTGTCTTTCTCAAAATACATTTATATATCTAATTTCTCTAGAGCTGAGCTCGAGTTTCTTTCCCTAGGGATAAAGTAGTAGTTCTGTAGCCTTATCTGTCTTTCTTTGCTAATTTGCAATGCCCTCTACATAGCATAATCAGAAAGCATACCTTCTTTGGTGGGTAACTGGTCAGAGGTGAGTTGCTGTCCTGTGCGACCATCTAAAAATGAATCCACAAACTGGCAGTGATCTTCTCCATGGCCCCTCTGATCTCCTATGTTGTAAAACTTGCCTGAAAACCCAGAAATGAAACAATGTTCTTTTCTTTAGTTTATGAAATTCCATAATTATTTCAAAGGCTAGTCTTGGCCTTGCTTTCCCTTTACTCCCAGAGGTCGAAGCCACTAGCATCTCCTGAACTACAGACGTTCTATAGCTGATGTCCTTATGTCCCTGCTGCACTCTTACCTCCTGATGTTTTCCTTCCCCTTCCAGATCATAGTGATTTTTATAAAACATGTAAATAATGCTCTTATTCTCTCAATAATTCTATCCAGTAAGCTCCCAGAATACAACTTCTCCTTTATAAAATCTCAGCCAAACCTAGTAGGACTGACCAGTATGTCTTGCTTCAATGCCTTTGCATTTTCTCTTTCCTCTACTTCCCCAGAGATTCTTTGTCCCTAGACTTCTCTGTAGTTGATTACTTCTCAAAATTTTATTCTAAAATATACCTTTGTAGACTCTGTAGAACTGTTCTACGAAAGGAGCTTCCGTTTCCGTAGAGCCATTCTGTCTAACCCTAGTAAAAATTGTCTTCAAAGCCCCTGAGTGACATTCATGAGTAATTTACATATTTTCTCTGTCTATGTTGGGACCAGTCTTTCCATATGTATATAGAAGAAAGCATTATAAATGAGTATTTCAAGGGATTTGGACCCTTTTGACATCATAAGGATGTCACGTTCCTGATTAGTAGTTGCATTTTAATGCTTGGGTGGTCATGACAGTACTGAGCTTTGCTGTGCACCTGTGCGTTCAAGTTGATCCTAGTATTACTGTTTCATGTTGCATTTTCATTATCTACCTCTAAATTGCAGATCTTTAAGTCCTTGTTTCCCTACTGTAACTATTTCTGTAACATCTTTTTTTTGAAGGGAACTTGTGTAAGTAGTGAGTCTGAAACTACAGAGAAAGGCTAGGGTACAGAATGCTGTGAACTATACCTTGAAAGCAAAGGTTTGGAACATACCTGTAAGGGAATCACTCAAATAAATCTTGTATCTGAGAGAGTTACATAGCTGCACTCCAACAAATTTTTTATACCACGTCCTTTTAACATATTGTTTGCCTTTACATTCTGAGTAAGAGTCTGAATTAAAGGGTCTTTCAGTCCAGATGGCATCTCTTCCTGCTGCATGAAGAAAGCACATGGTTTGGGTTAGTATTTAGTTAGTGTTTAGTATTTAGTTCTCTGAAGAACTAAAAGCTTTACAACAAAAGCAGCCTGTGGGGTTCATTGCCAACTTGCTGATACCTTTTGTCTTTAATACTGTAAATTCTGGAGGCTGAGAGTATTTGAAAGGGTTTAGCAAACCCCAATATTTGTATCTGTCAGTAGTGAAGTAAATCTGAGAACACTATCATAGATATTGGGCTAGTCTCTGCAGTGCTGGGTGTGTAGGCACTTTCAGGACTACTTTTTGCCCTAGTATAAAACTTAATGTGACCAAATTAAAGAGAAATTTTGAGTGAAATAGTATAAGAGTGAAAGCAAATTTTAGCACCTCCACTCTATCGGTTCTAGATGCTAATGAGTTTAAGAGTGACACCTCTTCTCTCTCTCTAGATAGGAAGATGTTTGCTCAAGTTCTCCTGTGCTTACCTAATTTAGAAGTGTATGTGTGCCCATTAGACTGGTACTTACCAGAAATTGGTTCACTCACTCTTGGGTCAGCTAAAGAGAAATAAACAGAAAAGAGCGAGTTAGGTGCAGTTCTAATACTACAGTGATGTGAAGAATTGGGGTGCTTATGCTTAGGTCTTGTTTGCAAAATGATACAATCTTGCTAAAGACTGACTCTGAAAGTTTTGTTTTGTTTGGAAATGGTTATTGAGCATTCTTGAGGTACCCATGTGCATTTTTTACACATAATTTGAGATTAGAGCCATAAGTTGCTGTTCTAACTTTTAATTACAGAAGCTTTCTTATTTAGTTTTGTACAAAAACTACTCATTGTAAAGTCACCAAGATATGATGTACTTTAGTTAGTTTAAATTTTTTTTCTGTATATACAGATGTATTTCATTAAGAAATTGAAGCTTGGAATGTGCAGATAGTTTCACAGAAGTCATGAATTCCCTTTTCTGATGTATTTGATGGACATTACTCTGGTCATACAAGGAAGCATTCATGCACAACATTTTTTAGTATAGATTACAGTTTTTCATTTTAATTTCTTTCCTGACATAAAACTCAATGAAGAAAAGCAGTGGTTCTGTAAGTACTTTCCTCTATTAGCCTTTTCTCATGGACTTTCAGAATTCAGGACACGGTAGGCTCCAAATAAGCCCCTATGCAATACACTCCTCCTTATACGCTTACATCCTTGTTGGGGATTACTGCTCATGGGATTACCTGATTCAGTGCTGAATGCCACCGTGTTACTGGCGGGGCCCTCACCAAGTGGATTTTTGGGTTTCACCTGGAATTCATAGCTGTATAAGGAGAAATAAACATAATAGTAATATATTATTGAGGGGCATAAGGAACAACATTCTCTTACTATACTAACTCCTGTCTCTTTTTGAAATGACAGTTTCGTGTTTTACTTTTAAAACATCTTGCCTAATATTTCAGATGAGAAAAATATAAAGTTGGCTGTCTTAAGACAACAAATAGGTAAAAGTAACCAGGCAGGTTTACAATGGGTAAATAGGAAAGATTTGTGCTGACCCACACTAATTCTAGCAACAAAGAACCTCCCTTTGCTTCAACTCACGTGGAAAGCTTTCTTGTTCCCTGTCATTCCCGCCCTGATCCAGCATAACTGCACTTATGTTCTTCATTGTGGTGTCTGAATCACAGCAGAGGGTGTCAGTAGGCAGAGTTTCTCTAAGTGCAGGTTATTGTCCCACCTCTGCTACTGAAAATCAAGACTAGGTAGCAATGAGTGAGTTATCAGGATGAGTTCAGTGACTACTGTTTTTGAGAGTTACTAACTAGTTCCAAGAATGGCTACACATGAGACTGTTTCTTTGCAAGGTTGGATGTGTCTCCTGGAACTCAGGTCTGGTCAGGTCTGATACAGATCAGAGGAAGCCACAGGGTCTAGAAAATGGGCCCGCTAGTACCCTCAGCATGAGCACAAAGCTGAGACTTTGTTCTCCTCCAACTCACTAAGCCAGGCTCATAGTTTTTAAAAAGAGTCAGTCATTAAATTATGCAGTAATTGACAGATCTTATTCACAAGATATATAACTTGTAAATCCTATTGAGAAACCCACAGCAGGAAAGCAGTATACCATTTGCCTGAAACGGAATTCTTCAGCAGAATACTTAACAGCAAAGTATAAGAAGCCTGAGTCAGCTAATAGTGTTTTGTGATCTATGCAAGGTTTTTGAAAGATAATTCTTAACTTTGAGAAGTTTGCAACAGAGAAAAATGCACACCACACAAGGTAGGTATTTTATAAGCAAGTGAGAAGCAGAAGGATGACTGTTCTCAGTTTGTTACAGATGGTGCTAAAGAAAAAAAGCAGGGTTGGGTGGGGGAAATCCTTGGAGTTTCTTAACTACTTGTAGATCACTGCTGGAGTCTAGTATGACAGATTCCAGTGTTCAAAATGATAGGAACCACTTTCTACTATGTATCATTCTGCATATATAAAATACAGCACACAAGCCCCATAAGGTATTCTAAAGTTTCATCCAAGCACAGTGACGCTCATAACTATTATAATACTTTCTTCACTTTTCCAAACTTGAAATATTTATGAAATAGGAATTAAAATTTACCTTTTAATTCTTAAAATTTACTTTTTAGTTCTTAAAAGCGTTTTGAAAGCTAAAGAACTGATGTAAGATTCTGTGCCAATTGCCATAAGAAAGCTCTGGGCTGGGAGGATGATTCCGTGAGCAAAGTGAGTACTGTGGAAGTGTGAGAAAGAGTCCCCGGGACCCATATCAAGCAGGGTAGTTGTAATCCCAAATCCAGTGCTCCTGAAGCTTAATGGGGAGTGAGGACAGCGATCTCCAGAAACTCACAGGCCAGCTTGCATGGCCATGTAGCAGGAAACAAAAGTAGAAAGCAAGGCCCCAGACTCAAGCCTGGCCTCTGCTCTCCACCATGCTCCACGGCATGCTCCCATGCACCTGCGCTTGCATACAAATGATATACACGGCCATATGAAAAACACTGTTCTGAAAACACACACCGGTTACCTAACTCACATAGATGGGATGTTTCCTAAGGCTTGTGGCCCCAAACAGTCCCAATAATGACATAAAACCTCAAATCTGGTGAGCTGGTTATGGGAGGTAGTGGAGCAGGAATTCACTGGCACAAGCTGTTTGATTCAAGTAGGAATGTATGTCATATCCAATCCAGGCCACTGCCAGCCAACCCATGCCTTGGCCAAGGCTGACCAATGACTCTTCTCTGTCATTTCATTTAGCTACTTACACTCGGGCTCCACTTCCAGCATGGCCACGAGTCTCCACAACTTACTTTTCTGAAGTTTTTCCAGTATGATGCAAGTTTGGAAAAATAATTTTAAAGTGTTTAACAACATGAGGACATTTTTTGGCTGACTAAGCCCTGTATAAACAAAAATTTGTGCTGGCAAAATCTTTTCCAGAAAGCACATTTTGTCACATGAATGACACCATAGGCCTCTAAGAGGAAAATCTCAAAAAATAACTGAATATAATTATAGGGTGCTACCTAACAAAATTATTTAGGGAAACTAAATAAACATTTAGAAGATAAAGTTGACAGGACTAAAACTAAAAGTTAAAGTTACAAACTAAGAAAATTGGAATATTGTTGAGCACTCAGCTGGTAGAAACTATCAACTAGGAACATCAGTCCTAGAAATTGTGTGAGAAATTTCCCAGACCGTAATGGTGGAAGTTTTCAGATTAAAGAGACCTACTCTGTGCCCAGCAAGATGAGAAAAGGAAAGAAAGAATTAACACAAATTTCATTATACCAAGGCAGAATGACAAGCCCCAAAACTGTGGGAGTAAAATAATGGGCCCTTTTGGAGGGACCCAGAATCAGAATGGTGTTTTAACTGCAGAGCATGACTGGGAAAGAGTTAAAAGACTTTAGAAGATCTTTATTTCATCATCGTTTCACTTAAAATCTATTCAGCAAAAATAGAATCAATGGAAAACAAACTTAGAGAAAGATACGCAGATTTGTACCATTTCTCAACTATTTTGTTCTTAAGCCACAAAGTGAGGGGTGATAGCAAGATTTTGATACATTCAAGAGCTTAGAAAACTAATATCCTAAAGGAAAAGGTTAGTGGAGGGCAAGAAACCAGTAGTTTTGATGACAATCATAAAACTAGGCATATAAATTAAAATTTTATCAATTTCTGTAACAAAGTGAAAAAAATGGTTCCAGAAAGTATGATCTGCAGTTTCTGAGCTAATCTGTCAAAGGCAGAATGTCCACCTCCAGAAGCTACCCTCTGCAGTGTGACGTGGAGTAAAGCCTGGGGCTCTGGTGGAGTAGACATCTCCTTCACTCCTGCTACCCCTCACCCCCACTTTCACTATAACCTTCAGTTTTGTTATAAACTTAGAGCCAAGTTACAACTTTCACTCCTTAATGTACATTTTAGTTACATGACTCCCTACTGTTTAAAAAAGCAAAGTTAACAAAATTCTCAAACCTTAAGAAAACTGTTTTTTGTAAAACTACTCTTTATACCTTAAGAAAACTGTTTTTTGTAAAACACTCAGCAGCTCTCTGTTGGTTTGGGCTGTATGACTATTAGCTCATTTTACTCCTGCTGAGATTTTGAAGTGCTGGAGATCTGTTTAGGTGAGTTTTCTGTCACAGGAAGAGACTCAGAAGAAGTGGAATAAGAATAAGGGTTACTCAAAGGGCAGTAAGGAGATAGTTTATGACCTCATCACAAGCTGCAGCATTTCGGGGAACCTAGCAATATGTGGTGTCATTCATTGTGCAACAACAGGAATACAGGTAAAGAGCTGAGTGGAGGAGACACAGGGTGTCTTACATGACTGTTACTACCTAAAGTCTACTTAACACAACATACTCCTCAGTTTTTAGGCACAGAACCATGGTGGTGAGCACAGGTGCATGCACACAAACACACAGACACACAAAAGCCACAATTTTTAGAGCTAAAAACTTGCATAGTGTTGCATACCTGTAATTCCATCATTAAAAATGAGGTAGTGTCCCAAATTTGAGGCCAGCCTGGGCAACATACCAACCCATCTCAAAAAGAAGGGAAGAGGAAGTGAAAGGATGGAGGTGGAGGAGAATAAAAGTGACAGGGAAAACAGACTCAAGTCATGGAGGACTGTGACCTTGCTCCCCATTATGCCTCAGTTTCTTTAACAAGGAAGGGATTACTTGTCCGTTGCCCACACCTACAATTAAACTGAATAAAATGCCTGATGCATTGGCATCTTATTTTACTCTCTACCAAAGCCAAATGCAAAGTAAATGCAGAATTTGCAGGCAGAGACCTGAATTTCACATAATTCCTGTGTTCTGGGCATAATGGCTATTCCACACATCTATTTATTTGCGTGAGCCAGATTTACAGTTTATAAGAAGTCACTGTCTGTGTTGTGGCTAACCATCAGTGCCAGTGTTTTATCAATTCAACATAAACGAGAGTCCCAAACAATCATTGCTGCCACTTCAGCAGGTTTTAGTCTTAGAGACAAACTGTTCCCCAGAATGGTCCTCAGCCCACAGATGTCAATAAAAGTACTTGAACAGATGAAGTGAATTTGATTTATCTTAATTACCAGAGTACATTTTCCATAGGAAATTGTTGGACCATGTAATTCTGGCACACAATGGATTCAGTTTTTCAGCAGAGTAAGGTGAGAAGTAGGCTTTTTGGAACAGACTGCGCCTTTTCAGCCTGAGTGATCATGTGTATCCATTCTGCATTGTTCATCAGGAAAAGCTCATCCCATCAATATGTTACTGAACAATGAGTTACCAGTTCATCTAAAGGCAGACTCAGAATCAAAGACAAGCTATAGACTGAGACCATTCATTAGGGACTGATCTGGGTCTGAGTTCATTCTCACTGACTGCATAATGCTGGCTATCTCAGGATTATGTGCCAGACTCCAAAGGGATCTAAGCCACATGCCTGGCCCTATCAGTACAGGTGATCAGTTAAGGTGATAATATCATTTAAGATAGTATCACCTTCCCTACTTGTAGAAGTAAGTATAATTAGTGGTCTTACAGATACAGTGGCTTGCTTTCAGAAGAGACTCTATGTGTACTTTGAGTTCAACAAGAGCGATATGCTGCCTGGAAAAGAAAGGACTATTGTTCCTGGCCAATTTCAGGAAAGGAAATTTGATGGGGCGGGGGGAATTGGAAGTGCTAAGGAGTGGGCTGGAGAACTGATTGTGATGGTTAAATGAGAATGTTCCCTATATGTTCATATATTTAAATCCGCAGTCCCTAGTTGATGGAACTGTTTGGAAAGGATTAGGGAGTGTGACCTTGTTTGAGGAGATATGTCACTGGCACTGGGCTTTGAGGTTTCAAAAGACTCCTGGTATTCCCAGTTCTCCCTACCTTCTACTTGTGGAGAAAGACATCAGCTCTCATCCACTGCTGCAGCCACATGCCTGCTTGCTTGCTGCCATGCCCTTTGCCATGATGATCATGGATGCTAGTCCTCTGAAACTGAGCTCCCAGTAAACTTGTTCTATAAGTTCTATAAGTTGCCTTGGTCTGATCACAGCAATAAAGAAGTTACTAAGATGCTGAGACAACTTATATCAACATTCCCACAGTTCTTTTTTGTTTTAAAGGGAGTGAAATAGGTTCTCTCCAAAGGAAGAGAGAGCTTGTGTCTTCTTATCTCTAGACCTTTGCCCCACTTCAAGTGATGACTCACTGTCCCTGTGCACATTTGAGGCCACAGCACCTTGCAGCAGCAGGCTGTGGCTATGAGGTATCAGCCCAGAGATAGGAACATCTGACATCAAGTATGTCGTCTAATCAGCAAGACAGCTCCTGGTTGTCCTACTACTGCAAATAAAAATAAATGAGTTTCTGCATAATAGAGTGAAACATGGTAAGTAATTAAGAGCAAGTAGAACAGAGCTGGATGTGAAAGAGCAAGTATGTGGTATTACTTAGCTTCTGGAATAATGTGTGGCAATCTCGAATTTCTAGCCCAAAGCAGTCTATAAATATTTAATCTTCCCCTTTATCCTTTCTCTCTGGTTCATTCTTCAATGCCGACCTCTACTCCACCCATGGGATGTATACATATTAGCTGCTAGATAGTCCCAGTGTTTAGATTTCACATTCTAAAAATCAGTTGAAATAGTAGAAAAGTCACTAAAATACAGTATTTACATGTGTCTCCTTATAGTGTAACACAGTAAATCTTTCCAAAGTCACTTTTAGTTATTCTAATAAGAAACCCTGGGGGAAGTTCTAAATTACAATTGAGTTTGCTTCTGTCCGCTGACAAGTGCTATGCTATATTCTCGGTGCTATATTCTTGGTGACACTCCCCTACCACCATCACCATGTGGTGCTTTTCTAGTTGTCCTTCAAGCCCCAGCCCAACTCACGCCTCTTCTCTTTCCCAGGCTTTGTGTAGTGTTGTTCCTCTGTCACACCAGCACTTCCACAGACCACTTCAGACCTCTGGCCAGGCTGTGTAGAACACTTACTGATTAACCTTCCTGCTAGTCTTGAGCTCACGGGCAGACACCACATTGGTTCCCATTTGTAGCCCTAGCAAACAAAATTGGGCTTCAAATGTCCCTGGAAAAAGTGTTCCACATTTAGGTCATGAGCTAATAGGTGCACTGTGAGAAGCCATGAGGGCAGCTTCACTCAGAAAAGGAACACAGTGTACATTTACAGAACAGATGCTTTCCCATGGATATAGTGTTCAGTGCCACTCACTTTATTAAATAGGAAGAAAGCAGGCAACTCGTGAGAACGTGTTGCAAGCATAGACCTATGTACTAAAAAGGTCCAATGAAATCTTTGTCTATGCTTTCCTTGAAATCTATTATGGTTAAAAAAGGGGGGGGGGGATTCTTTCTCTCAGTCTTGCTAAGGAAACAGAATCAAGATCAACTGGGCTTTAACTGAAAAATATGCTTATTTTGGCTAACTTAAACCTTTCATGATTATTAAAAGTGAAAAATGTTCTGAGTTACATCTCAAAACAGAGCACCTTTAAGAAAATCATATTTGTGAAAGAAATATATTTTTCTACAGTAAAGGCCTAAAGATTATACATAGTTAACTTCAATTAACTACTTATTTATTTTCTTCTAAGATGATTGGAAGAATATCCCTGCTGCCAGAATCCAAACAGGCTCGTTCTCACATCACTGTCCGTACTCTCCACAGTGAGAAGATGAGAGGTGTAAGAAAGGAAGCTGAGGGAGCAAGGGCAATCTAGGAACTTCCCACAACTAATCAGGAAAGTCCAAGGGCCTTTCTCATTCAGTAATAAAATGGATTAATAAGATATTTTAGACTAAAAAAGAAATCATAAAACTATAATGAAATGTGAATAGCTTTGTGTTAACGTATAAACCATAGGATATGCAACTGATTACCGAAATTCTATTCTCCTCTTCAGTGTAGTCTCCAAAGCAAAGGGATGCTGTACCTGTGTGGTGGTTTGAATGAGAATGGCCCCCATAGGCTCACGTATTTGAATCTTTGGACCCTAATTCGTGGACTAGCTTGGAAAGAATTAGGAGCTGTGGCCTTATGGGGGAGATGTGTCACTGGGGGTGAAATTTGAGATTTCCCCCTGTGCTCTCTGTGCCTTTATCTTGCTATTAAGATATAAACTCTCTGCTCCTGCACCAGCATCATGCCTGCCTGCTGCCATGCTTCCTACCATGATGACCATGGACTCACTCTCTGAAATGGGAAACAACCCCCCAATTAAGTGCTTGTTTTTTTTTAATAAGTTGCTTTCGTCATGTTATTTCATCACAGCAATAGAACAGTAACTAATACAACCTGGGGCCAGTAGGTAGCTATTTTAAATAAAATCTTTATGTTTTTCAAGTAGTTTACATTCTTTGCTTTCCTCTTTCCAGCATCAGAGTCGAGACATCGAGTCTAATTTCTGTTGTGCATATTCCATTTATACCAATTCACAGGTTTTTCTAAATTTCATATTTAAAATCAATATTTACAACTAATGACCTATTTTTTTATGTAGCCATTTATTCTGTTAATTTATAAGGCCATCTTTTAGCCCTCCTACCTCTAATAATGAGAATATTTTGACAATGTGATATGAGGTATTCAGGATCACATTAAAGAAATCCAGAATTAAAATAAGACCCTCCTTTAAGGCATTATCCTTTCTCTGTGGCTGCAGTTTCTGCACTCTCAGAATTCATCTGGAATAGCACTGGGCCTTACCTTGTATCTGGTTTCAGATTTTCTACTGTAGAAAACGTTTGATTTGTAATTTGAATGGACTTGTTCTTCCCACTGAATGACCCATTTTCTCTGGATATGACTTCATATTCTGAAGATGGAAGAAAACAGTAGAGACTTGTGTTACATCTCAGTTGATTGAACTGTTCCTGAGGCTAATGGGATGCTAAAGACACTCTCATAGTAATGACAGATTGGCTGCAGTTCCAGAAACATGATCTTAAAAAATGTTTGTGTGTATATGCCTGCGTGTGTTTCGGTTGCAGGGGTGGGATGTCCATGTGAATGCAGGTCCCCGTGGAATCCAGGAGGGGGTGTTGGATCTCCTGGAGCTATAGTTACTGCCCAGCATGAGTGCTGGAAACCAAAGTCATGTGTGCTTCAAGAGAAGTGCTCTTGACAGCTGAGCCATCCTCTAGTCCCTTGACATCATGATATGATCTCATCTTTTAGTAATTTTCAGTCACCAGGTGGCAGAGTTCTCAAAGCATTTGGGGAATGGCATAGTAACCATTCGTGCTTTATCAGAGTAGAAGAAGGCTTGAAAACTAGTGAAGAATGATGGTCATTGCTTTGGATAGGTAACTTGTGGTTTGCCAGTTTATGGAAAGCACTGTATGAGGAACAGTACTTGAATGGAAGACATGTTTCTTGCTATCTTTTTGTTTGGAAGGAAGGACACGGAGTATGGTGTCCAGCTACAATCTGACCTTATAACTGTGTAAGCAGTAACTGTTTGGAGTTGTAAAATTGGATTTTGAAACTAATGCTTATTTTAACTGTGTTTCCTGGATAGTTTCCTTTGTATTAAAGAAAAGCCACCAACCTCAATGTTGATGTAAATTTCCCTTAATGGCAGGGCTCACTCATCAACAAGGAAAGACCTTCAGAATTAGAGAATCTGATAGACATGTTAACTTGTTTCCCTTCTTTTCACTTGGTATTAGCTGAGCAGCTAACTGGTAGGTAATCCATAGTTTTATAACAGTAAAATTAAAAATGACATCTATGGAGCACATAATTTGGAGAGATTATCTGATGTTTAATATAGATTAAGAGAACAATGCCTAACTGTGCAATTATAGCTAAAGAATTAAGTGCAATCCTTGGACATGAAAAATTTACTTTTGAAAGACTCTAAGAAGCTCATTAGCATCTAGTAAGAAAATAATTATGGAAACGGTTAGGTAAGTAAAGTTTAATCTACTCATGAATCATTACAATTAAAAATGTATACAGCTTAAATAATTGTTACCAGATTCAGGAAGGGAAATCATACAGTTTTAATTTTTTAAATCAGATATTATCCAAGTGGAGATGTACTAGATAATTAGGTATATCAGATTAAATAATTTCAACTTGAGAGCTCACATCTTTAGGGAAAACAAAATTTGGTTTGTCATTTGGTTTCAGGAAACGAGAACTTGTTATTCACAAAGTGTATAGTCAGAGTTTTGGATGTTTTAATATATGTGGATAATCTGAAAGTTGACTGGCTTTTAGAAACTGAGATAGCAGTATCTATTGGCTCAACCATAAAGGAATAAGCAGGACTAGGCAGATTCCTAGGAATACTGGTGGGGATGCACTCTTTCTCAGAACAGAGGCTGTCTTTCATAAGATAGGAAGCAGATGCAATATGACAATTCAGTACAGGTGATGTTTATACGGGAACTTGCTCAGATCACATGGTTTTGTAGGATAGATGATCACTTTTTCCCCCATTACCCATGGAAGAAAATATTTTCTGAAGATTCTTAGTCTCTTCACCCACACCTTGGCCCTCCATCATGCTCCTGTCTGCCCAAGACAGATGCTTACCCTACACTCCTATTCCCTGCACCAAGGGCCCAGCAACATTTGCTGAGGGACTCACGCTAACTAGGAATCATGTCCTTTGGCAATCACAGCTGTTATTCCTCTCCTTCTTGTTGACTCTCCTGTTCTATACATCAAATCAAGGCATGCCAAACAAATCATAACAAATTTAAAACATGACTCGAAGTCAGTGTAGCACGATCAAAATTTCCTCAGATAAGTAGCAAGTTACCCGGATGTGAGGGACTTTTTATTTTTTGGGTTTTTAAAATTTTTTATTTTATTTTCAATTTCTCCAAAGTTAATTGAAATCATTGTTAGCCTGTTTGGAAGTTCTCAGCCAGTTTAGAAACTGGGTTGGTTAAAAGAAAGCTATTTTAAATATTATCAGTGCTGTCAAGTCTTCACACACTTTATATAATTTTCTTGGTAAAATCATAAGACTATATTTCTAAAATGTGAAAGAGATTCTAAGAGGGAAGGAAGGAATACGGCTTTAAAGTCCTCAGTTAATTAGGAGCCCATCACAAAGACCAAGACCTTTTCCACCTATGATGCTTTAGACAACAGAACTTGCTTTTCCTTAGATGTGCTTTTTTGTGCCACAGTTTGACCCACACTGTCCAGGTACTGTGCCATCAAAGCTTCCCACTAAAATATCACATCTTAGTGCCATAGTCTTACCAGTGACAGTGTCATTTAGAGGTTTTTCCCAGTCCAAGATGACAAATGAGGGGCAGCCTTCGACAGTGACCACAGTGAGGTTGGTGGGTGGGTTCTGGGGTGGGCTGGTGGCATTCCCCTCTATGGCTTCCTCTGTGGGGAACCGTCTGACGGAGTCAGTGATGGAACAGGGCTTGTTCTCAGGCTTTGGGATATACCGCACATGGGGACCTACAAGTAAAAAAAGGAGGACTCTGACTTAGCACACTGGAAACTTGTGAAGAAGATGGAGAAGGTAACCTAGTAAAATTTGTCATCTATTTGAGGGCTTTGGTGTCACATCCTGAGAAGGCATTTGAAAATAGTACTGAGGATGACTTAGATATAAAACTCCTAGCTCTGATATCTGATAGATATACTGTATTTATAGATGTACCTAGTATTGATCTCTTTGGATAATTGATTCATTTTTTCAGAGTTGGTTCCTACTTCATAATTTATAGGTAGTGAGTCTCAGGCAATAGGAATGGGCACCACACTAAACGTTCTGAACAAAGCCAGACTCACAAGGACCAAGCAGTTCTGAATAATGAACTGTACCCCAGAACAAAACTCGAGAGTATTTTAGGAATTAAATATCCAAACACCCAACAAGATAAAAGTCACAGGAAAATATTTTCCATGATAAGAAAAATCAGTTATTTGAAACCAACCTAGAACTTTCACAGAGGCTAGAATATTACACAAGGAAAACATAGCAATATAAAAATGACCCATGAAAGGAGATAAAAATGACTCAGATTGCTAGAGATGAAAACTGTATATAAGATGTAAACCAAATAAGGTAGAACTAGTGCACAAGAGACCAAAAGACAGAAGACGATGACCTTACAGACATAGCACATGACAGAAAGACAGACAGACAGACACAGACAGACAGACAGACAGACAGAAGAGAGAGGAGGGGATGGAGGGAGGGAAAGACAATGAATGGACAATGGGGACTGTGAGCTTTGGGAAACATTGATGAGTTATTATATGGACAAAATTCAAGTACCTGAAGTAGGGGAGGGGATGCATGAGCACAAAAATATTTTAAGAAATAATGACCTCAAACGACCTAAGCATCTAAATCACAAGTTCAAAGAGCTAAAAATCAAAACACCTTTAAGAACAATAAATATGAAGAGAACTATACGAATCATAATTAACTCCCCAAAAACCAATGAAAAAGAGACAATATTTAAAGGTGAGACAATGTATAGACTGGTAAGAGTGAGGGTTACAGTAGGTATCTCATTGGGGAGAATGTAAAAAAAAAAATGATAGGGTTGCATATTCAATGTAGAATTAATAACCAGTGAAAAATACCTTTTTAAAAAAATGGCAAAAAAATACTTTCTTTCAAAACCAGCAAACCCCTACTGTAAGGCAGAATTGAAGGAAAAGTTTCACTGGATAGAAGTGTCCCACCCCCCACAAAGGGTAGATGGTATGAGACAGTAACAGTGTGGGTGCCTATAAACAATATTTTAGTCAGAGTCTAAAAGTTATTTTAGTTTAAAAACGTGAAAACAAATTTGTGTAGTGGTTCTTGGCAGTGATAGCACAAAGCCATGAATAAAGAAAGAAGCTGTAAAAGTGTACATGTGTTAAGTGCAAGGCTCTTCATTGTCACTGGACAACAGATGGGGATAAGTTAAGGATCACGCTGTCAGTCCCCACAGAACAGCCGAAACAAGGAGCCATGAGGGAGAAGACACAGAAAGTGGAATCATAAACTTTAAGAAGAATGAAAAAGATAAAAGAGGGAGCAAAGAATATATGTATATGCATATATAAAACAACTGATGAAAATTTATCCCTAAATGTATCAATAATAATCTGAAAGATTCCATAAACTAGAAACAAAAAACACAGCAATTGTCAGATTAAATAAGAAAAGTAAGACCTGACAGTACTATGTCTGAAAAATTCAGTGGAAACATAAAGAGATTAAATTATGGTAAAAATAAAAGGTGAAGAAAGGATTTAATTCAGAGAAAGCATGGCTGGATATATAAATATCAACAAATCAGAAGTCAGAGTAAAGATGTCCAGTAGAAAAAAGAAATGTCTTGCAAAATGAATCCAAAGATCTGTTAATCAGTAATTTATTACAATTGAAAATAATTTAAGCCTGCACCTCACCTCGATGGACTAAAATATAGAAAGAAAGAGACTGATAAAAACTTAAGTAAGAACTTAAAAGTGTGGAGTGTTATCCTAATCAGCCTGGAGTTCTTAGTGGACAGAAGGGACTCACAGGCACTGCGTGCAAGTCATGTGACCACACAACAGGAAGGAAGCCATCTGCAGGGGAGAGGCCAATCCTTGCCTACAGAATTGTGAGAAAAATAAATTTACATTGTAGAAGCCACACCCAAGTCTGTGGGATTTTCTTAGGGTAGACCAAAAGAGTCAAATTAAAAACATAATTATATACCACTTTGCACCCATTAAAATGGAAAAGGGGTTTTAAAACTGTACCAAGTTCTGGTGAGTGTGGAGAAGCCAGAGCCCTTGTCAATACCATCAGAAATGTCAAACAATACAATACGATAGAAAATGGTTTAGCAGTATCTTCAGACTTCATCTCTGTGTCCATGAAAAAGGGTCATACTCTCCCCTTTATTGGTTGGAGCTTGGTTGTGAGACTGTTTTGGCCAATGCATGCTGGCAAATGTCACCTAAAAAGGATCTCAAAATGTGACTATTTGGATCCCACCTCCTTTACTTTGTATCAGGATGAGAATGGCTTCTTCTGACTCACTGCTTCTGTTCATCCTAGCATCAAAGGCAGGCATTTCAGGGTGTACATGAGGCTAGCCCATCAGAAGCAGGCTGCACCTGATGCCCAGCTAGCTTGTACAAACATGAGAAATTCATATGGTAGCAAGCTCCTACAAAATTAATAGAGTGAATATCTGACCGATCTACCTACAAAATAGCCCTACCAAGACCAAAATGAAGTCAGACATACCTACGAATCTAGGCTTTCCAAGGTGATCGGTTTCTTTGGTGGGACTTGAACTAAAGTCAGTTGTATTACCTGAGAATGAAAAAATAATAATGCAAAACTTAGTGAAAGATAAATAAAAATTCACAATATATTGACAGAAGCATTAGAGATGATAGATAATCAATACTCCTCCTAGATAAATTACTTGTAGTTTGATTTCCCTTGCTATTTCTTATAATTCATTTTTATCCCAAATAAAAATTCTTTTAATTGTGTTCTGAAGAGTAATAATAGTGGATTAAAAATTGTAACCAATAAGCTAATACTAATGAATAAATCAAAATATCTGTAGTTTATAGTATCAGGTAATATAGTAGTCTAAAGTTTTTAAATTGGTAATTGGAGAGTCTATATTTTTATTAAAAGAAAAAAGACTTGGCATTTCTATGTCTGCCAAGGAAAGGAGCATATTCTGTAACAAACTGTTGACAATAAAGATTACTCTAAAACTGAAAAGACAGTTATTCCTAAAATTGATGGAACTAGAAGACCAAAACCCAAGAATTTGTCATCCTAAACTGAAATACATTAACATCTCCAAACAGTGTGTCTATTGAGAATGAACATTCTAACCAAATTCTTCTTCTGAAGCAGGAGCAGTTGGTTGCTTTTTTTCTGCCCCTGGTCTCTCTGTGGCTGTTCCAATAGGTTTGAGTGTTGCCTTCACGGGTGGGGAAGTTACCCGGCTGGAGGAAACGATTCCTGCAATTCATAACCAAAGCAGTAAGGCTTTGTAGGAGCAGCACCAAGTTTCCGATTTATTTATTCAATAAATGTTTATTAAGCACTTCACCATGTGGCTTGGCACCATCAGCCAAGCTTGGAGAGCAAGCAAGACCTGGTTCTTGATAGAGACAGATGCCTGAGCCAAGGATCTTGAAACATCACAGATATTGTGAAAGAACTACAGAAGGTCACAGAGGGGACAAGAAGAGGGAGTGGTTATGTCTATGGGTGGGTATCAGTAGGGAAGAGCATCTTCACAGAAGTGCCGATAAATGAAATGATCAGTAGGAAGAGAAGAGAGCCTTAGTCTGTGAATCGTACCAGGAAAACATGATTGTTGAGGGAGGGGAAGGCCCAGGCCCAGCTAAGCATGGAGGGTCAAGGAAAGGTAGATATGGAAGAACTTGAGTATCATTCCTATGGATGATTTAAAGGTTAAAGGACCATGAAAAGATTTCGAATAGAGAAGTATCACAAATGGATATTTCACTCGCCGTAATGAGCTACCCTAGCCATTTGGTCAGCTGTGAAAGTCAAGGAGATGGTGTGACCTTAGAGATGAACTGGCAGACATGGAAGATAGCCAGAGAAGGAAGACGAAGATCCCCCCAAGCAATGCCTGGGGGCCAGAACAGGGCTCCTTTGAGTTTCTATACCCAACCCCTTTGTACTAAAACTATCAGTCACTAAAATGCAATTCATCCCAAGATCCAGGCAAGACTGAGTGTTTAGTAGTAAGAGTAATATAAAGTGGGCTTTATATTCCTCCTGGGAAAAGAAGTTCTTCCTCAGCTACCAGTCAAGGGATACCTGCTGGACTTACAGACTGGCTCAGTGTACAATCATAGCTAAGTCAGGTAGATGGACCTCTGCTTTTCTCCTACAGACACAGGCCTTTGGTCCTAAAGGGAGTGGGCCACAGGAAAATGGCAAGCAAATGGCAAGAAAATCCAAGAGAAGTTGTGCTTTTCAGATTAACAGTCAGCTGGAAATGGGGGTAACATTTTCACCCTGGCAAGCAAAGTAGGGCTTGGAGGCCTCAGAAGATTTGGAGATAGGCAAGGAATGGTAGATGTCATGTGAGACTCAAGATTGTTTACAAGCACTGTGAGAGAGCCTCCGAGTAGTCCCAAACATCCAGTGGATTCCTGAATCACCAGGACTGTACTACTGTAGGTACTAGGTGCTAGGTTTTGAAGTGAAGTTATTTTCATTAGAGGCGGAGGGTGGGACATGGAGATCAGTGAGCTGAGGTAATCCTAGAGATGGAATGTGTTTATAGCTCCTCCTCAGGCTCACTGGTAGAGAGCCTGTACCAGAGCTACACTTTCTGACAGAGAACAGGAGATCATAAGCCAAAATACGGAACCAGTGAACTGTGGCTGAAGACACACAGCCTCGCCCGGGGGACCTCCTGCAGGGGCGGTCTCCTGGGTAGCCCATCAGTAAGACCTGAACGCAGTGCCACTCATGGTCACAGCTGTTTCACATTACAAGTAATGAGAACAAACTGCTCTTCTCATGAGGACTTCACTGGGCCTTCACCCAGAAAGGCCCAAGAAGAACAAGCTGGAGGCTGAGTCCTCCTCTAGACAGTGGGGGGTGGGGGTGGGAGGGAAACCCAGAGCATTGGATCTGGACCTTCCTAAAGCTATGACTGTTTAATACAAGGCTTTATGTTGTGGTGACCCCCAACCATAAAATTATTTTCACTGCTGTGTCATAACTGTACTTTTGCTACTGTTATAAATTGTAATGTAAATATCTATGTTTTTTCCAATGGTCTTAGATGACCCCTTCAGGGGCCATTCAACCCCTAGGTTGAAGACCACTGACCTTGATTCATGAAACATCCTAAAACCATTCTCATTATCTTGCTTAAAAATATGACATCACTTTCTTCACAAAAAACCCTCTGTGCGTTCACCATTCATATCTGTCTGTAAAACTCTTCTGCAGTTTCAACCTACCCAGTGTTTAGGAAGTTAAGCCATGGAAATGGAGGACAAGGAACACACCATTTGCTAGCAGAGTCCCTAAGTGGAGGAAGACGAAGCTCTGTTTTTGAACCGGATCAGTTATCACTGGTTCTTAATTCCATTCACCTATTTATTCAGTTATGGCTATCGGATTTCCTCTATATTCTCAGCACTCAACTGGGCCCTGGAGTTTCAGAGAGAACACACCAAGAGCTATCATTACAGAACTCACAAGCTCTGAGAGAAAGATTAAAAATACAAAGAGGACAAAACCATTTGTTTGTTGTTGTTGTTGTTGTTGTTGTTGTTGTACCAAAGATACATAGGGAGAGTACACAGAGTATAGTGGCAGTGCTAAGACTTTTTTTTTGTGGAGTCAGAAGATGGACGGCATATGTGAAAATGCAGGTCTGGTGGGACCATTCTATGACAGCGGGAACCTAGACATGGAAGTAAGAAACAGCTTTACTGCTCACATGCCTTCCCCAACATCATAACACTGTTGATGGCAAGATGGCGAAGTCAGTGACAGGATATCATATGCTCCACTCACTCTGAAGGGCTGGCAATGCACAGCATCCCCTACTTATACTCTGAATTCATCCACTGTTGAAAGTCAAGCCATCTTCTCTCTAGGCTTCAAGCATGCAGAGATCTCAGAAGCTAACTGGCCTAGATATAGAGGAATGGTATCTTTCAGACTACCCACTCTGAGTCAGTAATTGAGTCTGCAAAGCTGTGGATGATAGTATCTAGTCTTTGTGGAGAACACAAGTATGCCGTCTGTCACATGTGCAGTGGCTTGTTGGGTTGGCTACTAAAATGCAATCATGGAGAGAGAAAAGAGGTAAGTGAACATACCTGTACTTCCTGGCTTTCCAGTGACATTATTCGGTGGTAAAGGCTTTCTCTGTGGAGACACAGGTCTAGGGGACGCATGTCTATGTGGTATGGGTGGGCGACGAGTCCCTGGAATTGGGCCTAAGAGATATTATAAAGTCAGTACTTACAACAAGAAGTCAGTTTGAAATAATTAATCCTTCATAATCAGCAGAATACTAGTTGCATGCTTTGAGATATTATATTTTATAGAAAAATGCCTATATAGAAAAGTAATATATAGTGGGATTCCTCTAAACTTATACTGGTCAAATATTCATGGATAATGAATCACATTAGCATTTGTAAATCATCTCCTGGAATGTTAGATAAAATATGTAGAGACATGCATGTTTTGGAAGGTCTAATATAGAGAGACTTTAACATCTTTCCCCTGGAGATACAACAGAAACATTAATGAACTATATCATTGCCAATCATCTGTAGTTGTGAACCTACAAATCATTTTATCATTTCAACATTGAATGGTTTAGCATATGTATATTGTTTCTTTTTGTGGGTGTTTCACGAAATCCCCTAACTCTAATATATAATTATAATTAAACAATGCTGGAACTTCTCAAATTATATCAAATAGTACTCATGGCAGTATCGGGAATGTTGTGACTGTGAAGCAACTGTAGTGTTGAACTGTGCAAGGATTCCTAGCTAGGGGACATGGCGAGGAGCCAACTTTACCACTCCCTTTGCTCACCCACCTACAACCTCTGTTGCAGGGCTCCAGCCCAACAAATGGTACAACTTTAAACTTTGTTTGCCTTGTAGGCAAAGAAAAGTAGCATGATTTTTATAGTTTGTTTAATAGAGTCTATTTTGCAGGATGGTTGGAAAAGTTAATGGTATCTGGCACAACTAATCTTACCTCAAACTTTAAGCCATTATAGTTTTAAAATGTATTTCTTTCTTTGCATCACTTGTTTCTGATTTTAAATATCAAGAAGAATTCTCCACCCAGGAAAATATCATACCACTTTAAGTTATTTTCAAGGCTCCTCGGAGGAGAGACAAAGAAGAAAGTGGTAGGAGAGATAGAAGGAGGGGAAAGCCTGCCTGTCTACTTGCTTAGGCGAAGGTGGCAATATAAACAGGAAATGTATTAGAGTGTCTCTCACTGCACCCTTTTAAAAAGCAGAGACAGGATTGTCAGCTTCATAAGTCTATTACATGCAACTTACTCTTAAAACAGGAACATAGATCATTTAAGGCCAAATTCTATCATAATGAATCACACAAGGGCGGAGCTTGAATTAAAAAAAAGATCTAAAACCCAGTGGCTTTGTACCACTTGACCATGGTGGCTCCTTAGAATATTATAGGAAGCAACCATTGGGTTAGTATCTCCCAAAAAGTTTTCAAAGAATTTAATTTGCATTTTCTCTCCTCAATGATGGTCTTTTGGAATGTTTCTCTAGCTGCTGGCTTCTACTGCTAATGTGGTCCTCACACACAGGAACTGTGTAGCTATTGTTCGTCATTCGCCATTGCGGTTACGGTGAAAATTTGAGCTGAGGTTCTGGAGGCTCCACATCTAATGCCTTACCTGGTTTTCTTGTGGCATGTGAGTCCACTGACGTATTTCTCCCTGTACTTGATGGCTTAGGTGCTTGCTTGGTCCCTAGGAACAGAGACAATCAACAGGCATAATTGTAAACATTATTTGTCACAGGCGTTGATAAGAGTTGTCTGGGAAAGGGTGCATTTCTTACATAAATACTGCTACTTTAGTGCCCATTTTAATGGTCTTCTACTATCCAGACATACAGATACTAAGAGTCCTACATCCATTGGTTCTATTTTTCTCTGTAGAGCTGGCGCTGGGCTGTGGTTTGGGGTTTTGTCATAATTTCCCATGGCATTAATCCTGCTCTGGCTGCCTGGGAGGTATTGCTTCACCAGACAGATTTTACCAAGGGCAAATTGTCACCTTCTGCCAGTCTTTATGAGTACATTTTGTGGTTTAAAAGATAATTTTCCTCCAATTCCCCAATGCCCATAAAGAAACCTTAGAAATCCAGTGTGGTTGGGTTTATATTTATCAAACTGGCTTTAAAAAATATCCCTATGTAGGTCTGGTGTATTAAGATCCTTACCTTGGGGGCTTATAAAATAGTCCTGGCTTGGCATAGAACACTAAGTTGCTGTTTGAAGGAAACCAGTTCAAAATTGCTTTGTGTGATATTTTTCTCTCTTATCTCCCTCAAACATGGTAGTTACATGGCCATTTCACCTGAGTACCTTTGATAGGTTTTGGGAAGCTTCCCTGGGGTGCAGGGGATCAGAGTGACTCACCTTAGTTTCCTGTTACTGTTCTTTTTTTAAAAAATTATCTTTGCTTTATACAAATTTATTTTTTAAATTAAAAATATAATTCTATCATTTTCCGTTTCTTCCAATTTCTCCCATGTACTCCACCCCACCTTGATCTCTCCCAGATTCCTGGCCTCAAGCTCTTTTTTCTTTGTTGTTACACACACACACATACAGAATACACACACACTGCTATATATGTATATACTTGTATATTCATATATACATATTATTCATATATACAAAAGTATATGTGATGTATATTTATATGTGTATGTGTAAATAACTTGCTCAGTCTGTTTAATATTACTTCCGTGTATATGAGTTCAGGGCTGACCATTTGGTATTAGATAACCAATTATGGGACAGCTCTTCCCCTAAGAAGGTTATTTCTCTCACGTTCAATATTTCTTAGTTGCTTGTAGCTCTTTGATTACAGTTGGGGTCCTGTAAGATTGCCCCCTTCCACGTTGGGCTGTTGGTGTCATCCTTGTTCAGGTCTTATTTAGGCAGCCATGTTGATGATGCCTCTTGTCTGATATGTGCTTTTTCTCCTCCTCCTTCTTTTTGAGGCTTTTTGAATCTCATTATGTAGCCTTAACTGGCTTAGAACTCAGTGTGTAGACCGTGCTGGTCTCAAACTCATAGAGATTATTCACTTGCCTCTGGCTCCTCCTGAATGTGGAGATTAAAGGCTGTGCCACCATTCCTGTCTCTGACAGTTTTTATTAAGAAAGAACAGAAGCACTTTTTAGAGTCTAAGTAGGGAATCTCACTTCAGAAATAATCATCCTAAAAAAGAATCCATGTGCTGATGGCTTGATGGTAGTTTGCATATTAAAGATAAGAAAACATATTTAATGTGCCAGTTCGTACATTAACAATGACAACCACAGTAACTGAATGCCAACAACTCTGATTTTTACAGTTATGTTTCAGAGAAGGTAAAAAGACACTATTTAAATACATTTAAATGTACAGGCAGATATACTGATCACAGATGAAAGTTTTGCTTGTTGTAGTTTGAATGAGAATCTCTCCCATTGGCTCATGTATTTGGACACGGGATAACCTGTTTGTGGTGCTATCTTGAGCAAGGTTATGGAACCTTTATGCTGCAGAGCTTTGATGGAAGAAGGGTATCACTGGGGGAGGGGGATTTTTGAGAGCATATAGCCTTGTCCTCCTTCCTGTATTCTGTGGTTCCTGTGAGTGGTTGAGATGTGATCTCTCAGCTCCTGCCCATCTCAATGCCTTCCTCAACTTTATGAACATCTAGTTCTCTAAAATAGTAAGGACAAATAAACATTTTCTTGATTTCATTTTGGTCGCGGTGTATTTTTCACAGGAACCATAAGTAACTTATACAGAGGTTGGTACTGTAGGATGAAGCTGTTGCTGTGAGGAACCCCACCCTGTGGATGTTTGGAGGAATGAGAAAGACTGCAAATTTCTTCTAAAAATAGCTGTTTCTATGCCTGGGGTTCTTGGTACGCTGGGAACTAGATCATGTAACTGATTATTCTGCAAATGTCATTTAGGCATAGAAAAATACTCTATCAGTTTGGTAAGGTTTGATTTACCATAATTTCTCAAAGGCAACACATACACAGAGAGACAGACAGACAGACAGACAGACACACACACAATCACACACACACCCTAAAATGCCAGTAGACTGTGTATTCTTTGAGTAGATCTTATAAGCCCTTCTGTAAATATTTTTGACTTCAAAACCAAAGTATTCCTTTTTAATACTGTCTAAGCACTCTGTATATTTATAACTTGATTTGAGCTTCACAAAGCTTCTGTGTGAAATATAATATCCAGGACCTACAAGTGAGGAAACCTAAGGCCAGATTCAACAAGCTGTCCAAGGTCCACTGCTAGGAAATGCTGAGACTCAGAAACACATGCTCTCAGTTCCAAAGCCTCTTTCTCAAGCACCGAGTCCTCTTCTTCTGCTCCTCACAATGATTCTAAGTGACTGTAGCTTATATATTCCACCCCCTGAGAGGGCTACAGTAGCACCCTGTATGAGAGTTAATGACAGTGGCTAGCAAGCGTCCATCCTGTAACCATGCCACCATCATGTGGCACTCACACACACAAAAAAAATAGTTGCAGGCTTCCAGCAGTTCCTATAGGGCAAACACAGATCTACTAACCCCAGGATGAGTACAGGTAAATTCCTAGAAGCAAAAAATGAGTTGGAGATTAAGGAGGAAAAGGAGGGAGGGACATGGGTCCAAGCAAGTAGGAAGGTGAGAAGAGGGGAGAGGAAAAGGGAGGAAGAATACATTAGAGCAGAGTGAGTCTCAGCCTTCCTAATGCTGAGACCCTTTAAAACAGTTCCTCATGTACTGGGGACCCCCTGCCATAGAATTATTTCACTGTTACTTCATAGCTACTATTATGAATCTTAATGTAAATATATGATATGCAGGATATCTGATATGTGACCATCCCCAAGGGTGGTCTATTTATATCTCTAGATATAAATCAGTAAGTCAACAGCACAGCAGCCCTCGAAATCCAGCCCAATTGTCTGGAATTATTAGAAAGAGCCCTATGAACAATAGCCTTGGGGCTCGCTGGAGAGAGCTAGAGATAGACAATGAAGCCCGAGGCTCCGATAAACCAGTGAACATGAACAATTTAAGGTTAAAGGGAGCACAGAATCGTAATAAGGAGAAAATTTTTAAAAAGGAAGCTAGTATAAGACACTGTAGAGAATGGGTCTTGTGGATTACCTATCAGGCAATCTAGCTCAGCCTGTGAGCTAGATTCTTTTCTCTTAAATTGGATTAATGGACACATATGCTAAAGGGCAACTGGCTCTGGAGGCACCAAGACTGGAACGTCAGTGTGGCCCACCATTGCCATATGGGAGTTTTCCAGAAGTCTACGGATTTATGTAACTCATCACTTAGCAATTTCTTATCCACGATGAAATAATGATTTTGGGTATTTCTAACCATAGTAACAAAACCTTTGCAAACAAACTTGTTGATTTCCGACTGTATCAGGGGAAATCTATTTTCAATGAATCAGTGACTGTGACGGAAAGGGGTGATATTATGGAGGACAGTTCTCTGTGCTTTTGCCTCCAAATATTAGCACCTAGCTAAAAGTTCTTGAGCAATCCAGCAGCCTGGAAGAGTTAGCTGCATCCTAGAAAAACACATACCTCATCCTGAGGAGTCTAGTTTTTCTTTGTGATATACACTCAGTGTGAGGCAGTAAAGTATGGTTTCCCCATAAGGATATAGAAAGAAGAATCCAAGATCATCTGTGTAACAGAGTCTGTGGGATCTCATGTTCCATGGCACCTTCAGAATTCTACTTTGCCTGGCATGTAAGGAGCCTTCTAACAGTGATGGTTGAGCAGCTAACCAGCCCAGCAGTCGTCGTCATCTAAGAGAAGTCAGACAAGTCTCGTCTCTAAAGAGTCAGGCAATAAACTATACTGTTTCTCATCATTTTTCAACTTAGAAATTTCTAATGTGACATCTATGTGCCTATGTGTGTAAATCACCAAAAAAGCAGAATAGTAGAATAAGGAACCATCCAAATTATGGGACTTGGGCTAGCATGAAGGCTTAACGGGTAACTGAGTTCTAGAGGACTGATTTCTGCAGATTGTCCTCTGATTTTCTGATTTCTGCATATGTACAGGGACGTGTATTTGTGCATACCCCACCACACATGTAAATAAATAAGTATAATAAAACCTCAGCCTCTATAGTCTACTTTATAAACTTAAAATAAAAATAAACCTGTGCAATGCAAAGCAAGTATCTACAATGGTGTTAAAAATTAGAAATATTTAAGGTAGCATCTAGCTAAGACTGACCTGAAGATGATGGTGGATGCTTGTTGTCTGCTGACCTTACTACCAGAGATGAACAGCAAGATGATTCTCGACAGAAGCTCTCAATAGACAGACAACATAATGTTGAACAAGTCAAAACCTTTGGTTGGGGTTTTGGGAGATAAACAAGGCATGGGGGAAAGGCACCCCACTTGTTCCTCCTGGGTTTGGCAGTGGTTTCTTCCCAGTAATTACACTACAAAAAGCATCTGTCTTCTGCAAACTATTTTGGGTAAGATAGTACAAAGACGACTTATGTACACAAAATGATAATGACAGATATTGGTTCAAAAGTGGGAGAAAAGCCATACTGTTGGTAAGTTATAGTATCATAATGTTATTTGCCCTCTTTGGATAATACTCATTATCCTAGAATCATGTTTGATTATGTCAGAGGCAACATCTCTCAAATAGGGCCATAGAAACTTTCATTTTTTGTTGTTGTTTATTTGCTCTGTTAATACCTAATTTCTATGGCAGTTACTTATGTAACCTCCATGGAATTATTTGAATATTAAATCTGCATATTTAAATTCTTCCCAAGGGGATCTGAGAGAAGATAACTCTTGTTAGAGCCAGACTATTTGAGAAATTATGCAGTTCCCATTTCTAGGTGGGAAGAAATTGGTATAAATGGGTACTGCAATGTCTCAGAAATCCATAAGTCTTCTTTCATTTGGTCTTAAAAATAATTAAGATATCCAGAATTTCAGATATCATATTCCTCAAGTACAGGAAACACATTCTAAATGAATCTGAATGATTTTTAGACTATCTTCAAGTATTACATCTCTTTCTTACTAGGAACTGATTAAACATGGCATATACACATTAGATACATTCTAATTTTCTTAACAGCATTTTGCATATGTAAACACGTGACTTATATCATCAAAAAAATATTCCAAGGGAACACTGCAGTTCCATTTGCCCATGGAATAAATTAAGTTGGCATTCAAATCTTTATTAGGCCCATTCCTGTAGCTCTAAGGAAGTTAGGACTGCTTCGTTTGATCAGAATGGTTTATAAACTTTAATAAGGCTATAGCCATAGCGACCAGTGGTTAATTGTGTTGAATTAAGTCTTCTTCTAACTTATATTCCACACTGCACATTGCTAACAGATAGAGGCCCTTCAGAAGCTGGGATAGCCCCTGTGGGAGATTGTAAAGGGGAAAACCAAGTCACCATGAAGATAGTAGTAGTTTGAAGTAACGGGAAATAATTATTTTTACTATTTTCATTCTGTAATTAATATTTAACCAGAATTATATCTTTTGAGAAACAAGACTTAATATGACAGTTAATTTAGTAGACTAGGTTTAGAAAAGTGAAAATTTCTTTTCCAATATTTTTTTAAGGACATTTGAAGTTGATTTTTGGAATGAGTTAAAACTTTAAATTCTAATTTTACAAATATTTTTCCAAAACGTATATAAAAAGAAATTGATGTGTGAATTTAACAAAATTATATGAGATGGGCTGCATTTAATTTTGATACAACCAAAGAGAAATACATTTGTGATTATTACCTGTTCCTGCTCCATTTTTATGGGACATTCCTCTTGATTTGGTTTTATCAGGTCTTGTAGTTGTTTTGTTCAGAGCTACAACAAAGTAGGGATTAAACAGTTTAGACATTCCTTATTAAAAGCTTGCAGCCAAGGAAAACAAAACTTCTCACAGAACTGAAAATCATTTAACTAGGCAATAAAGTAATGACAACTCACATACAAAGAAATACGTGGTCCAGAATATAGAATATAGACACCACACTCGGGCATGAAAGTCATAAACGTTCACAGGTAAGAATGAAAATCTAAATCTGTACTGGGGTGGTTACTGGGCACCAATATTTTCTCTTCAAAAAAAAGCAAGTAGCAAGGGAATTTCTAATTCTGAGTGGAAAATATTTTATCTTGCTTCCTGTATATGCTATAAGATAAATTCCAAAACAGAACTGAAGGAATATCAGGACTACATTTTATCAAGTGAAAACCAAGACCTGAAATGTATATAATGTCAAGGCCACTCATAAATTGGCGATCCTTTTGTGGACATCTGTAGACACTGTTTAATTATAATAGTCGTTGTATGCATCCACTGTTGGGCACTGAGTCATGATCCTTCCATGTAAACCTCTCTCCTGTTCTCTAGAAATTCAAACACTGGGTATTATTATATGCATAAGCTCTGAAGCCAGATTGCCTGTCTTTTAATTCTGTTTCTGATTCCAGTCAGCACTTCAGTTTCCTCAAACATTGGTCTTAACTTAGTCATTGTCAACCATTATTATTTCTGTATTCTACAGAAGTATTCAATCTGTCACATATTAAAGACACCTTGATTTCTATAACATAAAGTCACATAGAAATATCTTCTTTGTGTAATAGGTTTTTCTACCTAATTACCTTTAGGAGTTAGAGATTATAGCCAAAATATTAGCTCTCTATATGATGGACTAGGAGTCAGCAGATTCCCAGCACACAGGCAAAGCACAAAAACCCTAGGAAGATTAATATATTTTCACATGGACATTTAAGATAGCTAATTTCCTGCTTCTCCCTCCCCAAGACAAATAGTTGGTTAGAGTTTAACTGCTTCTTAATCCCAAGGAACTGTTTGGGAACACTAACATGGAAGGAAATAATCTACTTCCCTTTCTTTGTCCAGATTATCCAACAACCTGGGACAGCCCAAATCAGCCAATTTCTAGAGAGAAAGACAACTCACTACACACACACACACACACACACACACACACACACACACACACACTCCTTCAATTCCAGCTCTGAGTCTCCTTCCCATGTGGGGACTCTGCCTCTGTGTACTTGGTTGTCTTTGGGCATCTGCTTTCAACAAGATCTGGTTGAGTGATGAGACCCTGCTTTTATGCACTTTTATTCTTTAGATTGGTACAGAAAAAGAAACTATTCCTACAACCTTCAATGACTTCACTTTCAAAAATATGTGTATATAATTACAATATATATTGAATATTACATATATAATATTCAAAAAGTATAAGAATGCTGTTTTGTTTCCCAAACATACCTGGAGATACATTCACAAAGATCCCACCTTTGTGAATAACTTTTCTCCGCTAGTACCTTAAGAATAGCTAGAATCATAATGGGAGAAGACAAGAAGGACCAGAAAGGCTTTAGCTGGTGCTAAAATGTGTGTGCCTTAGCACAAGAACAACCTATACTGAGCAATGAGCATTTCCTTAAATTCCCAAAAGGACAGAGTTATAGTCCCCTTCTGACTTGGTAAGTATGAAGTATCTCTCAATACAGAACTACAATTTTTTGTTGTTTATAAATATTTTCATTCTTTGAATTGTGAACAAGAATTCCTGGGAGGAATCTGTGTCAGCAAAGAGTGATTGGCTGATTTGAACTACCATGATGTGGAGAAGTTGCAGGTCCAGAGCTTGATTAATTTTGGGCTACCATCATCCCCCTAAATAGCCATTCCTTGTCTACCTTGTGTGCATCCTGTAACTAACAGATAAATCCTTAGGCGTGTAGTCGCTAAGAAGAGTACTAACTTCCATCAACCCAAAAGCTAAGAATATCACCATTAGGTAGCATCTGAGGCTTGCAAGAGAGATTCCCCAGCTTTCTATACTCTGTTTTGCCCCTCAGATATGCCTACTAATTTTTTAAAAAATGTCCTGATTTACAACTTTCTTTGTTCAGTTACTATGAAACATGCATGAAAGTACTTCACAAAGATAATATTCTAACAAAGAAGACTGAAATGTATTTTCCTGGGTTATGGTCACTCAAAATTTTGGCTCCAGGATAAATCATGTCTTTTATTTTTTTTAGAAATGAAAAATGTTTCTTTTAATGACAGAAGATATCAAAAAAACACTATTCTCTTTGAAACTAAAAGCTTCACACACACATACACACACACACACACACACACACACACACACCGACTAGGATGAGGCCATTTGTCTTTCTGAAGCAAGAAAAAAATATTTGAAATTGTCACAAAAAATTTTAGGTGTGTGCAACTTATAAATAAACCTCATTTAAAAATTTTTATACTTGTTCAGTTCTAGAGAGGTCTCTAAATCTTAATTGACATTCATAAAAAAAAACCTCTAGATTTTATTATATCAATGAGTTAAGCCCTTCAATTACCCACAAGGACCAGGATGTCTGTGTTCCTTTTATTTCAACTTAATGGTACATGACCCAGATCCCTTCTCTCCCAACACTTCCACCTTTGGGAAATTTGGCTTCTTCTCCTGTGTAGTTTCCCCAGCCTGCTGATTGTATAGGTCATCAGAGAAAGAAAAGCTTTCTTACCAGGCCTGCCATGTGGCCTGTCAGGTATTCTGGGCCTCACAGGAGTCGTGTGTAATCTGTGTGGTGCTGAAATAGAAGACAGACTTTATATATATATATATATGCCCAATAACTAGCACTTGAAAGGCCAGCCAACTGACCTTAGTTACCCTAGGGACCAATAACGAGGACACTTCACATAGAAATAAAACATTCTGAAACTGTCAGTTACTTATGACCTAGATCATGCAAAAGGAATATAAAACAAATGAAAATACTTGTAGCTGGAAGGCAAAAGTTCACAGAATGAGGTAGGTCATTAGTAATATTAAGAATCAATCATTTAGTACATGCTTGCCAAAAGTATTAATTTTTTCAAGTGAATGCTTAACATGATAAATATATAAAAACCTAGCCATCCATCTACCCACACATCCACCTACCCAGTCAGCCACCTACCCAGCCAGCCAGCCTTCACCATAGCAAACTACTATCCTATTGAACATTACTTTTCCAAAGAAAGTAATCTTAAGGGTTAAAGAAAAAAAAAGATAAAGGAAAAATTAGATAGCTAAGAAAAATAATAATATCATGTGGTCTTTATCAATGTGTCTTAGCTTATGAATTCTGAAATTAATACATATTCACTGTCTGTGATTGCTATACAGAAGCATGAAAGAAAACACACCTGGTGTCCCACTGTCAAGAAAAAGTGAGCAAGGGATGGTAAAACTAACATGCTACCTCCTGGTACATGGTTCCTGCCCGTGAAGGAATGAAAACGAAGCCTTACTGAATGAAGGCATGGTGACCATTGCAGGCAGATTTGGGAGAAGATACAGAACTATTTTGCTTCCTTAAGACTTAATGCATGTGCTGCTCTTGGAAGCTATCAACTGCTGAGAGCGCACTGCAGACACCCATGTATTCCAGCCACCAAGTCTCTTGGTAATACTTTAGCTATAGACAGAAAAAAAAAGTTTTTCTTGTAAACTATACAAATGTTACATCATTTAACGGTTTTGCTCACATCTTGAGTGGATATTTATTAACCATAAATCAGCAATGTTTTGCCTGGCAGGCTTAAAAAAAAATACCACCTGTGAAATAGCTCATTCTGTAGCTGTCGCTTAGAAGCTTCCAGTGTGAAGGCTTTGATGAGCAGGATTTTGCCATACAGCAGGCCAACAACAGAGGCAGACTGAGATCTTCCAGGGGCCTCCCTGGGGCTGGGGCTGTCCCAAGGGTACTAACCACAGTGAGCACAAGTACCGCTGTTAGAAAGCCTTAATGCCTAAAGGGCCAAAAATGCCTCCTGATGATTTGCAAATGATTCCCTTTGATTTTTCTTTGAGTGTCAGTCATTTTAACCCAGTTCTGCTTTTCATGTAAATCCCTTGGAGCATTTGATTGCTTTTGCTGAAGAGAACTAAAAGACTCCTAGTTCTTCTTTTCCTAGTCATAGACAACACAGGAATCTTCTAACTTCGCCCAGGAAGATCAGAGAAGGGTGCAGAGATACCCAGCCGTGTGCCATCGCTACTACAACACCAGGACATGAGAGCTTTTGTTCTGTTTTTTTTTTTTTTTTTTTTTTTTTTTTCTAGGAAGAATGTAAAGAGCTGGAATAAAATTGAACTTTAGGCTGAGGTGCTCAAACAACTCAGTACCCGACAGCACATGCCTTTGAGAAAAACCGCTCTAACTTTACACCTAAAAAGAAAGGCAACAGAGCTTTTCTGACTATGTAACCATGTAAACAGCGTGCTATTAATTTTTGCGAGGTGGCCAATAATACAAAAATTTAAAAATATTTCATACCTATTTTAAAAAAAAACCTCTAAAAGTATTAAAAATGAAGTATTTAAAACAACATCAGAAATGAATATACAGTGATGATAGCGCTCTGCCTCCAAAAGGAGACAAAAATCGAGAGCTGAAAGTCAAATAATCATGACTCCCTAAAGTGCCTTTGGGTAAGGACATTGCTACAATGTACTGAAGTAGAAAGCTTGGTACATAGAGATGACTCACTGTGTAAAAATGCTTGCTGCCACGCCTGGCAAGCTGTTTGATCCCCAGAATCCATGCAGTGAAATGAGAGGACCGATTCCACTAAAGCACCCTCTGATCTCCACACGCATGCCATGGCATGGCCACAGATACCCTCTTATCAGCCCCGTGTTCAGACGAAATAAATACACATAGAAACAAAAGTCGAAGGCAGAGAGAAATGAGCGTAAGATGCAGCACTTTGTGTGGGAATTGTCTCAGTAGAAGTGGAAGAAATGTTGCCACAGAGAAAATATGTGGCTGAGTAGCGGGTTCTGTTGTGGCTCTAGGAGTACCTGCTGAGGGTTTGCGACGCCACAGTCTCATGCATCAGTGGTACACACAGGATTAGAGCACAACATCGGGAGGAATGATTTCATCTCTGCCTCTAGTCTTTCCATTGGTGCTATCTAAGGAGCGGCATTAAACAAACCCCAATGTCCCAGATGGACCTGAAGTACCTCAGAGCTCGGGCCCAGTTCATCAAAAGGGTTCTGATAACACGCAGCTTGTCTTCAACAAAGCTGCTGCTCTCTGCTTCTAATCAGAGCTAACGGAAGGCACCCGTTTATGGGTGCCCCTCTTCTCCCCGAAGATGGCTTCCTTCCTAGTTATTATTTGAAATTCTCTGCAACCGCATCCTGAGTGTGCCTAAACAGACGTTTTTGAGACAAATCCAGGAAAGCATAAACTTAGAATAGCAGAGCAGAGCCTCAAATTAAGAGCTATCTGGACACATTAAAATATGATAGCGCGTTGTACAACCCTGCTAAGACCATTTTGTTGAAGCATTGTTTGAGCATGAGGATGCTGCTGCCATTCAAGTCAGTAACGTGACTTTCAAAAAGAGAAGAAAATACCAAAGCCAGGGAGGGTTGTAGCCACACAGAGCTGACTGTGTGTCATCAATGGATAAAGCTGTGAAAGGGGGCTTGAGAAGAGAAGGCAAAATAAGAAGATGGAGAAGGTCTTCCTTATTTATCAGATATGAAAATCAGGCTCATGAAGGTTCAGCAAGGTAAACGAAACACGCTCCCCCCCCCCAAAAAAAAAGCCCTAGGGACTTTAAAATTTAGATTTCAGCAACCTGCATCCAGCAGTACATCTGAAACAACCAAAGAAGCTGTGTACACAAATGGCATTCAGTTTGCCTGAGGTCCTTCATCATTAATATGAAATCAGTCGAGAAGTTCATTCTGGTGAGGAAATATCATCTGAAAGCAAAATTTCTTTATTAAAGGAAAATAAGAAAAAATTTCCCTCCAAGAGTGGAGGAACAGCATTACCCTGAGTTGTCTTTGCCAATTCAGTTGTTCGTGGAATCTTAGTTGTGAAGAGCTCTTGGGTAGACTGGTCTGTTTCTTCTAGGGAAAAACACAGTAGGATGCTGTGCTTTAAATAGCCATCTTCATGAATATAACAAGGGCAAACCAAAAAATAAACAGATAGCTCAAGCCATCCTCCATCCTTTATAGTAACCTAAAGTGAATGAATATGTTAATGACTTATCCTTGCTGTTGTATAATATGGTTTTAGTGATTATTGTAAGGATTCCCAAGGCAGCTTTAAGTTCAGAATTCTTTTGTTTTGCTTTTTGATGCTACAGCCCTGAGACTGAACCCAGGGCAATATATATGCTAGGCAAGTGTCCTTCCACTGAGCACTGAGCCAAAGGCCTGAGATAGCTGTTTTAAAAGGTTACTATCCTTGGGTGCCCCTGATAATAGCCTTGAAAAACCTTAAATGTATTTGTCTTTCATCTCTTCCCTACTCCACAATTTATATATAGAAAATAAATAGATCATGTGAGAAGACATTTATTTCATCCATAGAAGAAGAAATATCCTTTTGTTTTCTATTTGTCAAAATAAAAATGTATGTTTACTGATATTCAGGTATATTTATCTTGGTAAAATAAGTACTACCTTCATGTCATCTTGAAATCATTACATCATAATGACAAGGTAGATGCTATTGTTTATTCTTCCACTTTAAAGGTCAAGGGAATTGCCAGTTAGGTAGTAGTATTGCCCTCTTTTTTTTGCCTGACACAGTTTGTTCTCATGATCCAAATTCTGGGAAGAGGTTTAGGATGGCCATGAGATGATGGTTCTCTCTTCAGTAAACTAGAAAACATTTAAAAAGTAAAACAAATCAAGACAGAGAGTGAAAATTAGATGATTAGTATATTTGGAAGTAATTTTGTAAAGTACTTTTAACTGTACCATTTTATGACTTTGCAGACATAGGCTAGAATGATATGTATTGTTAATCATTAGGGTTTGTTTGCTCATCCCATTTAAAATTTTATTCCAAATAAACTTCATTTAGATATATGGTCAGTTATGCATGTGTTATGCAGTTAAGCAGACAAACACACAATGATGGATTTATTTTAAAAGGGATAAAGAGAGGAAAATAAAGCCACTGAGTCAAACAACTCTGCAGGATGCAACAAAGAAAGGGCTGAAGAGCCAATAATCATGAGCTGGGGACTTTCCCATCAGTTTCAATCAGGATGTGGCACATGATTTCCACAGTTGTGGCCATATTTATGTTGAATTCTTCAAAAGCAACAGATCATATCAACCTCTTTCTTGTCTGATCCATCATCTTTCTGCAGGCAACCTATAAGCTCTGCGGGAGTCCTATTACTATCTTAAATCCTCTCTAGATTACTTGAAGTGCAAACAGATGAAAATGTTATGGAAGTAGTTGCTTGTTGTACCATTTGAGGGATGATGGCAAGGAAAATGCCTGAGCACTTCCCATACAAAGTAGTTTGTATTCAGGAGAACGGACTGTACTTGGAGCCTGACTGCCAAGATGCTTGTAGACATTCTTCTTGAATGGGAAATCATGCAATGTAAAAGTTGAGTGAAGTGAGCATGTTACCTTAAGGGCAATCCTTAAATAATTAAGTCCCTTGTGGAGCAAAATAATACAATTTACCCATGGTGGTTTGTAGTTCCTCTTGACTAGGTCTTGGTGAAATCACAGGTATGAGGGGAATGCCCCGTGTCTCTAAAGGTGCTGTAAGAGAAAAGTACTAAATTGGTAAGTTATTAAGTCAGAGCCAGCAATAAACCAGAATGATACAACAGGAGACACTTTCATTTGACTATAAAAGAAAAAACATCTCCTGAAAGGTGAAAAAAGTTAGCCTGCACCAGCCTCTCAGGAGAAAGACAATGGAATGCTAGTGTAATGGTTCTTAACTGTTTTCTACCAGGAGGCACAATAAATGGCATTCTGGTTTTCCACTGTAGAGGAGACCTGGCCAAGATGGAATGTGGTTAGGACACCTTCCTGGTTTTCTGGTTGTAGCTCTGTCTCTCTACTTACCACTTCAAAGCCAAAGAGATTACAAAACTGTTAGACAAGCCTTTTGAGACTGCTCTAACAAGCAAATCACTGGCAGCTTTGACATTTTCACCAATATTAACTTCTTGCATCATTAGTCAAGCTTTGACATATGCTAATATGCTGCAGAATCACAGCTGAGAACCATTAAACCAGCAGGAGTTATTAACTAGATGGCAAACAAGGAAAGTGGAATCATGGAGATAAGTGAGGTAGATATGGGTAAGCTTGGTAATGAGCCTTCCTGGGCTGGTCTCCAAAGCAAAACCTTTCAGTATGGAAACCATGCTTCTTTTTATTGGAAACAGTAGCCGCAGGGAGAATGGCATCATGAAATGGACTGAGAAGAGGTGATTTTTCAATTAGCGATCATTTGAGAAAGACCTGCAATCTTGATGGTATCAGAGAAAGTAAGTAAGCTGGTTGGTTAATATGAGAAAAACATTACCTATCGTTGTCTTTGGTGGCTCAACTCTAAAGGTGACAGGAGGCAGAACTATGCCAAAAGTAAACCAAAGAAACACTTGTGAGAACTACTACAAGGTCAAATCATAGCTTTTATAGATAGATACAATTACTTAAAAGCTCGACTATTCACTAAAAATCATAATAAGCATGAGAAAGCACTACTAGATTCTAGTCAAGGAACTTAGCTATATCTTTATTTCGTTCACCAATGATCCATCATTTGAGGAAAACATGAATCAATGGGCAACCATTTACTTTTTGCTAAAAACAAAGCAAAAAACAAGCAAACAAAAAAAAAACCCACAAAAGAGTGTAAAACAGTTACCTCAGCTAATAATTAAGTTGCATAATTTCAGCATGATCTCCTCTTCAGTAAAAACATTTCCACAGCAAATAAAATCTATTATGTTAGTCTTATACTTAACCAGGAAAAAACTTTAAACAGGATTATATGATTGAACTTCCTACAAGGAAGCATATTCCATAACCACAGTTTTCTGTATCATGTCCCTTTTATTCATATAATTACACCAGGATTAAAAAAATATGAGTATATATTCTAACTAGGAAGATCAAATGTTTTTTCTTTTTTACCAGTTTCACTGTGAGACACCTCGAGATCTGGTTTATGGGAAAGTCGTTCATCTTTTGGAACTGAAAGAAAAAGATTATAAAACACTGCATACTACTGAAGTGAGCATAGTCTTTAGTTGTAAATCCCTAAAGCATGAAGGGTGCAAAGGCTAAAGAGCAAAGCTTAGAAAGAATGACCATTCTTTCAAAATGGAAACTACGCCTTCCTGAAGGTGGGTCTGCTTACAGTGAACAAACCTAAAATTGGTCATAATTGATGTTGAAGCTGCACTTAAAAAAAATAACAGAGAGGGGATGGATGCAGGAGGAGCTAAGGTAGGAGGAGTAAGGAGAGGAAGAGGAGAAGGAAGAGGAGGAGATAAGGGGAGAGAGACCAGAGAGAGGGGAACATGGAAGCAGATGTGTGCGTGTCTCTAGCAGTCAAAGGTAGCTGGTATATCTAGGTTGGGTATTGGATTACACCTATGATTGTATGGGCATCTTGTTATTGACAGCATTACTAAACATATAAAGCCTTTGGATAATCTAAGCATTAGAGTCTCTCTCATTTGTACTGGGCCCACATGGATGGCGGGATGGTCTGGACTCAGCCAAGCGTTGTGGAGACAGCGTGGTAGATTGGTAATGCCATCTCCTATGCTGGCATCTCGTGGGTGGCAGGGCTAGTGTCTCTGACCACCTGAGTGGATGGCCCAAGCATGGCGACTGATTAAGAAAAGCCAGATTGAATGCTGCTGTTTTAAATATCTCTCACAATAGGTGGGGAGAGAAGAAAAATCAGAAAGAAAAGGAAATGGATAATCTAGACACAGGGAATTAGTTTTTCCTTAAGGTTGTTGTTTTCAAAATTTTCAAAAAGAAAATTTTTGAGCTCCAGTGGTAGCTGCCATTTGACACTCGAGAAGTTCATTTCCAACTTTAAATCAAACTAAACGTTTTCTTGGAGGCTGAAGGGAAAGGTGCTTTGATTTAGCTCTGCAAAGGCCACGAAGATGCTAAGAAGAATGCTGTGTCTAGATGGCTATTGATCACAGTTCTAGGCTAGACACAGAAGAGCTGGGATTAAGGAAGGGAAGGGAGAAAAGATGTGTTACTCACAAACCAGCCATACTCTAAACACATCAGTGGCTGCTGCTTCAGCTCCCTGCAGAGTTTGCAAGAGGCTAATGTGGATTCCAGCTGCTAATGTTGGCACCACCCTTTTTAGCATGAAGTGGTGATTTAATAAACTGCAGAGCAAACTTTCTAGCGCAGGTGAAATCAGTGGAACAGAAAGCAGCTGAATAATGCCCAGCAAAGGCCTATGAATGACATTCCCTTTTTGATCTACTGCTGCTCTAAGCAAGTCAGAATTTCTCCCCTTTGTGGTTCTCATCTGCATATTAAATCAAATACAATTAGAATCCCTAAAGCGCGCCCTCCACGCTGAGGGCTTCCCATCAACATAAATGAGGGTGATAATTGGTTTGAGAAGGCCGTTTTGATTTCCTTGTATTTACCATTAGTATATCATTACTTGACCAGTTTGTATTAATTAATATCACCTGTCCGATCAATCATGTTAACCACCTTTTTAGGTAAATTGGGTCACTTTAAAGAAAAGTTAACTATCAAGAGGCACTTCTGAGTATGAAGGGTCAAGTGGAGACAATTGTAAAATGCACATGCATGAATGTGTCACTGGAGTTCAGTGAGAAAATCAAAACACTATTGGGGAAAACTGATATGATATGGCCTGTAAGAGGGTTGACCCTGCCCATCGGCTGCAACCAGATTGCCTCCCTTAGAGACATGAAACATGTGGACTATGTGGGCTTTCCTTACTACGAGCATGAGAGGGAGTAAACAGCCCACTTTGGAGGATTCTACCTATGCTTTCCTTGTGCTACTGGCCCAACCCCTTCCATCCCCTCTAAGGCATGGTAGCTTCCATTATTTAGTCCTAGTTTAGCTTGTTTTTGACATAGTGTTCCATGTAGCCCAGGCTGGTCCCAAACTTGCCATGTAGCTGAGGCTGACTTAGAATTGCTGAACCTTTTGACAATACCTCCCAAGTACTGATATTGTATTATGACCAGACAAAAGTATGTAACTTATTTTTTTTTCAGTACTGTGGGCTGAACCTAGAACCATAGGCACGTCAGCCAAATGTTCTACTACTGAGATACACTCAGCCGTTTTATCCTATAGTTTTCTCATTAGTTCTCTCTTTCAATGAATTCCTTTCCCTATAAAATTATTCAAATCCAACAACTCTAACAAAACTCACCAACAATAAAACAAACAACAATCTTTGGTTCTAGAGAAAACATTGTGTCCTTGGTATAATTATCTCTACCTTTTTATTGTAGTAACAGTTTTAGTACATGTGAAATTACAATTCTTGAGGCACCTATAAAAATAAAATCCACAAGACTATACACAGAGGTACAATTGAATTTATCTCATATGCCTCAGCCTTTTGTAATTCAGTGCATGTGTGAGGGACAGCACAGTATAATTCAGGTTAAACACAGCATAAGATATTTACCAGATGTAGTGTCTGCCACTTCAGGACTTGGTGGCATTTTTGGCTTTGAAGTAGTATGCAGGGATCCCTTAGGAACTGAAAGAGAGAACTCAGGTCATATGAGTCATTGGGATTCCTTGTTTCTTAGTCATGCTAAGAACACAACAGGCCTGGCAGGGAATAAGCTTGAAGTGTATTAAAAACAAGGCGGCAGCAACAGAGACCAACAAAAAATGGAGTACAAGTGTATCAAATAGACCGGGCATGAAAATTCTTCATTTTTGAATCATGTTTGACAAGTCATTAGGATAAAGAGGTTTTCAGTTGTTTGTTTGTTTTTAATCTTCATGTCAAAGAAGACAGAATTAATATAGGGCTTCATTCTCCTTTCTAGATGTGCTTGCTTGTGTTGGTGACAGGGATCTCATTAAGTTCCAGAACTGAGAGCTGCAGCAGATGTCAAGGCCCAGTCATGAACACTGTGGTCAGATCCAGGCTTTTGACACCTCAGTACTTTGGGTCAGATTTTACTTTGGTTCTTATGTTTAGTTGAAAATAACAAACCCTGTCCTACAGGGTGAATGTGAGAACCAAATGAGGACCATGCATAATGTGATAACTGTACTACCCTAAAGTTCCTTTAACTTCCCCAGAGTCTTTATATATTTGGCACTGAGGAAGCTCATTCTGGGATAGCAGACTGTCAGGAACATAGCCTAAAACTGTAGGCGAAGGGAGAAAGTGACTCTTCTGAGAAAATCTGTTCTTGGCCATTCCTATCTGAAACAATAAGACATTAGGAAAGCTTTGTGGACTGAGCTCTCCCTGTGATGTGCTTTCTGATTAAGTCTAAAAATACATATAAATGTAAATAATTTGAGTTACTAAGGAAAGAGTGCCTTGTTTGATTATGGCTAAAACTCAATTTGTTGGAACTAAGAAACTAACCCACTAACTTCAGGTTTGTACAACCACTTTGGAAATCAATTTGATGGTTACTCAGAAAATTAGGAATAGCTCTACCTCAAGACTCAGCTACACCACTCTTCAAGACTCAGCTACACCACTCTTGGGCATATAATCAAAGGATACTCTACCATATGACAAGGATGACTATGCTCAACTATGTTCATAGCAGCTTTATTTGTAATAGCCACAAACTGGAAACAACCTAGATGTCCCGCAACTGAAGAATGGATTAAAAAAAATGTGGTTCATTTGCACAATGGATTACTACTCAGTTATTAAAAGCCAGAACATCATGAATTTTTGCAGGCAAATGGGTGGAACTAGAAAAATCATCCTGAGTAAGGTAACCCATACCCCAAAGGACAAGCATGGTGTATACTTATTTATAAGTGGATATTAGCCATAAAGTACAGAATGCTCATGATATACTCCACAGACTCAAAGAAACTAAGTAATAAGGAGGGCCCAAGGGAGAATACTTGAATCTTACTCAGAAGGGGAAAATAAATAGACATTGGAAGTGGATGGAGAGAGGGAACTGGGAAGAAGGGGAGGTAGTGAAAGGAACTACAGTGAAAGAGAAGGGGAGAGGGCTAGGAAAGAGAACAGAAATTAAAGGGGGGTGCATCTGTGGAATTAGCCAGAGACCTGGGACTGGGGAGGCTCCTGGGACTCTATGGGTGACCCTAGATGAGGCTCTTACCAGCAGGGGATATGGAGACTGAAGTGGCCACCTCATGTAGCCAGGCAGGACTTCCAGAGCAGGGAGAGGGACACTAACCTACCCACAAAACCTTTGACCCAAAATTTGTCCTGCCTACAAGATGTGCAGAGATAAAGATGGAACAAAGATTGAGGGAATAGACAACAAATGACTGGCCCAATTTGATATCCCATGGGAGAAAATCAATCCCTAACACTATTAATGATACTTTATCATGCTTGTAGACAGGAGCCTAGCATAACTGTCTCCTAAGAGGCTTCATCTAGCTGCTAATTGAAACAGATGCAGAGACCAACAGCCAAACACTAGGCAGAGTTCAGAGAGTCTTGTGGAAGAGTTGGGGGAAGGATTGAGGGAGCTGGAAGTGTCATGGACAGCCTAAGAAGACCTACAGTCAACTAACCTGGGCCCATGGGGGGCTCACAGAGAGTGAACCACCAACCAAACAGCATGGACTCCTACACCTATGGAGCAGATGTGTAGCTTAGTATTCATGTGGATCCTTCAACAAATGGAATGGGGGTGGGGTGGGGACGGGGCTGTCTCTGACGCTGTTGCCTGTCTTTGAACCCTCTTTCCCCTAGTTGGGCTGACTTGTGTGGCCTCAGTGGGAGAAGATGCCCTTAGTCCTGTTGGAACTTGATGTACCAGGGTGGGTTGGTACCCATGGAGAGCCTCCAGTTCTCTGAGAAGAGGAAGGGGTGTTAGTGTGAGGGTGGGGCAGGAAGGAGAGGAGGGAGTAAGTGCTGTGATCCAGATGTACCGTGAATAAATAAATGAAAAAATTTGATTGACACATAGCATAACCTATTACATAATGAAGTATTCAAATATGAAAAACAAAAACAAAAACAAAAAGTTAAAGCAAACGCTTTGTAGTTACCTGGCTCTTTTGCTGGCATTCTTGATTGTGGTGTTTTGAGCTTGGGAGGCGTGCTGGTTGTCTGCCTGGAAGCTAAAGAAAAGACATAGGTTCACAGCTTTGGAGCCCTTGACCCTTCAAAAACTATAGTGCTTTCTAGAAGCTCAAAAGTATTTGCTGAGTCACTGAAGATAAATAAAGTCAATAATTGCTGTTAATATCTCCCGAGCTACAAAAAAGAGAGAGATTAAAGGTACTGGATAAAAGAGGTAGATTAAACACACCTCAAATATTCAGCTTGCAAAAGAGAACTGTTGGTATTGGGGAAATGTCTGCTTCAAATGCTTTTTAAATTGGTTAAAAACAAAGTCATCTCATTTCTAATCTATACGTCATCATGAGTATGCAGATGCATTCTTTAAATACAAACCCACCTTTTCTAAATAAAGAAACTACTCTGACAAAAATTCAAATAGAATAATTTAAATAGCAAGTTTAAAAGAAAAATGAATTTTACTAAGCAAAACACAATTTTATTGGTTATATTGGAAAAATTGAACATGAAAGAGACTTTTCTGCAGAGCAGTATCCCTTCACTGGAGGGACTCTAGGGAAGGCTATGGAGCGACTAGTATGAAGATAATTTATTTTCTTCAGTGAGAAAGTTAAAAGTTTATTCCAACAAAGGAAAGGAATTGTCAGGTCCAGGGCTGCAGCCTCTGAGAACATCGCCTTCAGGAGAACTGAAATAACAAAGATCAGGAAACACAAAATGCAGTGCCAGTGCCACATGGCTTTAAACAGCTTAGGAAAAACACTGGTGAAAATAAGAATTATTTGATATTGGAAGCTTGATAAGAAGAAACAAAGTGCTGTCAATACTATGTTGTTTCAGAACCTTTAAGAAACATTCACTAAAAATGATTTGTTAGATACTGGAAGTGTGCGTGAGTCCTCAGGGCAGGCTTCAGAGTGGCTTTTTCCTGATAATAAATGGTAAAATACAAGGTACACAGTGATTTCAGGGCTCTTCTCTAGCCTGTAAAGAGACAAATACCAAGATACATAAGAGGTTATTTTGGCTGACTAACCCAGTGGTTTAGAACACCATTTGCTAGTCAGGGTCAACAGAGATATTTGTCACCCAAACTGAAATGATATTTAAGAAGCATTCTAATTCTAAATTGAATGAGTTGATCTTATTACTGATGTCATGGTTCAGCCCCCTTTCCTGCTGAGGTCTCAATTAATGTACTGTTTTCCCAAGACAAAAAAAGACCATGTGAAGACAAAGGCATGTTCAGAAGCAATTCCAGGAAATGTCATCCATGACCATCGGGCAGACATGGGATATATGCCTGGGATCCCAGTACTAGGGATGTTGAAGCAAGAGAAGCATGAACTCTGGGTCAGCCTGGTCTACATGGCAAGCTCTTGTTCTCAAACAAAAACAAAAAAGAAAAAAACCACAGGTAGTATATATAATTATGTATATTATGTAAGTATATATAATTATATTATATCATATAACAATAATATGTTAATAGCTACTGACAGAATTTTTTTGGCAATGGTAGTTTTAACTGATATGACATACAGTCCATTTATGTCGTCAATGTAGAATTTGGGTAAAAAGTTAAACTATCATTTATTAGTCAACATTATTTAATAAGTGTTTTAGAACACACTCATCAAAATTGATAACTTATCTCCCCTGGAAATAGAACCTTATAAAAGAGGTTTTGTTTTTTGTTTTGTTTTTGAAAAAGGTATATGAGATAGTATCTCACTATGCAGCTGAGGCTGGCCTTGAGCTCAGCAATCTTTCTGTTTGAGACAGATAGAATGCTGAGGTTACAGACGTGAATACCACACCTGGTGTAAAAGAGTTTATTGATAACCAGAACAGAAGCTTGGGCCTATGTATGGCTAACTCCTATTCCATGGAAAACCATGGGTACTGCAGAAATTGTGTTATTCATGAAGGTGATTTGTTCTCACTAGGATCAAACTCTGCTACCATGGAAAACTTTATGGCTAACATAGTTTAATTGCTATTTCTCTAATACCAGGGGAGAGTATAGAGTGAAACTCCAGGCTACTGAAAGGAGGAGTGGGTAGTACAGAGACCTCTAAATAATGACACGAGGACTGGTCAATGCCCTGTAATATGGATTATACAACAAAATCTGTTTCTGTCAGTATTGTATAATTTTATACAGAAGTCAGCTACCTCAAAATACTTTACAGTTATAAAGCTAGCGAAGAAGACAGGGTAATCCAAATAAATTTACATATATACTTTAAAATAGAATATATATAATCTTCTTCCTAAACATTCCTATTTTCTGAACTCAAAAACTTGAAGAGTACTAGAGATGTAATTTTTCAGCACTGTGTTAAAGGTTTACATATTGCCATTCAAGAAAGATTACTGATGATAGAGAAAGAGATGATGATACTTCTGAAAGGTGGGTTCACCCATCAGAGGCTGAGAAGAACGATAGGCAGGGCTTCTCATGCTCAGGCCATGTTATCATTTTGCAAAACACTCACCTCATATACAAAATGCAAAAAAAAAAGTGTATTTACCAGGTTCAGTCTGAGGCTTGTCTAGTCTGGGTAGGATTATAGTTTGGGAAGACAGAGGTGATGTTTCTATGGTAACTGAAGGAAATTATGTGGGGTTACTATAATGTTAGGCACACTCAAATTACAGACAACAGTCAGAATAAACAGACATCAAAAGTAAGAGAATGGTTAAATTACAGGAAATTTGAAATATAAAGAAGAAATGTTTCTTTATAACTCACTCTATTTAAAAAGGGAAGACTTCAGATGACAAAATACTTTTGAGATAAACAATATTATTACTTCAAGAATCTTTACCAATGCTTGAATGAGAACTATAAAGGGAAAAGATAACTTTAAAATTATAGCACAGGCCAGTTAAGAGGTACTGACTTTCACTTGGATGACAGAGAACAACAAAGAACCAAGCATGTTAAATCGACACAATGAAAAGACTGTTAATGGAAAGTATATCTCTAGGTCAGAGAGGATGAGTAGATTATCACCCTCAGTCAATAGTTTCAATGGAAGTGAGTGAATTATTTGGAAAAATTATATATTTTAAATTCAGCAGTTTGGCTGACATAAGAAAAATCAGAGACCAAGATCACTGATACTAACGGAAAAGACATCTTTGGAAAATGACTGTGAATAGGAACATGTAAGGAGGAAAATTCACAACAATGAAAGGATGTGCCACATGAGTTCACAATGAGGGCAATCCTGAGACTCTCAGGGGATGACGCAATGAAGATAGAGAACACACAGTTTGTGCTGTTGAGGATGCCATTACCTAGTGTAGACTCGGGGAGCTCAGACACATGTGTAAGAGAATCCACAACTGTATCAAAACAAAGGAGAATGAGTTTAAAAACTATTAAGATGTTCAGTTCCACAAGTGTTTCTTGAGTATTTGCAACTTCATTCTCAAGAATTTTTGACTTAATTTTACAGACAAAACAATGTTTTAGATAGGACAAAAAGAAAGAAGTCATATTTAAGAGTATTAAACCACTGATATTCGTACTTTATCAACAACTGACTTTCAAATGTTATTATGCTTTGATCTTCAGATACTAACAGATAAATAGGACGTATTTTTTTTCAGAGAACATCAACTATCACATTAATTTTAAGAATCCAAGAGTATTAGAGCTGTTGGTATATATAATTCATTACTAAACCACATGCAAAATAAATGTGACTCTCGAGGTTGGTTCCTAGTAATGGGGTATAAGTAGATCCATAGATGGATTGGAAGTGGATCTATAGCTCTTCAAATCTTTTCAATTAAGTACCATGTCTTGAATAGCAAAATGAGTTAATCATAGCATAAAACCTTTACCACCTTCTGTTCTCTTCTCCTCTGGCCTGAGAGGTTCTTTGGTGGTGGTATCTACATAATCTGTTTCAGCTGGTGCTGGGGAAGAAACACGAAATGGCAGGTTAGTAGTGGGTAGGGCAAAGTAGGTTATCATGGAACCCTGAATTTAGGTGAAAACATAGGTTAGTTTACTTGGTTGTGAAAATTGTTGCAATTGAGTAGAGTAAAAATGAAGCTAGGTAATGAAGCTGTGTGGGAAACAGAAAGACAGATACACATGCACACACAAATGACAACCAGGGTCCATTACAGCAGTTATTACCTAGAGTAGAGTAGGTAATTTTACTTCCTTATGTATTTTTGCATGGATATTTTAGTAAGGAAAAAAGTTATGAGTCCTCTGGAAACATGAAAAGAAAGCCTAAAAATGACCTGAAGATGACAAATTTCATATACACGTGTGTACAAATATATGTGTACATACACAAAGAATAATCAAAATTTTAAATTATGAATTTAATTAACTGAGAGGAAACTAGGGAAGCTATGACACTTGCATTGTAATATAGCAGATTGTAGCTAGCATGAGTTTCCGTATGCATGGTGGCTCTCAAAAGCCACTGGATAGGCACAGAGACAACACAAGGAGCAGGCTGCTATGAAATGTCATGAAGTGGCCCAAGCATGACAACATCCCGAGACACATTATGCAATGAGATGGAGAAGCACATATTCTTGACTTTCCACTGGGAACATTTTTACCTATTGTCTTCTGTGGTGTCTCAGTACTAAATGCAACCAATTCCAGGTCATCAGAAACTAGCAAAGGAAACAAGGGTACAACTGGTCAAGAGTGTGTTGTTGTAAACATCAAGTAGATTAAACAAACTGTTCAGAGGAGTGTTGGATACCTGGTAAATGATCCAGTTGCCTAGTTCTGATAAAATTCATTTCATTAGCATGAGTACTTAAGGAAGTTCTCATAACTTAGTCGAATCCACAGCAGAATTGTTTTGGCTACCATCAATAAACACACCTTAAACACACTTCAACAGGAGTACCAAACTGTAATGTCGTCTAACTAAAAGATGCTGCAAAGAACTTATAATCCTATGCTGAAACATGAAATTCAAGTTTTTCAAATCTAAGTGCTAGAGAACAGCAGTGGTTTTCCTAACACTGATATTAAATTCTGTTTGTAATTTGAAAGGCAGTATGTTTTAAAAAGGTTCTCTCCAGTTAAGGAAAGTTAAAGAATCTTTATTAAAATAATTTTCTCATTTTTCAGTGGTTACAAAGGGATTAGCATTATTTTAGGTGGCTCAGAAAATATTTAGCATACTGCTTAACAAAACCACATCTTTATCACTGTGGATGGAATTAAGAAGTATAGCCTGTCCTCAGAGGTTTGCTGACTGCCTAACCTGTGATATTATCATTCTCCAAAAGATACAGAGCAAACTCAATGAAACAAAGGTAGATATTTTGTATACAGTGGAATAGTAGAGGATAAAGTATTACTAATTTAATATCAATATACAACCATGGAAGGAGAAGTTTTTATATTTGAACAGACAACATGGGGTGTGTTGATGGTATTTATATTGGCGACACCCGATCTGGTTTGTAGTTATGGAGCTGCCATGTTCCTGACTAGGGTAGGCCTGAGGTCACGAGCAGTGTCGGTATATTCTTGATGCTGCTAGGCTCAGGTCACCAACTCAGGTGGCCAGAGACATTGGCTTTGCCACCCATGAGACGCCAGTGTGGGAGATGACACTGCCAATCTTCCATGCTGCCTCCACAGGGCTGGGCTGAGCCCAGACCATCCCTCCATCCATGCTGTACCCAGTAGAAATGAGACTCTAATGCTTAAAGATTAATCAAAGGCTTTATATGTTTGATAACACTCAATTAACAAGATGCTCACATAATTAGAGGTGTCTCCCTATATCTAACCTTGATATAAGTTGTTACCCTGGACTGCTCTCAATACAAGCGTGGCCATCCACGGCCCCCCATCTCTCTCCCTTTGCTCCTCCTCCTCTCCTTACTCCTCACACCTTAGCACCTCTCAACTTGCTGGGAAATTTTTCTGCTACAGGGAGGATTACAGTATGTTTCTGAAGCTCTTGGTACAGCCAGAAAGATTAATCAATTTACCAGATTGACTTTGTGTAATTTCTAGGCTTGGTGAGGTCACTGGTTTCAAAACAAGAGTTTGCAGTTCAGTAGGAGCTGGAACAAAAGGACTTAAGTTAGCCTGTGAATGTTTAGAAACAAATTAGGTGATGGGAAAAAATGACCAACATTTTATGCCATATAAAATATGAAAATGGTATGAAAACCAAAGTCTAATTGGAGCATGGGCCAACGTGATGCAGGACCTATTCACACACTAACCTTGTTGCCTTGCTCCTACAGTGTATGTGTAAGCAGTTGTGATTAAGACTGAGTGGCCTGCAAACTCTGAAACCTTTACTATCTAACCCTTCACAGACTAAAATTGCTAGTTCCTGATCTGAAGCATCCTCCTTGCAAAGAAAGTATTCATTTGTTACTGAGCATCACTAACGGTTCCCTTAGAAACTCAAGCCACAACTTTCATGTGCTAATTGAAGTAATAAATATTAATAGTCATAGATACCCAGCAGGGTCACTACTTAGTAAAGAGTGAGAGCCATCAGTAACTCCTGAAGGAACTCATCAGTGATGTAGGAGCCGGGAGCTTTTGGTGCACAACATATTTTGTTGATAATAGGGTATCTCATGAGTTAAAATAGGGTAATAAGTATAGCACACTGATTTTATGGAAAATAAGTTGCTAAGAGGGAGTTTATGTCTCTAAATTATTGTAGCTCTGTAGATCTAGCCACTAAAGAGAGGAGCAACAATAAGGATCTCTGGTTTTTTTAAGGAGAATTTCATGGCATACTGATATCTTTCTGTGGCTCCAAGGAGGGAAGATGAAATAACAGGCAGGTGACACTTGGTTTTCCATGACTGACTACAAAGTATGAAATGGTATCCTAACCACAGTCTTCTGAGGCATGAGCGATGCTGACATACCAGCAGATAGAATGAGCACTCACTGAATGTCACAAAAATCATTACCCAGTGTTGTTTCTGGAGACCCAGGGCTGTAAATATCCAGTTCAAAGCCCCAAACTAAAACTAATTAAAAGCAACAGATGAACACAGGAAAGTTGAACACTCACAAATGCCTTAAATTTTCTTTCACAACATGAGTTTCAAATGACAAACATGTTTTTAAATTCTAGAACTAACAGGAAGCAAATAATTGCTTTCTAAAATGCCGGTCTCAGTAGCCCAGATGGTTATGAAAAATAGTGACAATCACTCTGAGCTTGGCTATATATTTCTTAATTTTGTTCATATAAAAGATTCCTAGGTACCTGGTTTTCTGGCTATAACTAATATAGAAGATGGCTTTGGAAATTTCCTAAGGTAGTATGTATGAAAGTATATATGGAAGTAGTGTATTGTGTTTCTTGGAAGTTGAAGATAATTATCTGCTTATGTAACCAAGGCTAATCAACAGATCTTATGTTCAGTTCATAACCATGAATGACTAATATGGACCCTGCCATCAATTCATCTTTAAAGAGAACTTGATCCAAACCAAGTTACTTAGGGAACTAGGAACAAATTTCCCACAAGCTCTGCTCTTATGGGAATTCTAGCTCTTAGGAGGCGCAGCTGTCAACTGGACCCAGTGGCTTAGTTTTACTTAAATAGCAGGAGCTTCCATTGCGGGTATTACTTTGGGACCTATATGGGACAGATTGCTAGCAGCCCTTAAATGAGGCATTCCACATTTACCCGACTTGGACTCAGACACATCAGTACTTGCTGTGGTTTTAGGTCTGGGACGTGGACGGCGTGTCCGCTGTACATTAGGAGCTGAAGGAAAAAACTTTCTATTAATTTCATGCTTTTGCTTTTGGAACAAAATGTATCTTTCTTTGAAATTTGGGATATGTATGCTTTTGGATTAAAATATTTTCTTCTATTTTATCAGTTTTTTTTTTTTAATTACCAAAGATTCTTAGGAAAGAAACCTAAAATATAAATTAAGTCAATGAATGAAGGCAGCCATAAGTCCCCAGTGTCAAACAATGCTTAAGCTAAATTCTATGTACCAGGATCTTAGGTTGATACTGAAAGTTTTCAGCATTCCCAAGGATCCACTGTGCCATGATATTTTTCTAATTTACTCTGTCCCGGTAAGATATAGACACTATTAGCTGAGTTTGCAATTTAGCTTCAGATGGAAGCAACATTTAGACAAAAATACATAACACATTTAATAAAGACAACAAGCATAGTAATATTCTAGGTCTGTGGGTAGCTTTTAAAAGAGGTAACTTTAATAACTCTTAATATTCTCAAGAAGTAGTAGCATATGAGGATGACCAGCAGCAGACAGCAAGACAATCGAATAAAGCGGATGACAATGAACTGAGGATGAAGATGGAGTACACATGAAAAGAAGAATGGAACATGTGAAAAAAAGCATTCCAGAGCACAGTGCCAGTACATAATGTTGTTGGCTTGGGAGCCTTGGTCCTAAGAGTGACAGGTGCAAGGGCTGTAGCTAGAACTGGACAGAAGGAGGAAAATCAACCAAAGACAAAATGTCATGTTTTGAGAATATCTTTAGCCTCAAAACTAACAGGACAGAGACACTTGTTTCTTCCACTTTTGGCTAGACCATGGATGGGTGCTCACTATGTCATGACATAGACTTGCAAGAAGGCACGGTACAGAACTAACTATGTCACAGTACACCAGATGCTCTTCTAGACATTTGACTGACTGCCCCCACTACTGTTGAATTATGCTGTCAACATTTTTTATGTTTCACAATAGATGCCTTTCTGAATACACTAACAAAAGCTTTATTGGTCTCCTTGAGCTTCTATAGAGACTCATAAGATAGCTATGTACAGGTTTTATTTGCCTACAGTTTAAAAAATTATACAAATTAAAAGTTTATTTGTTGAAAAGTATGAAGACAAACTGATAAAATATCCCCATCAGAAAAGTAGCCCTTGATTCTAAAAGACTGTTGAACCTTCCAGGAAAGGAGTCTCTATCATGGAAACAGTGTTGGAACATTTCATCTTTAAGTTTGACAACTTACTGCAATCATACTTAAAAAAAAACCCAAAAAACTATTGTTCCACTTTGCTCCTTTTGTATCACAAAGGTTCTAGTTCACCAAAAAGCATTCTGAATAAAGAAGCATATTTTTGTAATTGTCAACAGATACAAAAGGTTCTAGTTTGCCGGGCGGTGGTGGTGCACGCCTTTAATCCCAGCACTTGGGAGGCAGAGGCAGGCAGATTTCTGAGTTCGAGGCCAGCCTGGTCTACAGAGTGAGTTCCAGGACAGCCAGGACTATACAGAGAAACCCTGTCTCGAAAAAAAAAA